CAATGACGTCACGGGAGGGTAGGAGGGGAGAGGTAGGTCATCACCCTCACAACCTATTATAATTATCATACTATTGTACATTGAATCATCTGACTTAAAGATCAAACAATAAAATAAATATAAAGCTTAATATCTCCTTATAAAAACTTATCTGTAAGGCCAATTATAAAAGACCCAAAGCAATTATAATTACCCTAATATTGTCTGGTTGATTTCTTCTGATACAGGCATGTCACCCCGTGTTACATGCTCTGTAATTCCATAAAGTATGTTTTACTATGACCGCAGCTATTATTTCCTTTCTTTAAACTATATTTCACCGTTGTCGATATACAGTACATTGATTACAGTATAATGTAACGTCTGACTGCTATCATTGACTAAAATTAATAGTTTACACTTAGTTATAGAAAAAAAACATAATTTGGTCGTGATAAACGTGACAACTGTGTCAATGATTACACTGATCAGATTAAATTAGAAATTATAAAACTTTCGCGAAGAAAACGTGTACAGTATTACACGGAAACGCGAATTATTTTGATATAAGCGCCACCTATTAGTTTACTAGCCGTTCGGCCGGTTGGTCTATTCTTTATTACAATGAGGAGTATTTTGTTATGAACTTGACAATATGGCTCGATATTTTCCGATCGAAGTCATTTATGTTGATCACAAACACAGGGTGAATCCACTAAGAACCGTTTTTACCATCCCAATGTACTTTACTCCGTTTACGACCACTCTCCGACTAGTGTGTAGGTGTTATTTTTACCTTATTTACCTAATAGTCACTCACTGCAGGTGACCATGCTGAGGGAAGGCCATTGGCCTGTGTCGGATCCCTCCGTTGCTCTTAATAATTTTGTCAAGGGCTGTATTGAAGCCCAACAGTACTGTTCCTGATTCCACAGCTTGGGCTGGCTGACCGTTTCATAGGTCTACTTATACTGCCAGATTCTGGGGTCACTAAGTCTAAGGGGATAACTTAACTCTAATCTTAATTTCTAAGGGTCGCTGCCACCAGACCCCCTCTGGACAGCATGTAGCTCGTTAGGTAGCGGGCAGAGTGGACTAGGCATTGGGTTAGGTTTTCCATTGACCAGATCGATAAGGGTAAAGAAGGGTGAAACCATAACATGTCTTACTTGATTTATTCCTTATCAAACATACTGGTAAAAAACATATACATGAATTGGCCTTCCTCAGAAGAACAACGGAAATGTGGTTACCCAGATGGGCCCCAGACTCTTACATTGATGGCGTGTCATCCACCTACTTATTGCATAACAATCTGTGACCACCGTACCTCGGTCGTTCCTTCTTACAATATCCCTTAACACATCAGACTGCTCCACCTGTGTGGAATCTAGCACCGTCGGTTATCATACATAGTAGCACCATCTCAACACACCTGTTACACTCCATACCTGCAAGTATGTGACTCCTTGTGACTTTTAGGTATACACAACAGGCACCTCGTTCGCACACCGCCCTCGGTGGGTAAAGACGAGGGCTTCACCTAGAGACATACCAGCACTATTTCTGGTATTATAGGTCGCTCCAAGTGACGACTGCAGAGTTTCTCACGGTCTCCTTAGTTGTGACTATTCATTTGGAGTGGTGCGCTGGAAATCCACAGGTTCACAGTGGATTGGCATAGCGGGGAGTAGTCCCCACCTGTTGTGACGCTCAAAGGGACAATGGCGGCCGGGCGGCAAGGTACTCCGACCACATGGCACCTGAGGTGGCGGTAGAACGAGGAAGACTGAGCAATAATGTCTGACGGGCGGTTATCCCACCCCTTAACACATTCCTATTACACTTATATATCCGGCAAAGCTTTAAACTGTAATAACTTCTATTTATCAACCTTAATTATAGGGCGGGATATAGCCCGCTAGGACACTGACCTGAGGTGGCGGTAGAACGAGGAAGACTGAGGGCAGTGCCCCGCCGCTCCTCGTCACATAGGCCTACAGTTTCCAATCCTCAATTTACACCTTTGTTTCTTATGGTTCTCACCTGAACACTTTTCGGTATATTGTCACTCATGTCTTATAAACACATATTTTAATCCTAAATTACACACTAAGGTAAGGTCTTGGTTTGCTAGTGCTTGGGTAAATGCATGGGATTATAATATCAACGTGGCATCTGAGGCGGGTACATGACGCGCCTTGAAACAAAGGCTGAATGTTCATGGCGGGGGTGTATCAACTTCACTTAAAACTGTAATGAGGGATCCTCCTCTCACACATTGCACTATTTGAACACAGACATAAGATTCTCTGATCACTGTACCTGTCGTGGGTATATGTCACGTGAGGCTACGAGGTGTATTAAATTCATACTGACGCATACACGATATTTCCTTTCAAGTATAGTTTCTGGATCACTGTCAACACCTCACATAGTTCTGATACATTTATCCTTTTTCCAGATCATTGTACTCATGTATTTTCATATGATATCTGTTGGAGTTATGTTCGCTACACGCTCACAGACGTAAATAGTAAGACCTTCAAACCCTGATCCACACTTAGTCTTACAGTACACTAGTCCGGCTCAACTGGACTTTAACATTCATCTTATGCATACCCTGAGTGATCCTTAATGCTATGAATACATACACTTAATATGATATAACTATACCTGGGTACAATACAACACATGGTCTAGGAACCTTGAGTAGGTGAGTTGTCCTTTATCAATGTTTCCCGTTTTCTGAGGTTCTACAAGCGCGGTGCATTTGAATGTTATGTAGCGTAATATGAATTAAATGGGATTTTTAGGGATGACAATGATGTGCGCAGTACATAGCCTTCCCCTCCCAAAGATTCATATTATGCGAAATAATATGCAAAGCACTAACGCTGTAGTGTACATACATTTTCCAACATCCTAACAGTTCGTGATTAGAGTACCTTAATACATCAAACAAAACATAAGGAGACTTAAACGTTTCCTACGAGCGTCTCCGCTACCCTATACATCAGACAACCGTTTACAATCCTGCTAGTTCGGTGTACAATATATCAGTAAAAAGAAAATTATAAGGAGACAAACTTTTCATACTCGAGTCTCCGTTACCTATACATACAACAACTTATCAACTCTTATTTCAGTACAATATAGTATAGGGAACATTCCCTTAACAGTTCATCAGCGTAATACCTCAACCTACTTTTGGCACCAGCACATAAACAGTGACTCTTTGACATTACATCTACAACAAAAGTTCTCTGCATGAAATTACATATCCTGAGGAATTTAAATTCTTGTCTATGAATGGGGAATTAGTTACATCAGTCACTTCCTCAGATTACTACTTCATTTCAATAATAATTCCCCTTTTCAACACAAAACCGTGGTTCTAGATGTACACATTGGGGGCTCAGAACACAAAACACGTATTTTCTATCTCACAGTTCAGGAGATCTGGTGTTTGAAAGTCGGGGTGACTCCCTCACCCGGAGCGAGTCAACAACCCCCCAAAAAAAACTTCCAACCCACATAAACTGAGATTTTTTTCTTTCGACAACATAGGCAGCAACTGGATCTCCGGACTTCAGTTCAAAAGAACTGGGATTTATAATGTTGGGGTGACTTCAGTACGACTCTGTATGAAAAAATAATCCTTATATTCGTTGTGCATGACAAGTTGTTATGTTCTCTCGTGTTGATGGTGCATGATATTCACGTTTTCCACCTCTTTCAGGATTTTGAAGGTTTCAATGAGATCTGCCCGTATGTGTGTGTGTGTGTGTGTGTGTAATAGTGTAGTGGATTCCTCCCCTACAAACGCTGTTTGTCGCTGAGTAGCCGACCCCGCGAATTCCCCAGTGTATGCCTCGTGGTCTGGGTCAACCAGCGCCACCTTACATGACGGAGGTCAACTATTAAGCCACGCCTACCTCCGCTATATAAGACCTGACCTCGTGGTGACTTACCTCTCTTTCTACCTACAGCCAGTCCTCAAGCAATACCTCCTCCTCCTGCCTGGCGGCCCTCGCTCCAGCCAGCGACCATGGCGACCCACAAGCTTGTGCTCCTCTGAGCACCCTCACCAACCAGCTCTCTCTACATCACGCTTGTGACCACGCTGCCACTTCCCAGCACCAAGCTGCACTGTACATCCAATACAATATGTATACAGAGAACACATTGTGAGTTTCCTTTCTCCATCCCATCCTGAGTGTGAACCAAATTACCCGTACCCCACAATAGCATAATCAGAATTATTTTGGAGATCCTTAATAAATCAACATATCAATCAATCAGTCAGTCATTCAATCACTATATACGCTCGTATATGTATGTATGTTAGTTACAGTATGTATGTGCATTAGTTGGCGTGCGTGTGTGCTTGCACTTAACACTTTAAATATAGAGCAAGCTAGGCTGGGTGAAGGTCACGGAGAAATAAATAACTAAATTGCTACAACTACGCAGTAGAGACTGTTACTTCTGTCCTCGTCTTATTAATTTTCTTCAAACCATCTTCATGTTTGTGTGAGTGGTAATGATTCTTATATGGATGTTTTAATAGGAGGAAAGTTAGCGAGAGGAATAGGGTGGTTTGCTGATTACGTTTACGGGAATAATAATATCCCACGAAGTAAAATTTCAGTTTAAAATCAATACTCTCATACATATAGAATATACTTAAATATATCGTTTTATTCCTGTATTTCCGATTTGTTGTTCTTTCTTGTAATATATTTAGACTAGTTACTGTACGACCTCATTTTCCCTTGGATCTGTTTACAGCTGATTCTTCAAAAATAACCTTTTTCTCTACACTTAAGAAATAAATTTACTATAATAAAATATATTAAAATTCACAGTAGTATTTGATATGGTTATTTTAACTGTGATATGATGAAACTAGTAGTTGTTTAGATACGAGAATAAATGCAACTCACTATCGAACCCCACGGAGTCGTATAATATTAATGAGACTTGACTTTGATGATAATTTATAATATTTGCATTTAAAAAGAATTGTATAGAATTATTTTGATCCAATACTCAGCTCCCTCGCTAGTACAGTACGGGCCCTTGAATCAGCTTCTTATTTGTCATTGTTTGTATTTTATACCGAACCAACAGGAACGTGTATGGAGATTTTACAATTTATTTTATTAAGGATAAGCTTTTAGTGGGGTTTTGGGGTTATCTATAGTCAAATTAACTGAATATATACCGCAGTTTGGATACTTCCACTGCCCATGTACATAATAAATTACTATGAAGTTATATGATGAATCTAATGAGCAAACGTCTATCTAAAAATATTTATCGATTGATCTAATTTTTAGGTTCGGGTTGAAGGGGTTGGACGGACTCGCAGCTGGCCAGAGATAAGTCAATTTCACTACTGAGGAGACAGGAGTCAGTAGATGGTGGACGGTGCATGGAGCAGGAGGATGATGTTCTTACCATGTACCTCACGAACACTCTCGTCCACAAAACTTTTCAAGTGTATTGTAATACCGGTGGCTAATTATACCAGGTAGGTTGTCCTTAGCCAGAAATAACTTAGCATGTTTGTGTGTGGAGAGTTAATGGCACACCAAATAGTGTCATTACAGAATGTTATAATTTGGGGGTATTGTTGCAAGTATATGATGACTAAACAACCTATATAAGTTTGAAACACGTCTAGTACTGCTCTCTGTTATATATTCACTTTCCTGCATCTTGTATAAATTGCTGTTTATAGTATCCTTTTCACTGTTGTGGAAAGTGGCACACTGGGACTGATATCATCAAATGGGTAGGTGTCTTGTTTATAAACCAAGCCATGTATGTTGATATATGAGATAATCACATTTTCTTCAGAAGCCCATTTACATCTCATTTCCCTACAATTTATGAGCTAATTCTCTTCATTCTACTGTTTGTATTATTAGCCATTCGGGGAGTTGGTCTGTCCAGTGATAGTACAGTATAGTTCATGGGGAAACCTCAGTGCCTGGAGGAAACCTGTGATGTTTAAGGTCGCACAAGATAACAACCTTGTTAGGGTGTCCGGGCCAAGATTGTTGGACAAAAGCCACCAAGGACAAATAATGATGTTTTAAAATCATAAATTTTATTCTTTATTATTTACAGTTTATAAACCTAACCTAACCTTTTGGTAATTTGCAGTTTAACTGAGGGTAAAGTTGTAGTTTTGATCATCTGGGGAATCTTGGGAATTTAACTATTGGAATCTGTAGTTTAAGACAGTTCTGAAGACGTTTCTAATATGATGTTTCCCCCTTAAATGTCCTGACAAAACCTCGTGAACTGAGCATATGTAAATCGTTTGAGAGGGAAACATCGTAGAAGAAAAGTGTTTTAGAATTGTTAAAATTACCAATAGTAAAGATAAAAATCCTAAGATTCCTGTGTTGTCTGAAAGTTAAAATTTACCCTAACTACACCTAACCTAACAAAGGACTCTACTGGAAATTAACACCCGATATCTTTGTCGGCTATCATTGGTCAAATTGCCTTACTGTTTACTAGTGTTTGTATATGTGCACTGCACTGTCTTAGGTTCTGTTCATTGGAAATTGTATGTCTGCATGGTCTATGTACACTATATAATTATATACAGTACCTGCATTGCCAAAACAAATGTAAACTTGTACAGTATTATGATTTTACTGAATAAACATCAAACAATCAATTCTTGTATGTTGTTGCAAGTGAACTAAGCCCCAGGTTGATTCTTTGCTCACGAATAAGCTTTAACTCCCCCAGGAAGTAGTTTATATTTTTTACTTGGTTTTCCTCATGAAAAATTCTAAGTTCATTTCTTTTAACCCTTTGTGGTCATTCCAACCATATTTGTTGTGAGGTACAGTATGTCTAAAAAGAATTAGCCAAGAGACTAAACAAAACCGTTCTAACAGTAATACTTTAGACGGCTGACTCGTGGGAAGAAGCCACTTACGGATATTTTCTATAAAAGAGAAGTTGTTTTTCTCCCCACGAAGATAAAGAAATTGGTGGAGGAATTGCAACTTCCGACTTCTGGTTTTCCCTTGTTTTTGTTAAGATAGTTCAGTGAGTTGCTTGGACTGCCATGTTGACCTTCCTGTTGACTTTATATAGAAAGGCAAATTGACCCTTAATGAAACTAATATAACCTAAGATATATAACAAAATAAATATTTTCAATTCTAGGGTCATGAAGGTTGTCTGGGTTATCCTGTCATCATTCAGGTGGTGAAGGAGCACTTTTCCAATTAAGGTTTTTGCCCCTAGTTTCTCTTGTAAATAATAATTAATGTATGTACATTTAAAAAATATTTGTTTGCACAGTAATTATAAGTACAATATTTTATGTGGCAACCAAGGCATGGCAACTGAGTATGTTTGTTGGTTGTAATAATGAGGAACAATCTTTGTAACGATCCTAATAAGGAGCGAAAACTGAACAGGAAACGGACAGAAAAACTCAGAAATTCTCGTACTGCAATGTCAAAATATTCTGAACTTGGTTAATTCGGATTTTTCGGTAATTCGAGTGACCCCATAGCCCATTTTTTTTAATTAATGAGGGTATAGTGTACAATATAGTACTGGCATTTATATTGCTGTACTGTACAGTACTAGAATGTTTTAAATTCAGAAAATACCTTGCAGGAGGTGAGAGAGTACATAATGTATGTACTGTATAAGGAATGTTAAAGAAAAGCAAGTAAGCAGTGCTATGGAGATGATAAAAGAATAATTATGCATTTTAAAACTCTTGTGTGTGGATTTATTTATTCGGAGTTTGAACATTTAATACTACGGTATACAGCTCCTCCCCGACTTACGACCACCCGCATTTACGACCTGCCTCAGTCGTACCAAAATTTTGTCAAATTACGTATTTTCGAGTCCCAACGTCAGCAGTGATTGCGCTGTGTACTGATACAATTTTCGTTTGTAGTTCACTTTAAAATGGCTGGCAAGCTTAAAAGTGAGAGTTTTGTGGTGCTGAGAAGAAAAAGAGACACCCATTTTAGATTTTCTGTGTATTATTTAAGCATTTTCAACTTACGACCATTTCGACTTACGACCTGGATTTGGGTCCCTAACCCCGTCGTAAGTCGGGGAGGAGCTGTACATGAGAAATTATGCAGTAGATAAATTTTGGCTATTTTTTTTCAGTAACTACAGGTTAGCTGAAGTTGGCAAATTTGAATCTCCAAAATTGACAGGAAAATATGAAACAGGTCAGCTGTTCCTACACCGAGTGTTTGGTTACCGAGGGGTTGTTCTCTTCCCATGGCTGGCCAGAGTCTATGACAGAGATGTCCCTAATAAAAAGGAATCCAAGTAAGGAAAATGCTGTTTGTTGTGCAATAGCTACTTCAAATACCTGTTCTGTACTGTAATTATTTAATGTTTTATTCATATTCATTGTTATGTTTCATTATACAGTACAGGTACTGTACTTTACTGTATATGATATAGTAGTGTACTGATACTGTTTGATGTGACCTTCACTTTTAATCATTTCTATGTTTTTGGCAATATTCCAGACCAATAGAAGAGAATATGAACTATAACCAAGTTGGAAAAGAGGTGAAAGGAAGAGCTCACACATACTATCAAGTGCTTATCGATTCTCGAGATTGCCCATACATTGTAAGTACAGTACGTACCGTAGTGCACTTCCGTAGCCTTATGATTTTAGCCTTCCTCGGAAGAGTTCTGAGAAAGACTGTAAGGTCGAAACGTGTCAAAGGTAAAATTATCAGCGTCTGCATATAAATGTTGAATATGCTTTGTTTAGTGTCAAATATAGTACGGTACAGTACAGAAAAAATTAAAAATGACTAGACTGATGCTTGATAGCCTTTTCATTGGGGTCTCTTTACTCATGTTTAACTGCATAAATGCATAGTGTGTAGGGGAGGAAGGGAAAAAAAATGCACATAAAGTAGTCATTCATGGCATTTATAAAATAAATTAATCACCTTCTAATCATTTACAGAGAGCCCAGACTGAAGCTGTTACATTCTTAGGTAATCAAGACAATGGCAGAACCCTATATGCAGTGCCAGGACTAGATTACATAGGACACGAAGATGTGATGCCATATGTTGCAGGAAGCAAAAGGCCGATCAGACATGACTTATTTGATAAGTTTTTGTCATATGTCCCAGAGAAAGGTTAGCCCAGTTTTTTTTTATTTTTTTGTAGATTTGACTTGGTGCATAAATTAATTTTGATGCAGCCGCCTTTAATGTTTGTTCTTATGAGGATAAATTATGACCTGTAAAACACCTATTATACTCGATGACAAGAAGTGTAGTGATTCAGTATCTCTGCCTACATGACTGTGTACAACCAATCCCCAGAGGTTAATTCATTAGGGTGTAATGCCCAAGATACACTTATGCAACATCAGGACCATTTGCACATCTAGTGTGAAACTTTCATACTTGGAGCCTGTGGCTGTGGCTTCGGTTTCCTGTCTTGGTTTAGTTGTCACACCCCCCCCCCCCTCACCCCTTTGTAAATTCACATACAGTATTTTTAAGACATGAATCATTCTTCTAGTTCTCTTTTTACATAATTTTCATAATGATGTCTTGAATACACACAGGTATCAACCTATTTACGATGGGATTATGTTCCTGAAAAACCCATCGCAGGCCGAATTACCTTAAATCGGGATTATTATAACTTGGGGTTCAGTGGGATATGTTTCCAGCCAGTCGGACACCGACTTGTATCACCGAAAATAAAATTCCTACACTAATACTATACCTACAACACAATAAACAATACTCACCACATCATTAAGAACAAGCCTGGTCATCACATGTCCCCTTCAATGCTAAGGGGACTCTTGAAGGTGGAACGGAAACTTCACAGACTCACACACAGCCTCTGGGGAGTCTCTTGCTGCTTCACAAAGTGTAGGGTAAATGAACTGGAGAGGTCGTGTTTTGAAGTTAGTGGTTGTGGACCTAAATGATAGTTCTGAGATGCTTTGGCTTAGATGGGTGGCCTGGAGGGGTATGATGATTGATATTGTTTAAAGAACAAGAGTATATTGTTAGCAAAGTACAGAGGGAGGGATTGTGGGCAACAGAATGTGAAGAAAAATAGACTAGCTATTTCCTATTTTTTACATTTTTTGTTTCAGAATAAAACTAGCTGTATTTTTTTGTAATCATAACTGCAGTATTCATTCATGAAAATTTTAAGCCTTAAATTTTGGTACCTGGTGCTTTTTAGCCAGTTGTCTTTATAATATAAACATTTTAGCTTTAGGTTTTTTTTCTTCAGTATTGTTTATATGGAATTTATCATTTAATTTTCCAGTATTAGATTATTCTTGTATTTGGGATTCATCTTCTAGACCCACCATTTGGTGCTCGTGAAACACTGATGGCATGGCAGGAGCGTAATCACCCATGGCTGGAGCTCTCCGATGTACACAAGGAAACTACGGAGAACATCAGAGTCACCGTTATACCCTTTTATATGGGATGTAGAGAATCACAGAATGCCAATGTTTATTGGGTAAGTTGAGGCACTTTTAGCATTGTAGTCTAATATTCATCTATGCATATTATTGTCTGTTCATTTGCATACTTGACTTGCATGAATGAGTAAATTGGCGTTTTCAATATACCGTAATAATATAGTATGTTATATATAAATGTGTTGCACCGTTTGCAGTGGCGGTACTGCATTCGTCTAGAAAACCTAGGAGATTTGACAGTGCAGTTGAGAGAGAGACACTGGCGCATATTCAGCTTGTCTGGGACTTTGGAGACAGTGCGTGGACGGGGTGTTGTGGGACAGGAGCCAGTACTCTCCAGTCAACAGCCGGCCTTCCAGTACTCATCCCACGTGTCCCTACAAGCACCGTCCGGACACATGTGGTATGTTGAATCCCTCTAAACCTTCATTATCTATACTACTTTTTAAAGTAAATTAGTTAGAAGAGGTATACCAAGACACACAAGATACAATTATGACCCAATAATTCACTCAAATGTTGTATAAATGTTAAACCTTAAACTGTTTGTTCAAGCCGAGAGATTTCCATTTTAATTCATTCTTAAACTTTCAAATGCAGTTTGTCCCACATGTCCTTGGTCATCGCACATTCCTTTTACACAAATTAAAGAGATTTTATAGGGCTCACCTATTCATTGCTTGAGCCTTCTGTCTTGGCTCCAAGTTTTTACACTTATAATAGACTACCACAATTTTAGCTCGGTACTACAGTATTTAACGATTCACTGTTTCCTCTACAGGGGCACTTTCCGAATGGAGAGAGAAGACGGATTTACATTTGATTGTCGCATCCCACCATTTTCATTAGAAAGTAAACAGGATGATAACACACAACCGAGTGGTATTATTTAATAGGCATTGTTTGTCATCACAGCCACTATCTGAGAATTAAAGACAATAACCAAAATAATTCTTAGGTGCAAAGAAAGTGATGTAAAGATATTTATTTTATAGTTCAGTGTATTAATCGAGTTGAAAGTTAAGAGAACTCCTTAATTCATCAGTAGAATTGGTAATCAAGTTCAAGTCAGGTAATGGCAATCATCATATATATCGGTTGTCAATCTGTGTTTACTAAGATGTATTAAGGTTGTTCCTGTAACATATTATGTATATATACTGTACTTTGTAAGTATGTTGTTAAAGCAATATTGATCACCCTCTATAAGAAATTCATTTTGTATTACTAGAAATTTAATTTTCTTATGAATGAAACTTAATAAATGTTTTTAAGATTAAATTTTTATTAATAACTTTTTAGGACTGACTTAAGTGACCAGTAAAACAGTGGACATATCTGGAATTGTGAAATCACTTACGCAGCCTTCTCAAGCTCTGTTTAGTAATTAATTTGGAAAAACCTTAACAGCCAAACATAAGCCATAGCATGGCTTGACTTATTTAGTGTTTTCATAAAATTTAATCTTAAATTGTACTATAATCACAAATATTGATATCCTTTATGTGTCTTAGAGGTATCAATTTCATCTTATCCCAAATATCATAAATGCTATCCCTTTGAAAAGCCACGATTGTTGCAGTGGGATAGCTGAAAATTATCCGCAAACAGCTACAGTGGGAAAAGTGATTGGGAATCACTTTCCTGTGTGGGCATGACTTACCCATGGAGACCACTGCATAGAATTTTACATCATTCACTCTAAAAAGGTACTGTAGTTTCACTGGACTGTCCAGCCATGGCATGTGCATTTCTTAAGGCCAAATTATTTAAGTAGTCACCATGTTTATTGTCAATGGCTCCAGAAAAAAAATCTCCCACTGATTTAAATAAATCTGTTAATTTACTGGAGAAAACCATAAGACTGTGCAATGGTCCCACATCCACTACTTGTCTATTGATATTCGACTTTAATTCCTCTTGTACTTGTGTACTGTAATTCAACTTCACTTTTGTCAAAACCTCCTTCCTATACTTGTCCTTTCAGAATTGCTCATTATCTCTTACTGGGTCCTTCAACATGAGAGGGAATATAACATGATGCTGTCTATCAGTCAAACTTTTAGCTATGATATTTGTGCCTCTCACTATTGTCTAGTTTAATTCCTGGCCTGGGATATGAGTGAGAATGGTGTTATCCATTGTGACTGTACCAAATTTTGCAGTGAGTACTGGGTACTCGTTTCCTCCTATACTGTACTGGTCAATGAAAACCGTAACAAAGAACTGACCAACAGGACGAATGGTTAGTGAACTGATAAGTTGTAGAAAAGCTAATTATGTACCTCTAGCATCTTAGTTGTCGTTTGAGCAAGTGTTGGTTGACTATTCAGTTTTAACTTACCCATCCATGCATTCAGTGTGTCCGTCCTTCAAATGATTCTTGCATAGGTAAATAAACTGTCATCCACACCCCTTTACCATGGAAATAATGTTGAAATTAGAGTGTGAGGGGAGACCAGAAGCCATTCATACACATATACAGCTATACAAACATATACCTAAAAGATACATTTAAATTACATGAAAAAAAAAATTTGCGCGAGACGGTACAAAGCCTCTTTATTGGCTCGTATCTCAAAACTAATATTTTTTTTCATTAAAATTTTAAAACCCTCAATTGCAGTGGAGTTGCAAACTCGATTTTAAAATTTGTGGCCAAAAATTCAAAATTTGTGGCAAAGCACCGGTTACTTCAGCGCTCATTTATAAAGGAAACTATAAAAGTTGAGGAAATATCGTTTCAATGCACTTATGTTACTTAGAAATCAAGAAACTATAATATAAACCTATTAAATCAGAAAAAAATGAAGTGGGAATGAATTGTGTGTGAGGGAAGGAGGGTGGGCAGCCGGCTGAACTCGCCACCCCTTTATAACTGTAATTTCACCATAATTCTCATAATAGATTCATTTGGTGCTGGGATAATAAATTAAAGTAAAATAATCCCCCCCCCAAAAAAAAAAAAAAATAAAATATCCAATGCTAGACCCCAGATGAGTTATCCAGTTGTATTAAATTCCTGGTAGTTTGTTTACATAATAGACAAACAACTGACGAGCCTGCCTGCCTCCATGTTGGTTTAACAGTGTCACCTAGATGATGATTATGAGAAGAGAAGCGGTTTATGTAATATAGAACTACTACTTGTACAATATCTGTCTCTCAGTACTGTATTTTTGTATGGGTTATGTATGATATTTAGTGTTTATTAAAGCAGTTTTGGAACATTAGTGTATATTATGGCATCAGGAACCTAATTATTTCTATTTAAATCGAACTATAATTAGCAATTTGATAATACAAGGTGTTTTCTGGTACTTACCCCACAAATTATTGTGACTCCACTGTACAGAATTATTTTTAATGCTAATTTTGGCATATTTTATCCCAAAACATGAAAATCCAAACTCTCTCTGAAAATGAAGGCTTCTGTAGCTGTAAAGACCAATAGTTATAGAAATAGGTGGTGCATGAGGGTATTTAATGGATTAATTATAAACACAACCAACTGTAGTTTTAAAGGGAACATCTTGCTCAACTTTTAGTTACTTTTATTTAAATCAAGACTAAATGATGGGGAGGATTGCATCTGCCATAATTACTATATGCATAACAAGGGCCTTAACTGGTAAATAAATTTTCAATAAACTACTTGTTCTTTACATGAAGCTGTATAGTGAATTTCATTGACCACGAAGCCTTTCTAAGGTTAGGGAATTAAAACAAATCATGTAAAGCCAGATGGGCTCCCAAAATACTCTGTACCTGGTTCATATCATGATTTTTTACCTTGAATTCTAGGAGGCGGCTTTCCTCCACCTCAACTTGCCTGAACTCAAACCTTTCACTATAGTAACCATTAGATATTTAGCTGAATCCTTGACAGGAAGGGGGTAGGAATCCTTATCTTGAATACTGTACAAAGAGGTTCTACCAATGTAGAATAGTTGCTACGTTCATACAGTTACCGTACGCAAAGCACCGAGTCATCTTCCTCCAGATGTAGTCTGTCTCATACAACCAGATACTCACAGATGATCTTCTGGAAGAGGCTCACGCCTTGTGGTATAACTCGTTCTTCCAAAGACTGAAGCAAACAGCTCTTGTCCATAAGCCCCCCCAACTAATGATGTCACCATGTAACACACATTACCACATTAAATTTTCAAGTTATTACTATATTGTTAACTTTCAGTATTTATAATACAAATGTAATCTTTCCAAATTTATTCACCAGAATTAAAATAAATTATGAAAACCATTCAACTCATCTCAATCTGATGAATAAACCTGATTATCCATGTACAGTGGGGTATGCTATAACAAACGTAATTGGTTCCAGAACCTCGTTCGTTATAGGATTAATCCGTTCCAGGCCCCCAAATACAACCACCTAACACTGAAAAAATTCTGTGGAAAATGTAAAAAATACGGTACTTTATCTTACCTTAGTGTTATTCAGCATGCAGGTACCCCTAAACACTGGCACATCACTATCACTTCCACTGGGAGTCTTGGCTTTAAGGTCCTCAAACAATTGTCTGGCCTTCTCACAAATTATAGCTTCACTAATGTTACCACCTGCCATTTCTTTCTCCTTTATCCACACTAAGAATAAGTTTTCCATCTCTTCAATCACATTACACCTTGCTTTGCTAAGTCTAAAGATTCCCTTTGCCACTTGCACAGTTTTTAACTCCTCTTTATTCTTCAAAATCGTACATATAGTCGATTTAGCCATCCCATATTCATCACTAAGTTTCGCAATGCTTCTTCCATTCTCACGTTTCTTTATAATTTCTTTCTTAGTTTCAAGGGTTATTAGCTTTCTCACTCGCTTTGGACGACTCATTGTTACAATTGTATACTTGTATAACAAAATAGTTATATAACGCGAATTTCCACATCAAAAGACGAAATTTTAACAATAACAGTGGTGCACTGGCTACACAATGAGACAAAGATGGCGCCTGACGCTCTTCTTGTGGGTCGCGGTACAACAATATTCATGCGCCAGGCGAAATAGTCCCGTATTCATCCACGTTCGTTGTAGGAGTTGCGTTCGTTATAGCATTCTCAATTTTATAGGTAAAACCGTTCGTTATAGGAATATTCGTAGTAGGATCCGTTCGTTATAGCATACCCCACTGTATGCTCATCAGCATCATTTATGTAAAAAATTCAAGGATTACAAACAGTATATAGAATGACTTATCCTTGACAATGAATACATTCAATAATAAATTCCTAGTGAAGTTCACTAACCTCACACATACAAAATTCATTTAAGCAAATTGTCACATAAAATATTTGTCAGTCTGTCCGTGGAAATATTAAAAAATAATTTCCACAATACTTCTTTTAGCATTGAAACCAATGTTAAAGGTGTGGTTTTCACTCTTATCACATGAAGGAGTATCAAACAGAACAGCCTCTTAGACATTCATTTAATGGAATAAATACATAACTCTTTTAAAACCTGTTTATATATCCAATGGTAGCGAGTGTACAAAGGAGTCTGGGAGGAGAGACCAGATAACAAAGGAGAATACTGCTACGTAAGAAAGAGCATAGAAAACAATGTGACATTGTAAGATGGCAGGCAGATGGATTCATGACTCCTCAGTTCCACCCAAACTTTATTTAATTTTTTTTTTAATTTGCATACAGCCATCCCTTCCCACCCTCCATATATCAAGAGAAGATTCTGAGTTTAAGTGCCATTTCATTTCCAGAAATAAATTCTTGGATTTGCAAAACAGATATTCTGTATAACCAAAGATATAAACTAGCCTAAATCTTTCTCCAGTGGACAGACTTTTGAATTTTACACTAAAAAGGCACCAATCTTGTTGTCAGGTGCTTAAGATGGTTCTCTTGCAACATGCCAAGATGCAGTGAATTGAAGGCATCTACACTATCTCACCACAAGGATCTTCCAGGGAGAATCTTAGCTTAAGTGCTGCATTTGCCCATCTGGTATTTTGGAAGAAACTGTATACAAATAACTCTCAGGCACATTAAAACATAGGTGGTAAAGTCTCTTACTGTGCTTGTTATTGTGTTGACCCCAAACAGAATGACCTATTGTAGAATACTGCATTTACAATATTTCCTTTTAGTATAAGAGGTATAATTAGGGTGAATTTCAAAAGGGACCTAAGCCTACAGTAGAGCTATACTGTGAAGAGCCAATGAGTAAAACATAATACACTGGGTCCCTGAGTTATGGGAATTCTGGTTAAAAAAATTTGCTCTTATGGAAATTGTAAATCATAACAGTATCCCTAAAATCATGATACGGAATGTAAATTCGTCCTTATAGAATTTTACAAAAAAATATTAATGCCCCAAAAAATCAACAAATTTTTTTATTTATTTTAAGAAATTCAAATTGCATTTCTGTGTGCTGATGATGATGGGGGCAGGCTTTGTTTTGAATATGGGAGTGCGTCAGTTATAGTCCGCCTCCGCGACTAGCTATTGTTCTTTCAAGATTTTTCAACACTCTGAAGTGTATTCCCCTAAATGAGCATGTAAAGGAATTACACTTGATGTTAAAGCTCAGTGTTTTATGGAGGTTTGATGCTGGAGAAAAACTTAGGTCCATCTCTAAAACTTGTGTATTTTTATGTATTTTCCCTGTACAAGTACTACTATTTGTGGTAATATAAAATGTCTAAAACTAAAGTTTTTTTGTTATATGTAAAAAAAAATTATATCTCCATTTATAAGTGTTTTTATTACTTGTGTTGAACAAAAAAAATTGTGTGAAAGCATCTTCACTTTTAACATGGGAGTACTTCGGAAAAAATGGTTCGCGTTCCGGCCACTTTTTCAAGAACACATCCATTCCATAATGCAGGGGTCCAGAGTCAAAGGGTCAAATATCCTAAAAAATATCTTAACCTCCCCAAAAAATGCAATTACAATAAATTACACCCTGTGTTTTCATGGAATATGTTCAGCCCAACTGAAGAAATTCACATACAGTACTTGGATCAGTTTGAAAGGTCTAATAACACCTCTGTATACATAATTCAAAACATAAGTTACTATTCACCTAGTCCATCGACAGCATGCCTCTATAGTGTAAAATGCTAGTTAATGTAAAAAATTTACCACATCTATATTCCACAATGTTACAATTTAGAAGAGGTATTTGTGATGCTGTATATAACACTAACAAGGATGGCTATCACAAGTGCATTACTTTACTACCACCTATGAATTAATACCTCTGCCTGCAAGAAAGATATAAACTTTTCATAACACAAGTGAGCAACAGAAGTCTTCTCCCTCCAGAATTTACACAAGAGAAATAGAAGAGAATGAAGGTTAAGAGGATAACAAAATTTCAAGATGAAACAATTGCATCATTTATGAACTGGTAATAGCTCAGCATCGACCACACACGCAAGTTTGGCTGCGCCGGGACCAAGCAGATAAGCAGGTCATCACTCTTATATTATTTTTGTCCATTTCCAATGTTTCTTGGCCACCAATCATCTCCAAGTTAACTAATTACTTTTGGATATTGACAAGTTCTCTCAAGTCAAGTATCCAATTTCATTATATAGAGAGATCCCCTTGACACTCTTTGTCAACCATGATTAAAACTGTATTTTTGTTTTTTTGTTTTTTGTTTTTGGTCCAATCACTATCAACTGTTCCAAACACTTCCACTGGTAACAATGGCTATGAGAAGCAGCTAACAGTAACCTGCCGCACGATGGATACAGTAATCCCAATGTTCCTTATTACAGGTTGAACTTGGCTCTCGTGGCAAAGATCAGAAGCTACAGCCGTACACTTGCCGTTCCCGGCAATATATTGAGGGTGAAATGAGCATCTGCAGAGAGAGCATGGGACTGATGAGAGCAGAAGTTGACCCCCGGGCTCTCGTGATCCTTTCCCCTCACCCTCCACGGCTGCACGACTGTATCTCTTACAAAGGAAGGTTTCACAGCCTTGGCTATGCTCCAGTGAATAACCTACTCTTCACGCCACATATGAGTAGATTTTCCTGTAACAAAAAATAACATGTACAAAAAGCAAACACCATATACAGTATAGTATACCAATTGAGCATGAGCTATGGAAATTATTTTTCATCAAATTACTTTATCAAACATTAAATTTACTCACCTATCTTCTGGAGTGCGGGCCAAATATTCCCGCTCTATGAGGCTTTCAATTCTTTTCTTGATAAGTATTGGGGACGGTAAGAAGCGGGACTTGAGCTGATCTGTTACTTCAGCAACCAAGTTGTTATGCTGTAGAGAGATAATACATGATTAAATGAAGGATTGATCTTCAAATCCTATCTTATGGCCAAGGCTGAAGTTAGGCAACTTGAGTGACACCATGTCTGCAATTTGAAATCCATGAAACTCTACAACAGTGATGGTTCAAACTATATCATGAATTACCTGTAGTTAATTAGTTATACCTTCTTACTACTTCAGTCCCCGAAAAGACCACTTAAAGTAGAAACAACAAATTGTGGTGTCACATCAGCATGTATACCTAGACCTCATCTCAGTCAGCTAAATTGGAATCCAAGACCATACTACTGTATTCAGTTCCAACCCCACCCCCTGACCAGACCATGTTCACCACCTAACTTGACATCTCACCCCTCCCACCCAATTGTAAAATGACCCCAATGTCAAAGAAACAAAATTAAGGTGTAGGCCAGGGACACCATCCTAAATTTTCCTACAAGTATAAGTTTGTCACCCCCCTTGACCCAGCTGGGGTTGACTCTAAGCCCTACCAAACAGAGCAAGAATCATGTTCTTCCTGTCTCTGAACCTATATCATAACTCTTCCCCTAAATTACCTCTGAACTGCACTCGAGGAACACCTCCTCCAAGTATCCATGCCTCCTTCCGATAATAAAAAAGCCAGAGGACCAATTGTCCAGAAACCTAGTCAAAAACTACTCTAACTGCAAGACTTCAAGACTTGAACCTTTCTCTTGAAGGGTTATGCCCTTGGTAAAAAGAAAGGTCTCCAATTTAACTACCAGTTCTTATCCTATAGAGAAGGGGTTAGAATAGAATGACATTTGCAAAGAGCATATCATCAGACTCCAAATTGATAAACATTTTGTTCTTTAATGTATTCTGACCATGGCATCCCTTTCACCTGAACAAAGCACCTGTGCCTACAAGGAACAGTACAGGCACCTCTTGATTTACGCATTTTTGTTTTATGCCGTTTTTAGAATAACGCGTGTGGTCCATTTACACTTTTTTTATTTATGCAGGTCTACTGTATGTTTGGAATAATGTGATCATCGACAAACATCATCACTGGGCTGGCAGAGGGGTGGTGAGGTGTTGCCAGGACCGTACAAGGAGTGTGGGCATGCAGCTTCCTGCTTTGCAATCCCCAGTGTGTGGATCAGTCTAAAGTCACAGAGTGCTCCATTATTTTGTGATGTAGTACACTGTATATAAAGTATATATTGCACATATTTTGCCCCTTGCATCATGCCACCCAAGTGTTCATCAAGTTCACCTGGTTACAGTGGTGCTAAGAAGCAGAAGGCTATTACTATTGAGACGGATATGTTCAAACGTTATGAGAGGTGAACGAACAGCAGATAATACATGTGCCCTTGGACTTAGTGAATCTACAGACTATTCATGATACAAGGATGGATGATTAAGGAGAATGCCAATAGTGGAACATTTATCAGTGCATCTAAGACCTTGTGTTTCAGAAGTTTGATTATGAAGAGAATGGAACTAATGTTGAGCACATGAATTGAACACCAAACTCACAAAATGGTCCTGTCAGCAGGCCTGTAATAAAAACAAAGGCCCGGAGTATTTTATATTACCAGGTACGTGCATACAGTACGCCCGGATAATTCGCGGATTTTTATTTCGTGGTCCTCTACTATTTGCAGATGACATCCTGGATGTACCCAAGAATGTCTGCGGGTAGTATTAAAGTTGCCAGCATTTTCACGGCTGGGACAGGGAGCCATTCGTTCTAGAGACAGTACTGTAATTTCCTTTACCTGTATTGTGTGTGTGTGTGTGTGTGTGTGTGTGTGTGTAGAGACACACACAAAACACATAGATAAATAGTAGGTAGTAGGCAGCTATCAAACAGGAAGATATTGGAAACATAGTGTGTTGTCTAATGGTAGACCCTGCTGTCATGTCACCAAAAAAATTGTGACCAAGTCCCAGGTTGCTGATTTGACTTTCTGCCTCATTTACACACAATTGCAGGGTCTCAATCGTTTCTCTTACTTTGACAACACAACATACATAACGTACATAGCATTTCTCATTCTTGATTTATTTTTTTCGTTTTTTGTAATTATTTATGGTTATTATTATAATATTTATTATTATTTTTGTATTAATTTTTATTATTATAATAATAATAGTTATTAACATTATTATTATCATAATATCTTCACCCCTCCCCCCCAGGCCCTGATGTGGGTCAGTGACCTGTGCCCAGGTGGGCTAATCCCAATAAAAAATAATAATAATAACAACAATGGGAAAATCCTCTCACAAATAATCAGTAACCAATGTAATATTAACAAAGCGCGAAGTAGACTTGAGGGTAGACTCAACATTTTTAATACTACATTTGTTTCCGATTATTTGCGAGAGGATTTTCCCATTATTATTAATTTGTATGTGTGTCTCTACACACACACAGTGTATAAAATACAGGTAAAAGAAATAATTGTCGTAAGTGCAAACACAAAGGAAATATACATTTCTTTGTACACAAGTAAAAATGTACCCCCCCCCCAGCCAAAAGTTATTCGGGAATTTGGTGATTCGCGGCCATTTTGAGAACCCAACCCCCACAAATTTGAAGGGCCTACTGTACTGTAGTTTTTCACTGGTAAAATATTCGGCATTGTCTTATGAATAACGAAACTCCAGAATTTCCACTATTTATTGTACATTGTTTGATTTACGTGTTTTTATTTGCACGACCATTTTCAAGAACTTAATTATCGCGTAAAATGAGAGGTGCCTGTGTGTTCTCATGGCTCTCCCCTGACAGTGTGGGGTCAAGATGGCTCCCATACTAACAAATATGCTGGAAAACAACAGATTACTGTAACTCTAACACAGAGGACTGTGTGGCCCAGCCTTTATTTTTATACCATTAAAACAGTAAAGACAATGGACTTGGCTTCAAAAACAAAAGACATCAGACAAAGACGACCATTCAGGATGAAGTCGTAATTTCTAATATGACAAACCCTAAAAGGCCTAGATGATGGATAAGGAGCACAAGCTGGGAATTCACAACTTATTGCTTTATACTGGGTTTCTTAGGCCTCAATCCATAGACATGGCAAGTTTATTATTTAAAAACTTGTGTACAGGGTCCCCTCTGTGCTGAATCAAATTGCTTGACGCTAGCCAAATAAAATATTAAAAGTGACGGCCCCATAGTGAAGTGGTTAAATCACTTAGCGAGAGGCCGTTGGGCTACAAATTAATATTAATGTTATGACTTATACTTGATATGCAGTAACTCCAATGCCAGAAAAGGCAACAGCAAGATTAAACTAACTGTCATTCGCCGACGGGCCTTCATGATCCTGACAATAGCAGCTTCAATCTCATGTTTGCGATCTTCATCAACTTTACTTCGGGTTTCCTTCCTCTCAGGTTCACTCTCACCCTTAGCTGCCACGGCTTGAATCTTCACTCTGGCAATAAAAACTCTGAGTTATCTTGGTTATCATTTTACTGAACATGCTACAATGCACATTTAAAGTATTATACACAGTGTACTGTATCGACAGGGATAATTTCAAAATGCTTTTCTTACAACACATCTATAAAGAACATTGTTAAGTATATATAACTAATGGGTGTGAAGTTCTTTGAAACCATCCTCAAATTAACAAAGACAGTGTTGTACGTGAGGAAAATGAAGGAAAGCAACAAACTGCTCACCTGAAAAAATCATTGAGCTGGCCAGAAGAGCAGTGTTATGTATGTTTAAAAACAGCCATTAATGAACAAATAAATGAAACTACAGTACAATGATCTTTAAGCTATTTACTTCCACTAACACCACCTTAAGCATGTTATAGCCCAAAATATTTATACATTTGATGCTTTTGGTGAATAAAAAAGTGCTAATGTCACAAACAGGAACAGCAAGCAGATAGCACACTTAAGTAGTTGCTGACCTCTCACATAGAGCACTGAAAACACATTTAAAAATGGTCCCAAATCCTATAGGGTTCATGCCACTATAAAGATGCACACTTAAGGTAACAGTGGCCTTCGTCCGAACAACTTTCGGAAAAAATTATCAACCAGTTTTTCAGATACAGGGGATCCCCGACTTACGAACGCCCTGATGACCTATTTTCTACTTTCATTTACTGTATTTTGTCATTCTATTTCTTATTTTCTCTTAAATTATATGGTTTTGGATGTATACAAGGACTTAGGCTATGATATAGTGGGATTTTAGACACTGTTCTGTAAGTATGGTATATATTCACATAGAAGGTGTTTCGACTTAAGAACGTTTTCAGGAACAGACATCCATTCATAACCCGGAGAACCCCTGTATACTGTAGTTCTCCATTCCTCTCTTTATTCTCCCAATACTGTTACTACCACAACTACCAAATATACTTCCAACAACAGCACTACATAACAATGGAACACCCCTTAAGCCCATTTGAAAAAAAAATTGGCCACAGGACCTAGAAAACCAAACTAAGGTCTCTTCTTTTGAAAAATAACTGACATGTTGATTAAACGAAGCCTTGGTATAAATTCAAAGGGTTAACCCCAAACCCTTCATAATATATATTATCTACAAACAAACTAACAGTACAAGTCAACCCAAGTATAGGTTAATGGTTAAAAAAACAATTAAAAACTAAACAGCAAATCAATATATTTGCCAGTTACACTTCCCAATTACTATTCTCTGTCATATTTGATGAACAAGTGCTTCAAATCAAACCACAACTGCTCAGTCATTTCTTATGTGTTTGCATCAACAGGTGTGAGCCTGCTGGTACAAAACTTATTCTGTACAAACTGTACCACTTACACTCTTCAGTTTGTTTTTATGTAACTCATGAATTTACAATACTGTAATCTAAATATCTTAAAATAATGAATAGAAAACAAGGGGAATATAGAGGTTGTGAAAACAATGCTCAGACTTGCAGAGTCAGTCAGGTTGAGTAAGCCTCCTGTGCAGTTAGCTGGGTGAAAAATTGACAGACCACTTTGACACTGTTACAGAAATCACAGAACATTAATTGTTTCCTACTTGCCCCAATGTGTTCAACTTCACTGAATATCATCTAATCGTAAGTCCCATGTCCATTCTATCATTTTTACTTCTTTACCTCCCATCATTTCTTCAGCTTTCTCTGAAGTGGTGAACATATTGACATACCATCTGTTCTCACACAAATGACCTGCCACACGAACCTAATGTACATGCATTATCAACAAGGAGCTTCATCATTCTATTTTTTAACTTCCTTCCAGAATTACCCTTTTCTTAGTCGTTTTAATTCATCCATTATCCAACGGCATTCACACTGTCTTTTACATCCATTTACCCAAAGCCTTTAAATCCTTCAATCTGTTACTCCCATATCTTAATATCACAACTGGATTACTTAAAAATAAAATTAGGAGAATAATACCAACAATAAACCCTTTAATTCAGAAAGGATTCACTGTTGGTAATGGTTAACAGATGATGATTAGCCATATGAACTACAAAAAAAAAAAACATATAACCATACCTGTACAATTTGGATGTGAAAGAATCATTAACTGTAAACTCATGAGAGGACTCCATCTCTTTAGTCTTCGGAGTCTTGAGCAAAACTCGTTGGGCTGGCTTGCCAAGCGCTAGTGACTGTAACGCTCGAACAAGGTCTCGATCAGGGATGTCGGTCTCATTTTGTATCTCCTGAAAATTTTGGAAAAAATTTAGTGTATTTGCTTCCTCATTTGTGTTGTTGTTAAAACTGATGCCAAAACTCAGTAACTGTAACGTGTAACTGTGACCTAAACTACAAGTGCTGAAAGCTTATGAATATTCCTGCAGTTAACTCCATGAAACCATTTATTCTTATCTTATTTTTGCTCAATAACATCATCTTGTTTACCTTCACTCTTCTAAATCTATTCCCACTTCCCTCACTGCATTCTTCAGCAGTTTTCTTATCTCCATATACTGTACTTCATAAAACACTAACACATTGACATACAGTATTATCTTCTTAATACCTTCCCACTATTACATAGATTACTACCTGACAAAAATTATTTACACTTTAATTGGCTATTACATATGTCAATAAAATACCCAGTGGAACAGAATATAGCATACACTTCAAATAAGATCAAGTTTAACACAGATATGGCATAAGTTTTATCCAAATTTTAAATATTGACCCATGGATCCAACCCATGCAAACATAGGATATTAGACAAAGAAAGAGGTTCCAATAGGTACAACTGTATGTTATGGACAGTGTGGATACTGAACACTATAAATTTTGCCTTCGGTATGCAGGGAACCTGTATATAATAAGAGTACAAATACCCCATATGGGTTATTATACCAATTGAATTCATAATTAACTTACTACATACATAAATAATTTACAGGATGTAAAAAAACATCAGATAGGATGTAAAATTCACACACCTCATAAGTTAGTTTATCCCTAGTATTGAAGAGCATGAGGATGACCATTTGGTAGGTAGACACCTGAATGATGTGTTTCTTGGGGCCTGAGGGTTTTCCCGTCGCCATTACTGCTGATCCCGACGGCGTTGCTATGGCATTTGTTGGTGTGGGTGGACCAGGGAGGCTCGGAGATGGCACAAGACCATTATTATTGCTCGTGCCACCACCGACAGCCGATGAGGAGGAAGATATACCAGCAACACTGCTCACTGTATCACCTGATGCTACAGCTGCCACAGAGGCTACTGACCCAACAACTACACTGGCTGTTGCACATGCACTCTCCTCTTTTCTTGAGCCATGGAATACTGCATTGAGATCTGCTGACCTAGAAATTTAATAAACTAATTAGAAGTTCCATAGAATCAACAACAATGTCAAGATACAAATGTTTTAATAATGGTATATTTGGTGTGATGATGGAAGGAACACAAGGAGGAAAGTGACACCACTAAAAACCCAATGCTTCCTCTTCCACATTAGAATACAGTTAAAACTTTAGGGCAAAGTCACCATATATTGTAAGAACACGACCAGATATACTGATTGCCTCGAAAAGAACACTGACCCCAGCTGTGGTTGAAGAGTAAGTTGTCTGCCGCTGTGTTTGTTGAGGTAGAATCTCCGGAAGGCCTCAAAGGCACTTCTGGGGGCCAGGGGAACATTGGCTTTCAGATTAGCTGACTGCGTTGGCCAGTACCCTGTTGTTAAAACTCGTACATAGATGTCCACTCCATATAAATTTGTCTGTTGGAAGAGATGACACTGAAGAATCCAATAAAACCAACAAAAATTTTAATTATCTCAATAAACTGTTACATTTACTGTGTAAAAATAATAAATATATAGGATCAACAAACATGGAAATAATTAAAAATATACAGAAGTTTAATTGAATTTACTAAACAATTTTCTAAACATACTTGGAGTACTCTTCCTGGCTAACTGGGTAGATCCTAAAAATCATATCCTTATTTTACCTCTCCACATTACAATCAACCCCAATCTAATATCATTAATATGAAAACTGATTCCAATAACTATACTGAAAACTAGAAGGCTTGAAATCTAACCAAGGCTCAACTTCTGAACCCAAGTTTATGGTACTCAATCATTTTTTTCTCTTTCTAATTTTGCTGAATCATACACAGTTCCTGGGTGTCAATTCCTGATAAACAGCTACATAAATTACCAAAAAAGTCTGAAGTATGCATAAAAATCAGCCTAATCCTGTAAACATGTTCAATATTACACTCCACAAACCATACCCCAGCACTGCTGACTCGTTGCTTGAACTCCTCATTGATGGTATTGGAAATGGTCACATCCTTGAACATGCCTTCAAGCTTTGAAGTAAATTGACATCCACACTCTGTTTTCAGTTTAGATATCATTGTTTTCTCCGAATCCTCTGAGACAGACTTTTGCAAGAGAAGACGTTTGGCTAGGTGCTGCTTATAGTAACGCTCAAACACGTCCTTCTCTTGTAGGAAACGGAACAGCACCATTGTCTTGTCTAACACCACTTCTATCTCTGCTTCAGTCATCTACAAGAAAAAGGGGTAATAGTTGAAGAGTGAAACAAGTACTATTGTTAATGAAATTAAGGTCCTCTAATTAATGGCAATTTTTTATTCACACCAGGAAAGTTCTTCTCCTATGCACAAGGTGCACATTGCTTAGTATAACATATCTTCTAACATTTCTCATTGAAAGAGACGAGATGTGCCAGACAATTCATTGACTGGATATCTAGAAGTTTGTAATTTAAATATGCTTGTACAGTACTTACTATCCAACTGGATAGTGAATGAAGAAAAGTGGCATCAAAAGCAGAAATACAAATTTCAAATACCCCCGTCCAGTACTATATACTGAGTTGAAAGTACCATACTATAAAATAATTATTTGATATTATTATTAACTTTCACAAAAATATTCATCAAAAGTCATTAATTGATACAGTTTGCCTCACAAGGTGTGTGATGAATTAATGGGCACGAGTCACTGTGAGTACACTAGTATAACTGGTAATAAAGAATCAAAATAAAAGTACTAATGTACAGTAATCCCGTGTTTTTTGCGTTTTTTTATCACGGTTTTGACCATTCGTGTTTTTTTTACTAAAACATTTACTATATTCCCCTGTGCGGTGCGGCAAACAGATGCCACTCTTTCCCGCCTCAGACACCCGATGCTCCTAGAAGCCTCAGTCCACACGTGCCTACTGTACTGTGCATGCTACTGTGATGACCTCTTCTGTTTGTCCTCCCATGTGCATTCCACATGGCTTCGGGACGTAAGCCAGCCTCATCAAAGGCAAAAATTACTAACAAAGACTCTAAAGTGACCAAGAGATCAAGAATAGTGATGACCTAAACAGAAAAATTTTTTATTGGACAAGCTCAGAGGTGGTACAAACTATGGCTCGAGATGTGGTGAAGACTGACAATTCATTTGTGTTTTTTGTCAGAATACAAGTCTTCAAGTGGAGGAATGTGGGTGGAAGAGGACTGGCTGGCTGGTGTGACTGCGTGAGGACGGGCAGATGCCGGGACAGCAGGGAAAGGCTGGCAATGCGGGTGTTGCTGACCTCGGCGAAATAATTTGTTTTTTATTTACTTGTAAATAATTTTTTTTTGTATATAACCGTTTACGTTTTTCCATTATTATACAACAATATGATTAGTTTCAAATAATGATGTTAGTAAATGCTGGTACAGTGCATCAGTTATCAGTGTGACCACTGGGCCGTGAGTGGAGAGCATGACCTACCTGAGCTGTTTGGTGACCACAGGTACATTGATTCCTAAAGGAGTATTTGCGGTTTTGGCTTTTCGCGGGGGTTTCAGGAACGTAATTCCCACGAAAAACACGGGATTACTGTACCTTATAATAAAGCAAATTTACACCCAGTAATTACGTACAGTACCACTTAGTGGGAAAAATATTTGAGAAAGCAGGAACCAAAAACATGCAAGGTTCTGTAGGATATTTTGCACCATTTTTTGTAATACAGTATAAAAACGTTCCATGAGTCACGTCTTACATTTTTTTACAGCACAACAAATACAGTACTGTGCAAGACTTTTAAAACCTACTGACTCTCTTCATATAAATACAAATATATACAAATTAAATATAATAAAGTAATGTACAGTACTGTAATTACATTTTCACATTAGGCAGTTAATAAAATAGTTTGGAGCTACCAATAAACTATTCCGAGGGCAATATGAACTATTTAACACCCCACATTAAATTATGTATTACAGAGATGAAAGGCCTAGCACTCTCTTTTGGAGTCTATCAACATGTGATTAAAATATCATACTGTGCTACACAATAGACTGGACTCCTGAACAATAGTAGCCAAAAAGTAAAAATAATTTAAAAGAATAAGCAGCAGATTAATGCTTTAGTTTTTTTCATGCTATTACTTTTCTCACTACTGTCGAGTGTATGTTTAGAATTAAGATGAAACACACACTCAAACTATTCCCTTTTTACTGTTGTAATAGATATATTTTGCAATGATATTAAGAGACCATAAGTATCTACCTGGTTTATCCATCACTTGACACAACCTAGCATCACCCATCACACCACATGAAGATAATTATGGCCAACTCAAAGCTGAGATAGCACTAACATGTGAAACAAGATTAAAGATGAAATACAAACACTTTCTTCAGATAAATTACTTCACTGGTTGGATTGTGTTCACACTCTAGGCCTAATAATGACCCCCCCCCCCCAAAAACATACAATATGTACAAAAGAATCAATAAAAACTTACTCCTTTAACTCCCTTCTTGAGCTTGTCATCAATAAACAATGACAAGTACTCTGGTGATTTGTTATTAAGGTTGAGGAAGTATTCAAAGTCAGCTGCAATCATCTGTTTAAATATCTTATCATTATTGAAGGAGTTGTGGAGGAAGTGGTCAAATCGGTCCTTCAGGTCCAACAAATTCTGCAAATGATAAACTAATTAATAAGTCTTTAATGGCACCCAGAATCTAATGCAGGCCCCAGTAATAATGTCTGGTAAATCAGAGCATTTGAGGCTTTAGCAATATTATATTATATATACAAATAGTAACAAGTTGCTGTCCTTCCTCCAACTAATAGATCTTTTTTTTACTACCTTCTTCTTAACACCAGCACCACCTTTTCAGTGAAAGAACTAAACATATATTTTCCTTCCTTATACCTCTATTCTTTCTCACTCCCTTCCTTCTATTTTTGTTGTAGTGAATGTTTCCTGAGGCAACTCATTCCTCTCCACATCTTGTCTCTCTACAAAAACAAGTTGCACCTGTTTCACCATGCAACAACCAAATAAGCACAACTCTTCAACAAGTACTATATTGGATTATTGGTGTCAAGAAAGTGCCTTATTCCTTACTATTTGGAAATTATTTTCATGAGAAATCCCCTCACCAAAGGAATGGAGGAAGTTGCCATTAGAGAGAGGGCATCACTGATGTAGACAAGTGTAATGCTGAAAACTGTAGATTCTGCAGCTAACAAGTAAAATGGTATTTTTGAAGATATTAAGTTTGATGGTAAAATAAAAGCAGAATAACAATAAATGCAATATTATACAAATGGCACTCTTCTATTTTTTCTTCAATATATGCCGAGGCAGCAACTCTTGTCTTTTCATTTACACTTTATTCTTACTAAAAGCTGATGGCAACTGCTTCACTGAACCAGAAAAAAAAATCTGACATATTGTTGGTTCGATACATTTGAAGCCACCATGATGATCAGATGTCAATTTGGTTTAGAATGATGTACTGTACAGTATAAAGCATTGATCTTACTATTGATACAGAGAAGTGTACATAAAATATTACTCTACTGTACTTCCACTTACCTGTACAAATGTGATAGCATTCTTTCCTCCTTCTTCTTCTGCCACTAAAGCTTTCCCCTGTTCCCTAAGATGTTGTGATACACATTCTGCTACTGCCCGCAACCCATCTGATACACGGGACATTAGCTTATACATACAAGCTAAGTCTTCAGTTTTATTATTCTTGAGCATATGTACAACTCCAGAGTTCTCCATCTGTTGAGATATCAATGGAAAAATATCAAATACATATTAATGAGGGGTGGTACAGTACATATATTTCAAGCTGTACAGCCAGGTCCAATTTGGTCATAAACTTTTTAATCCAAGAGATAGATATTGGGTGCTATTGTCATGTTCTTTGAGGCTGTAAAGCATAAGGGCTCTGGCATAAGAAACAGGTATGATGAATTTGTGATATAAATAAAAGCGCAGAGGAAATATTTCGGTAACATCTAGTATGCAGCGAGGCCATACCTCTACAATGGTCTTCCATACCTCTACAATGGTCTTCATATGTTTCTTTATTAGTTCTTCCTCTACAACTTCGACAATCCGCCTCTCTGTCGATTCATCCAGATAATGTTTAGCTCGTTCTGCCTCCTCCATTATCCGTGCCTCTACTCTCTTGATGTACACTGACGCACTGTTCTCTGCTAAAAACTTTTGACTCTCCATCTGTAAAAATTAAGACAAAAAATTGTGGCTCACAGCTGATTTTTTCATTCCTATTTCCTTACTTTTCTGTAAATAAACATCTACAATTTACAACAAGAATTTTCAGTCAACAAATAATACTCACCCTATAAAATTCTGCTGACTGAGCAAGGAAAGGTCTTTCAAAATCCTCTTCATAAACAGCTCGAGACTCAATGCCTAATACTATGAGCATTTGAGCTGCATTCTTAATTGCTAGTCTGTCCACTACTTCACCCCTACGTTCCCTCATCACCATATCCAGAAGTGTTTCTCGTAGATGATCTCTTATGCAACCATACCGCACAACCTGCAATATAATAGAGTAATTTAGTTAATGACTAATCTGTTACATAACTTAATCATGAGCAAAATTTTAAGAGTAAGATGATCAGAAGTACAACCAGTACACTGAAAATACTTACCTAAGTCTGGTACAGTACCAGCACTTATACCATTCCTCTCAGAATAAAAAAATCTTTACCTATATTACACCAAAACCTCTAGAATGCATGGATGAGTCAGGACAGTCCTACGGATCTAGACCCAAGCTGTTCGCAGCAAAATGCTCAGAATGGTAACATGCAACCCATAAAGCCAAGGCAGCAACAAGTTCTTAACACTACACATACAGTACTATGCTGGCAAGTTCCAACACCAAACAACATAACAGCTGCTCTGAGTTACCAGGCTTATGTTAGAAATTTGCTGTTGTGCCAAATATAATATAAATACATGTCACAATGAAGTTATGACCATGAAAAGTCCTCAGCCTGACTATAACAGAATTATTGGCCCACCTATGAAAGGTTCTGAGCTTAACTTTGACAAGCTTTCAGCCTTAAAATACAGGTACCAGGGTCTAGATCCAACTATAACAATAACCTTTTACATGGTATACGAGAGGTAGGGGCATCTATATCTCGCAATCAACTCACAGCATTCTAAAACTCTTCACTATTATCCCTCAATATGCCTGGTAAGCACCTAAATTACTATTTTTTAGCTATTACTGTTTTAGTATTTCTATGTCTTTAGGTCAGAATAGCCTTAGTTATAGGAATGCTTCCATTCCAACTTTCCACTCACATGGACTACCTCCGGCCTGCTGGATTCAAGAGATTTTACTGTAATTGCACATTTATATAGGAATTACAAACCACAGTCTTCCCCAATATTTTATTTAACCGTAAGTAACATTACCTGATCTCTAAATATTATTAACCCTAAGTTGTAGACGTTGTCAACGTTGTTCTGCTGAACATACACTCGGTCCATGTACATAAGGATGTCTCTGATCATCACCATAGATGTCTGATGATCATTCCAGGCATGATTTAGAGTCTGGAGAAAGTTGTTCTGCAAGGAGGTCAACACATCTGCTCGCACCTGTCAAACAACAATAAACCATAAATGTACTGTTCAGTATATAACATCATACATATTACAATGAAGCAACAAATACTTTATATTCAGTATATTGTATTATACTTCCTATTACACATAGCATAAGCTACTGGAAAATAAATAAAAAACATGGCAAGTGTATGGAAAATAGCTCTTTCTGTAAAGATTATCAAATGATAACGCTAAATGTTATTTATTCGAACACTGCAGTACTGCATAATTCACTTGGCTACATAAGGTAACAAATGAAAAGCTTCAGTACAAGACATTACGGGCTGTATTCACAGTCGCCATGCCTGAGGGTGAGCCAGACCATTGGGAACCCGAAGTTCATGTAAGAAAATGCTATTCAAGAACATGATTCGGGCACTGCGATGGATCGGGAACCCGATAAACCGTGCAGGGCTCCCAATAGTTCCAAATTGGCTGAATGGCCCACTCCTGCCACAACCCAAGTACCTCATAATATTTCTCTCAAACACAATAAAAAGTAAACAACATTAAAAAAATTACCATCATATGACCAAATGAACATAAAAGTGCAGAAAGGATATCTATGGGATATAGAAGTTATTATTCTCCGGTGTTTGAGGGGTTTGTTTTGAAGGTTATATTTTACCAGGTGTCGGTCACACTGGGATGGCCGACAGTTGGTGTGCCGTGAGTCAGCTGTCACAACATGGCAAGGGAAATATGGATAGCCGTGAATGTAGCATACCACTGTCTTTTAAGCAGCATAGTACTCTAGTTAAGCCTCATTCGTGTGAAGGGAAAAATTATACAAGACAAGGCATCTAACCTCTGGGGCTGTGATAAGAAGAGAAATGCTTTGTTTGTCTGCTGATGTATGGGTGCATGTTTATGATCAGCCGGGATTATTTAACACTCCTAAATAACTGACAATCTTTGAATGAATATGGAAACACGACTTTCTGTCACCAACAAACTCATTTCCTATCTGCTTGAATATATTCTATTTCAATTATCAAAATTTGGAGGGCGAAAAGTTTTTATACTCATTGGGACTCCCGATGAATTTCTGCAACAATCCCAATAGAAAACCCGATCCAGAGGGACTGCCATCGGATCTGTAGGCATCTCTAAGTAACCACACACGATGGTGCTCCTGATTGGTCGGGTGGTGTAACAACTGTGATTACGGCCCTGTATCACACCTGCCAATGATTCCATATTCTGGGAAGATATCCTGAAACTTAGTCAGAGAAAATGCTATGGCGTCACATGTTTTACTCCTTTATTACCCTTGCAAGCTTTTGCCCACTACCATACATCACAGGGGGACCAGAATCAATAGCACAAATTCCCTTCTTTCAGTCAATCATTTTATCTCTGAGTTCTGGAACATTTGTTCTATTATGGTGTTTCCTACCAAGTGTTAAGACAGTGTTTCACACAATTAAGCATCACTCATAAACAGCAAGTTCTTCCCAAGATATTTTGGACACCATTCACTCTTGATCGTACACACACACACAAACACCACTGCTTCCTGGAAGTTCATCTTCCTTCTGGCCAGTCCTTCCCTCTCTCTATCCTTCTATATTTTTCTTGGGTATTCTCACCTCTATCCTTCTACCATTTTCTTAAGGCCTTTTCTCTCTCACCTACCATCCAACTCCAAATTAAACATGGTATACCCATTTAACAAAAGTAGTTAATGTGCTTAAGTGCAATAATGACTGAAGGATGACAGATTCCACATCATAATGATGTAACAAAAAAATCTTGTTTCACAAACTGTTCTGAAAAATGAAATCTCTAAGTTGACAAGTAAGCTGCATTACATGGGGACAGAACCAAAATTACCTTAAGGGGCTGAATTAGTTTGTGACCCTCAAGAAAAAACATCCTATCTCTTTGGCATAAGTTAATTTCCATACAATTATAATAAAATAAAGGACTCAGATATTTGCCATACACATAAAAGTGTATGTTTCATTGAAATAAACTTGGGGGTGAGAGTGGAGGAAGGTCCCACTTAGTAATTCGGGAGATTGACATCCTAATCACCCCATCTCCTAGGCTTGTGAATTATTGCATTATTCTGCTAGAGGAAACAATGATAAAGGTTACCTTGTTCTCCAAATGCTGCGTAACAACATCTCTGAGGCCCGAGTAAAGTCTCTCTCCATGCTTGTGTAGGACCATGGTATAGGCATTACGGTATAGTTCCTCAAAGCTCAGGCCACTGTTGTTCTTCTTTTGAATTTCCTGGATGGCATTTTTTAGCAGCTGCCAGATGTTTTCCACATAGCGCTCATCCATAGTCATCTGTTAAGATAATGGCTTATTACATACTAGTACAGATAATAAAAATTACCATAGTCATCTGAACTGTATACAGTACATACCCCATTAAAAAAATAGCTAGGTAACACAAATCAAAATATTATCTTCAGCAAAATATACACTTTTCATCAATGGCTCAATATACACTGCATGTACTGGTAGTATAAAATATTTTATTCAGATGCTGTATTGTATTTTCAACTTAGTGAGTTACACACCAGAAAACAAACTTGGATAAATGTACAGATGGCCTTCACTGGAGGAAGAAAAGATGATGACCACTGTGTCAGGGGTGCTAAGGCCATATAGACTACACTCTGACATGCATACAGTGCCATTCCAGGGCATGTAGAGGTCTGTTGCAAGGCTCAACACTAGTTAGAAGTGTCATAGTACACAGAAAAATACAGGTACAGTACAGTATAACAAAATAGGATTTAGATTCATTAAAAACCCAAGCTTTCTTAATGTTTGATCGGAAATTATTTTCTCAACTGCCATGTGGCAAGGTTCTGCTGATCTGGAACCAAATCATGCCCATCTAACCTTCCCAAAATAGAGTAGTTAAGTCGCTACTGACCGCGCATATCGCGTAACTGAAAATGTCAATACAGTAGTTATGTTTTATACAATTCTATTTATGCCATATTTTTTCTCTCTGGGACTACAAAACAGCAAGTTTAATCACACATTCTGTCATGTAACCAGAAAATGCACCGTTTCAATTACTACAGAGGTAGTTACTACTTTGCACCTTTTAGGAAGAGTACAGTAATATCAAAATGCCATTACAGAGGCACCATTATCAGGTACTGTAAAATACTTCTTTTAAGACAGGCAAAACAAACCAACATCTAGCCTACCTGACTAAAACAATTAAAAGATTGTTAAGATGGATTGGTTTGTCTCATCTACAGTATATAAACAGAAATGCAATGTCAATGCAGTAAGTGAATAAAAACTTTGGATATTTTGCAAGATAATACAAAACAATGTGTGACCAGCCAAACTATGAATTTAATAATGAATCCTAACTTTTTTTCTTTAAAGAAAAGCCATTTAATAACTTTTAATTCTACCATGCTCACTTTTTAAGTCTTAAAATAATTATAAGCTACGCCAGTTACGGCGGCAAACAGTAAAAAAACAACGTAATCCAACCTAACCACACTAAAAAAAATATGTTCAACTTGCCTTCCCACATGAGACATCCACAATGTTGATCTGATCTTTACAAAACTTTCAGTCAGATGACCTTGTCAATTGCATGGTACTACATAATTTTGTCTAAAATAAGGTCAAGGTCAGCTTAAGTTTTGAATGTAGACATTCCCAATTCAACAGTTGCCAGCTGCAGTCACCACAATACGATTTTTTCTTGTGTTACTCTGAGCAACATTTAATTTGGTGTTTCTATAACTATAGAAGCCAGTTCCAGCAAACATGATAATAATCATGGGTAAGCAGGCTTATACATTACAGTACCTGTACAAGTACTTGACAATTTCTCCACTTACACCTTAAGAAATTTTCCAAGGGGACTATTCATTACAATCCAGAAACTTTTTTACTATCAATTTGTCAATACATTATTGAATTCTACGGCATAAAATTGTTTATTTTTTTTAGGTAAAAGAACATATTTGCAAGTACAGAGTACAAATAGTTTCCAAAACTGGTTGAATTTATTAACGGGGCCAAAACACCCAGCATTCCTTGACTACCTGAAATTAGCCCCATATTAATAACAAAATGAAATTAAACCACAGTAATAGTACAGTACAGTAATCCAATTCCTTGTTTTTGTAAATTTCCCTTCCCTTCAGCTGACCATATGAACTAGAGTACAGGTACCCAAAATACTGTACTGTACATCCAAAGCCCATGGACACAAAGGAATTTCAAATACAAATGGTGGTGATAATTGACTCTTCATATGGCAATATGCTAAGTGGATCCACAAATGAAAAAAATACAAAGCTCTTAATATGAGCACCACCCATATTATACCTCTGCTTTAAGACTGCAGTTAGCCCTGAACAAACTCGAGTACTGTACTGTATCCATGTACAGTACAGTAATGTGTATTTTGTTAAGTGGTTCATTCCTGCAAAAATCACAATTCAGCAATTTCTTCATGTAGCCACCTGCAATGTTTATTTGGGGCCAAACTCATGAGCTAAAAAATAAAGCTTTTTCTTTGACTGTACAGACATTTTTTGAAATGTTACAATTAACCTAAAATGCACTCTGCAGTACAGTACAATATTGTATTACCAATGCAAGAATCTGATATTACAGTACAGTATTGGTTCTTAGCTGCATGAAAGAGCCTAAAAAGTGTGGATGCTCTCTGTACCTGTAATTCATAATTGCTTTACTTTTTAAAAAGAAAAATGCCAACATCAGTTCTCCTATCACCCAACAGCAATGCTGCATTAGCGATATGACGGTGATGAATTAACTGGAGATATTATATTGTGTAGTAAATATGGAAGTAAACATGAAAATGACAGTACGATATACACATTCTTTTGAAATCAAAATTTGGTTAAAAAGCAAGTACAGCTACTGTACAGCTTTTGTGGATTAACATGCAAGAAGACATCTGAATACTGTACATACCTAAGATGTAAAATTGTCCTGTGTGCTTTAGAGTATATCCCAACCACCCTAACTATGACCTATCTTAAAGGTAAGAGATATGTGGTATGAATGTATCTAATGACATATAATGCAGCACCCAACAAGCCCTGTTTGGAAATGTATATTTTGTTCATGTGAAAAAAGGGTAAAAGTGTAGTTAAAGCTAAAGGCCTTATTGTATATTTACTTTGTTTACATAAGTACAGTACAGTACAATTTTTTTTTTGTAGAAAATGATAGGGACCTTAGAAAACTGAATTACAACTTACTTAGGTTAATGTTAAATATGCATCTAAAAGTTAATACTTGACAACATAGAAGCACCCACAGTACTAATACAGTAACCTCCCCATTAGCCGGAATCCCTGGTCCTTGGAACCCTCCAATAGCCGGATTGAATTTTTAGCCTTCTGGGAAATTTCGGGCATGGGAATGAGTTTCCGAGGGTGAAATCACATGTATTTTCTGGAAAAAAATCTCACTGTTCCAGGCACGGGAACAAATCTTCTGGGAATTCTGAGAGATTGCATCATACTTTGACGCATACCCAGGTGCCGGGCTCGTGGGTGGAAAAGCCCCTTGGGTAACTTAGGCCATAAGCTCATGTGCTTAGTTCATATTCTGCTGCCATTATACAAGGTTGTTTCATTGCTTGTTGCTGTTTATGCATACAATTTGTGTTGTGCAGTCCTGGACACTCTCACCAAAAACTTTTCAAACGCTATAAGCACTATACAATATGAAAAACAAATGAAGAATCTGAAACCATTCTGAGGTGACAAGCCTCATTCTGCTCATCCATTGTGCCCGGGTGTTCGAGAAGCTTTTGTTGAGTGTACACATTACTGTATCAGTTCACAATCAGCCAGGAATACAGTTGTAAGACGTAAAAAGCGATTACAGTTACGTAAACTGTTCTATACATTCAGTAAGCATGAAAGAACTGTAAATAAAATACTGTATAGTATATAGCAGAGTGTATGTATAGTATACAATCTCTCCTTCATGGAGGGAGAGGAGAGTGAGTTAACAACAAGTGCTACAGTAGCTAGATGGTACAGGACAAAGGCAGGCCATTCTGTATCATATCACCATTTGGCCTGCCTTGTATCACAAGCCCAAGATGACAGCATCTGCTTGTGAGTACAGTATAGTGTATACAATAGTATATTTTGTTTATTTTCAATATATTTTATGTGTACAGTGGCATTTGAATAAATAAATACAGCTATGTGTGTGTCTGTGCACCCAGCACCCGTAAAAATTCTGAGGTTGTGCAATAGTGTGTCTGTGTGAGACATGTTCATATGTGTTCAACATTTTTTTTATTAAAATGCAATATAGCTGTAGTAATCAACAATCCACCTCAGAAACTCCTGGCAAACATTCCTGAAGTACGGTACAGTGTACACCAAGAAAGTGCTGCATTCTATAATTCAGCAATCATAAAATGAACCAGATTTATCTACCTCACCAAACCTAACACATTAAAATTATATTGCATGCATTTTAATATATTACAGTACACGTATTTTAATTAAAAAAAAATCTTTGAAAAGAACCATTTACTCACAGAAACAAACGTGGTGAACAGAGGGACCTTAACTATGTAAAAAAATTTTGGGCAAGATTTTAGTTTTGGTCATCCCTGTACAGTATTTAGATATCCAAACTACAGTAAGTGATTTCTGACAGGTATGATGGTTCAAATCGTTCAAAACCCATCAAAAATCATTGGAAAAAATAGTTTGGATAGCTAACTAATTGCCAAAAATCTCTGGTTGACCAAACCTAAAACACATGTAATACCAATCATTTATGACATGAGCTTTTACTTGTACTGTATATCTACTACAGGTATATACTGTACTAATTTCTTTTTGTAAAAATGGTGGGGACATTAGAAAACTGAATTTGAACTTACTTAGCTTAACTTTAAATATGCATTAAAGCAGTGCCAAGTGCTGTTGACACATTGGCAAACTGTGAGATTATGGCATTAAATAACATGAAAGATAACAGGAACCAAAACATATTAACACTCTTAGCCTTTTTTCAAATTCAGTTAAGTTAGCAAGGCCATGTTAGTCTGATTCATGTCATCTGTTGTAAATAATTTAATAATACAGGTACTGTATATGGTAGTACTGTACAGTACTATTCTCTTACGGCCGTCGAGCTCATTTGCGCAAGGCGTTGCGACGCTATTCTTCATAAGGATATTGTAACACACGATTCTTACCGAGTTCAAATTCTTTTTTTTCTAACTGCCCCCACCTGTTTCTGCAATAAGAAATATTGCTTAGTAAGTACAGAATGTACATTTTTTTTTGTATATAACACCCAAACAAAATATTCTCTAAATGAGATTTATAAACAAAACATTACCAATACAACAAAAAACAGTACTACAGTACAGTCCTCCTTTCCGGTTAGTGTAGTGAGCCACTGCAACAATTATATGGAGTACAGTATATAACTTAAACAAAAACACTGGCGACTAAACAAACACCGAAACAATTTGCCACAAAATGTAACAACCAGAAAACTTTTCTAAAAGGTTGTGATTGTGTGAAACATATTGTCACCACATGATGGCTGAGAATCGAATTTAGTACAGTACAGTACTGTATAAAGAAACCTACCCTACCTTCGAGCGAGAGAAATTTTTCCATCGTAAGAGAAAACGTTGTGAGAGCTGTCAGTATGATTTGCCATGTGTTGCTAAACCACAAACATAAATTGATGCAAATAGCTCAAGTGATAGCATAAAAGTTTGTGAATATTCATCCAAACACACTTAGAAAACAAACGGCATTGAAGGCAATTTATTCCTTAGACCAAGAAAATTTTAAATACAGTACTGTAATAAGGAATACAAATTTTCCCTATAAACAATGGACTTCAAACTGTAACGTAAACACTTTGTGTCTGCCACTTGTACCTATCCTAGGATGGACATAGATACATTATTCTAGGTTAGGCAAGTCAATGTTTGAATGGAAAAGTTGTTTGGTCGCTGGAAGTTTTTTCACGGTTATACAGCTGGTACTTAAATGTTCATGTGCACACTGCTAATCCACCAATTTTGACTCCATGGTACTTTTTTATTGAGGATAACTTATTTCTTAATTTGTGAAAATTGCAGGAATTGCAATTTTCAAAATTGTATTCCCATAAATGATCTGTCATCATTTCCCTGCAGACACTCCCAGTACCCTTCTCACCCAAATGCTACACTGCATCATTTATCCGATTTATCATGAGCCAACCAAGTCTAATGACAATGTAATATATCATATTACTAATACTGTACTTTGGAATAGTAATGCACCTTAACCGGACTGAAGGACATACCTTATCTAAATAGAAGATAAATACTTTCTTTCCTCAGGAGAATCCCATAAAATGATGAGTACAGTACTGATTATGTAATTTTTTCATCCTGAACACTGTGTTGACACGGCACATCACCATATTCACTGTTAACATTCCGAGCATTGTTTCATCCTCAGGAACACTTCCCAGCAACCACTACATGCTGTATACACAAACAACCAGCAACTTGAGAAAATTTTTGTATAGAAGGTATACCAGTACAGTATAACTTTCTTACCAATTTAAAAAAATATATATATTTTGTCAATTTTCTCTTGAACAGCATTTCATGCACTTACCAGAGATTGCTACATTATATCCAATATATAAATCATATAATGTAACAGTAACTGGTAACTTTTTAGTGTGCCTGTGGATAAAATAAAATACTTTTGCTTGTAAACAGTGAATAGGGCGTCGTAGTTCGTCGACATAGAAGAGAGTTCAGGATGAAAAAAATCATATATTGTATATAATATATATTATACAAAATTGAAATTTTCATAATTTTATGGAATTTCCATGAGATAAGGTGACATTAATGTTCTACTAAAAACTTCCTAAAGTTTCTGGTTAATGTGCTATAATAGTATTTTAGAATATTACTATTGCTTATAAGTTAGGATTGGTACCGCTACAATGTAGTAGTTGCTGTAATTGTTCATACAGAAAGGTTCCTGGAGGCATTTGTACAGAAATGACAACAGATCAAGCACAAAAATGGTTTGGACTGACGAGACATATAAATGGATTACTGTACACTATTTTCAGAAAGAAATAAAAAAAATAGATTGCATCAACTGCACAAGATTTTTGGTTTTCTCAAAGTAAGAAGGGAGTTCTCTTCTATACAAAGCTAATAAAAAATAAGCATTTTAAGAGCACAAGCATTATGAAGTATTACCCTTTAATCTTTAATGTATACCATATTCATAAGAAAATGTGTGGATGTGTGCAGTGGTGTTGGTTCTCAGTTTCAGTATTCGGCAGAAATCTGGTAGTGATGATATTACTTTGCAGTGTAAGTGAAATAAAATATGAAGTGGTTATTTGACCAGGATTCCCGGCCGAATAACTGTCGGCTATTTGACCGAGACCCATGAGGATTGTGCATACATGATCTTAATGTGATTCTGGTCAGGATGGCTGTGGGGATTACACAAGTGTACTATTATTTAAATGTTGAATGGTTTACCACCATCTTCGTTAATCATCTTCTGATACTACGAGTTGTTTCACTTCTCTCATGGACATAAATAATGTAGGTTAGGTTTTCTTAATAAATTAATTTTAATTTATTCTGATTTTATCTTCCTTGTATCCTTGATTTTTCAGGTATTATTTCTATTTTATCGATTTTTGCCCATAGTTTGAAATTATCAATAAAAAAATATGTAAACTTTTGTGGCCAGAAGTACTGCGCTTTATTTTAGATCTCAGTCAAATAACCAGTGATAATTGGACCGGATACTGGTCAAATAACCATGCCAATAAAATAATGTCCTTTTTTTACATTTCTAACAAATAATTAGCCTATATAAGCATTTTACCTTGTACATGTATTGCACATAATGAGCTTGCATCAAGGTGTAACGTGTTCTTGCAACTGTTAATGGACTAATCAAACAAGCAATACTATTCCAAAAAGTACATGTCAGTGTCACTAGACTTGACAACAACACCAGGACTAACTCCCCCTAACTTGACTCCCTATGTACTACAGGAGTTCCATAAACTTACGAGTATGACAAGTACTTAAACCACGGTATAACATGTGGTAAATGACAAAAGAGTGAACTCGGGTAAGTTAATAGAACCATATCAAGCGATGCATAGGGAAAAAGAATAAAATCTTCTCACAGGTTAGGACGGCATGACCAAAGGTACCACATACTTACCGGAAAAGCGCGTATACGCATTTTCTGATGATCCTTTTTGTTTCCTGGTTTTAACGAACTCATATTAATGGTATTTCGTTCACTTGATTTTAAAATACACTGAATCTTTGACACTTCCTTCCCGAAATTCTTGGGTGTTCATCAAAACATCTTTTATTAATGGCCTCTAATCAAGATACACGGCATTATTATAATCATTCGTATATTTCTTTCATCTTAAACAAAATTCAAGTTCAAAGTAAATGTGGAGTCATGATGATAAAGTCACCGAGAGAGAGACATGTAGGGAGTTAGGTTCACTGGTGGTGTCTAAGGCGGCGAACAATGGTCGGCCATCATTGTTGATACACTACTTTCACATTACGCCCACAAAACTAGTACCTTAACGCATTTTTTACTGATTTAATGAAGATAATTAATGCATAAAACATAATTGATGTGATAAAAATGAATTTATTATATTTTTTAATTTTACTATCAGAGGATAATTTATTTTCTCTGTAGAATTTGGTAAAGCGGAGTAATACATGGAGCAGCTGCTGGTGTGTGTGACGTCAGGAGGTAAACATGGCGCTGGCCCTGGTGAGGAGCTCGGCCGGTGGTCTCATGAACCATGGAGTCTTGGCTCTCCGGGGGAATAACACGAGCCTGCTGCGGCACTGCTCAATCGCCCATACTCTACAGATCCGGAATAACATAAAGAAGAAACGGAGCGAGGCTCTGCTTGGCGGAGGGCAAAAGAGGATTGATGCACAGCATAAAAAGGTAGTTGTAAGGGTATTAATCTATTTTGTCCACGTTGATGTACAAATGTTACACCCGTGACATTTGTAGATCATATGTGACTTAGGTAAGTTTTACAAGTGGACAACCATGGATTTTAACATCGGAAAAACACATTGCTCAACAACCAAAAAGCACCTAACCTAGGTTTAGGTTAAGTTAACTCGACGATTTACACTATAAAAACCCATTTTATTAAATCAATTAGGTAGTGGCAACTACTAATTATTTACCAACTTGAACTTTTAAATACATGTAAACCCCTTTTTAACACATTCTGGTCTTTAACCAAAAACATTGTAATAACTTCTCCACTCCCTCTTTTCCTCCTCTCTTCCGACTTAATAACTCTTTAGCCAAATCTCCCCTTGACAAAGCCAATCTCTTTGGCACCTTATTCTCCTCTAACTCCACCTTAGATGATTCCCACTCTATCCCTCCTCCTCCTACTGAACCACTCTATCCCTCCTCCTCCTCCTACTGAACCTATGTACCTTCCTATAATCTCCATTCGCAGGGTTGCTGGTGTGTTATCCAGGTTGGATGTGAGTAAGGCGCATGGACCGGACGGAATACACCCTCGTGTTCTGAGGGAATGTGCTGAAGTTCTGGCCCCTTTGCTTGCTCACCTCTTTCGCATTTGCCCCAAAACCCAAACTTTTCCTTCTTCTTGGAAGCATGCCTTGGTTCAGCCCATCCCAAAGATGGGTGACCATTCTAATCCCTCTAACTATCGCCCCATTGCCCTAACTTCATCCCTCTCTAAGATTTTCTAAACTATGTTGAACTCCCATTTTCTCCACCACCTTGAACGCCATTCTCTTTTGTCGGATCACCAGTATGGCTTTCGCCAGGCGAGATCTACTGGTGATCTGCTCTCTTACTGCACCCATCTTTGGTTATTTGCTCTTAGGGATTATGGGCAAACTTCCATGATCAATTTGTGGTGTTACAGTATTTTGAGTCATGCATAGCCATGGTAATTTTATTTTTATTTTTTGTATGTATCCCAATTGTTTTATGTATGAAACTTTAGCTCAGTAAGGTGAGATATGCAATACAGGTATTTATTTTATTTTCCTTATGAAAAGTGTGTTATATATTGTTGTGTGTTTCGGGCAGAGGTAAATTCCTAGTGCTTCATTGCCTTATCCTCCACCTGCTTGTCCTGCCTTATCTTTACAGTCACCACATTTTGCTCCTAAGCTTGAATTACTTTTAGTCATCTTGGGTTACATGAAGTTAATGGCTAAAGTTGAAACTGTAACTTGAACCTACCTTAAATTTTCACCAAATTGAATTTGTCATTAGGGCAAGTTAACAGCTCGAGAACGGGTGGAGCTACTATGTGACCCAGACAGCTTCGTGGAGTTTGACGTGTTTTCTGAGCACACCTGCACTGACTTCGGCATGGAGAATCAGAAGGTGAGCACCATTGTTTTTATACTGTAGTTGTATACAGTAATAACATTGTGAAACTATGCACAATTTGCCTTTTCACGGCCATTTATATGTAAAGCAGATGTTCAATTGTCTTTTTGGTCATGAATGATGACATCCTTCTACACCGGTCCTTCGCTGTGTACAAAGTTCTCTCCTGAAAATAGCCTTCAGAATACAACCTGACCAAAACATTTGCAGTTGGTGTTAAATTGCCAACATTTCAAAGATAACACCAAGCTGAGTGGCTGTAGACTTGGGGTGACCCGAATTATGACCTCACATGGTAAGTTTTACTGCCACCGACACCAGATTATAAGGGGAATGATAGTTAGGTTAGGTAATCACAGGTGCTGCCTCCACACACCCTGCAGATGTGAGGTGAGATGGCAGGAGTTATTACATAACATGATATGGGTTACTGCCATTGACACCAACCAGAAGCTGCAGTTGACCCTTGGATGGAGAAGGGTGAGGGTAAAAAGCATTTGGATGGACACAAGTGATCTGTAATTAACACAATAAATTTGAATGTTCTATGATGTTTATTTAACTTTTCCCATAAAAAAAATTCACTTGCCTGGGACAAGTATATCTTCCACATAATCTGCACAGCCTGTGTTGAAGACTAAGTAATACAATTGGTAAACAGTTCAGAGAAACAATACTTATCAAGGGATGAGAGCATGGGTGAATGGGATAAGTAGTCTCTGGGTAAATACAGGTGTTTACCTCCCCTTTTAATTTTCTTTCATTAACACTATGTGATGGACCCGGCAAAGTGAGGTAAAATGGACCCCATACGAAGGCAAGGGGTTCCTGTGCCTATGGATGTCATATTTAGTGGTGCTACATAGCTCCATTGGATATTTTAATGATGCCGAGCCTTGTTTTCTCAGTTTCCAGGTGACTCTGTCGTGACTGGTCATGGTTTCATTCATGGTCGGCTGACTTATATATTTAGTCAAGATTTCACTGTGTTTGGGGGTTCACTTTCATCTATTCATGCAAAGAAAATATGTAAGGTGAGTTATAAGGTCAGGTGGTGATGATTGTTTTGATGTAATATTGCATAGTAGTACTGTAGTAACAACTTGATTTAACACTTTCATAGAGAGTTCATATTTCCTCTTTTGCTTTCAGCTATGTACTCGAGTATGCCTGTACGTGTAGCTCATTTTCTTTATTAGATACAAGTGCTCGGCAACAGTGTGAAAGACTGTTATATGCTGATAATGTTTTAATGCCTTATACAAAATACTTATTCACGTTGAAAATTCTTTGTTTCTCTCTTCTTAAATTCAAAATTCAGTTCGGTAATTCAAGTTGTATGAACCATTAAGTGAAATGTATATCCCAATTTTCCCATTTCATAGCTTCAAAATTCCCAAGAAAAACTTTTGTTAATTAGGAATTCCTGTTCTTTCATATTTCTCATTTCACTATTCGATTAGATAATGGACCAAGCAATGCTAGTGGGGGCTCCTGTGATTGGTTTGAATGATTCAGGTGGAGCTAGGATTCAAGAAGGAGTTGAATCTCTGGCTGGGTATGCTGACATCTTCCAGCGCAATGTTATGTCATCGGGTGTTGTCCCACAGGTACAGTTTATTATTACATGTATTGTTATTACTAAGATTTTTAGATAAGAATTGCTATACTATATCTTCCTTATATGGTTATTTTTGTTTTATATTGTACTTTAAATTATAATTATTATTGATACAATACTGTATCATCATCTGACCATTATAGCAGGAAAAGTATTTGTATAATTGTTTTAATTTTGTGTTTTAATCTATCAGATCTCCTTGATTATGGGCCCATGTGCTGGTGGTGCAGTGTACTCCCCTGCCTTGACTGACTTTACATTTATGGTTGAAGATAGCTCTTACCTCTTCATTACTGGCCCAGATGTAGTCAAGGCAGTCACAAATGAGGACGTGACTCAGGAGGAACTTGGTGGAGCTCGTACACACACCACGCTCTCTGGGGTTGCTCATAATGCTTTCCAAAATGACATTCATGCGTTGCTTAACCTAAGAACATTCATGGGTTATTTGCCACAGAGTAACCAGGACCCATCCCCTATCAGAGAGTGTGATGATCCTTGGTGAGTGGATCACCATTAAAAAGTATAAGATGCTACAGCTGTTTACTGGAAGATCTTTTAAAAAAAATTTTTTTTTACATTTCTGAAAGATTATTATCATTGTTCTTGTATAATGGGAACTGCTGAGAGAATAAGACTTTTTCACAGGGATCGTGATGTACCTGGGCTGGACACAGTTGTACCACTGGAATCCACGGCCGCTTACAACATGTTAGATGTGGTCACTGGCATTGTAGATGAGGGTGACTTTTTTGAAATTATGCCTAACTATGCCAAGAACATAATTATTGGATTTGCACGCATGAATGGACGTACAGTTGGTATTGTTGGCAACCAACCAAAGTTTGCTGCAGGTTAGTGGGTTCTGATTGTCTTGTAAATGTGGGATTTGTCTTATTAAAAAGTGGATGGATGTTGGGATGGTTGATTTTACCAGATCTATTTGAGGAATACCCTGTATTACTATCAATGTGTCTGTCTGTACATTATGGAAACAAAAGAATAAATTCACCTCATCCAACATTTTAAAATGCAATATTACAACAATGTACAGGGGACCCCCCAAATTCACGGGGGTTATGTTCTCAAAATGGTCATGAATTGCCAAATCCGCGAATAATATTTGCGGAACGGGGTGGGGGTATATTTTTACTTGTGTACAAAGAAATGTATATTCCCTTTATGTATTTGCCCTTATAGACATACAAACACACAAAACACATACAAATCAATAATTATTGGATAATCCGCTCACAAATAATCAGAAACAAAATTATTAAAAATGCTCTATTAATAAAACACTGTACTGTAATAGAGAACGGACGGTAGACTCACATTTTTAATAAATTTGTTTTTTATTATTTGTGAAAGTATTTTCCCAGTATTATTTATTTGTATGTGTTATGTGTGTGTGTCTACACACACACACACACACACACACACATTTACAATACAGTACAGGTAAAGGAAATTACTGTCTCTAGAACGAATGGCTCCCTGTCCCAGCCGCAAAAATGTCGGCAACTTTAAAACTACCCACAGACATTCTTGGGTACATCCAGGGTGTCATCCGCGAAGTAAAAATCCGCGAACTTGGGGCCTGTATGTACCATACTGTGTACAGCATGCCCTTAAAATTCGTGGGGGTTAGGTTCTCACAATGGCCGTGAATAGCCAAATCCGTGAATAACATTTGCTAACCAGGGTGGTACATTTCTACTCGTGTGCAAAGAAATGTATATTCCCTTTATGGATTTCCCTTAGGACAATTATTTATTTTACCTGTATTGTATATACAGTAAATCCTCGCTTAACGTCGTGGTTACATTCTTGAAAATTTTCCCCAATGACCCCCTGTACCTTGGTAACAAAATACTAAATTCCTCGGAGTTATTGTTGATGAGAACTTAACTGGAGAAACCACATACAAGCCATTCACAGTAAAATCAATAAACAGTGCGGTACTGTATCATGTATCACACTCGACAGTCACTCACTCTCACAGTAATGAAAGAAATATATCATGATCTTGTTTACCAACACCTGATTCACTGTCACACACTATTGGGGGCCTCTGGCTCTTCAAAAATGCAATCCCTGGTTACTGCACAAAAGAAACAGATCACACAAAAGAAAATTTTGCGAAATTGAAAATTTTAAAATTCAAAGAAATTAACACCTGCTGCTGTGCCCTCTTTGTTTACAAATCTATCAATTACTTGCTTGACAATAATTATTTCCAGTTCCAGAATAATCAGAGATACAATTTTAGGTAACCAGGGCTACTAAGACCCCCCTCCCCCCATGCGCTCCTCTCAGTCCCAGACCTCCATAAAACATGGTGTGAAGGTGTGGAACAACTTACCCTCTCTCATCCAAGCAAAGACTATGCTCCCTTCCTTTAAATCATATTTACAGTACCTGCTTTTATTGTACCATCAAAACTGTTTTATCAGAAATTATCATGTAAATAGATAAGTAAATTACGATTGCAATAAATATATTTGCCAACTAGACATAATTCTGACAGCTCTGTCATCTTATTCTACCTTAATACTGTACAACCCATGTTGTACTGCTTCCCCATTATACTTATATTTTTCAATTCCAGTGTAATTTATGTATATACTGTACTTATAATATAAAAAAATAAAATAAAAAATAAATAAAATAAATAAATATTGAAGTGGTAACCATGGTAACACTATGAGATGTTCTTATTACCACCATGCTATTCCAGATGTTACTAAATGTTACATCATACTTCCGTGAGATAAATGTTTAGTATATATCAGGTGCCTACAGGAGAGCTCAGGTTCTCAACTGGCTCAGCCATGTTAATATTATTATTATCCACACTGTATCTGTGTTTTTCTGGCTAAATAAACTTTCAATTCAATTCATAAGAAATAGATAAAATACGCTAGTTATGTTCCCCAGCCTCCCTTTGCCCCATAAAATACATTACATGTGCATAAATTCAATGGAATTTTTATAGAAAATATATATTATACATCCATAAAGATAAATAAACTAAATCATTTTGTATTGTACTCACTGATAGGCAGAGGTGGAGCAAGTGTGTGGTGGGTTTAAAACCCCATTTTTGTAGCAAGACTAAGGGTCTTGCATTGCTTTTTCACAACACTAGCATCACTAACACTTGATGGGCGCTTGGAAGCCATTTCGAATGGTTATAGTACAGCATTTATAGCAAAAACACTCAAAGCACACACGTACACTGTGGAAGCCTAACAGACTGGGGACGCTGTGATGCTCCGCGGGAGAGCGTAGCACGCCAAGATGAGAGAGGTTGATGCGCCATACATAGTACTGTAGTCCGTGACGACGTTATAATGAACTGGTCGGGACATTGTCGGAATCATGGGTATCTAAAGAGTAGCGACGTTATAACGAAACAACACTGTCGGCAGCAACATTAAACGAGGACTTACTGTACAGGTATGTGTGTGTGTTTGGAGAGAGACACACATACAAATAAATAATTATGGGAAAATCCTCTCACAAATAATCAGAAACAAGACAACAAAATGTATTAAAAATGTGAGATTATTGCTACTTAATGAATTAGTCCCACCCTACTAATGTTTAAAAGGATTTCTCTGTTTCCAACTCAGTTGTATAATCCAAAAGTCACTTAAGTGACATGCTCGACCATAAAATCTGATTTCAGAATGAATCCTTTACTTTATACTTTATTTGTTCTTATTTTACAGGTTGTTTGGATATCAACTCCTCTGTAAAAGGTGCAAGATTTGTGCGGTTTTGTGATGCTTTTAACATTCCACTTGTGACATTTGTGGATGTGCCAGGCTTCTTACCAGGAACTGCTCAGGAGTATGGTGGCATCATTCGTCATGGTGCAAAACTTCTTTATGCATTTGCCGAAGCAACTGTTCCAAAGATTACAGTCATTACTAGAAAAGTAAGTATTTACCATACTTTTACTTTCAGAGTATAGTCATGTACAGAAATTTGCTCCCCATGGTGAAACTGAGTCACATGAATTAATTTACAACTGATTTACCTTGACTGTTATCTGGTGAGAGACACCTGCTAACATTTATGGATATATTTCATGTTCCTTGTGTTTCAGTTTCTGCATATATGGGGCAGATTAGGGAATACTTATCCACCCTTTCACTGAGCTGGAGAACAGAGATTTATTGTAATGCCTTGTGGAATTTTATTATCCTGTTCTCCTACAGTCTTCTTACTTACATTGTGTTTTACCATCTTGACCTTAGTTCAGGCCTGCATATTGTTACTGTAAGATACAATAAACTACCATTAACATTGCTTTGTGTGTGATACTTTTTATTCTGTCTAGTTGGAAGTGGAAATGTTTTTGTTTAATATTGTGAATATTTGTGAGTCATACCTGTTTTGTAAACTCTTAAGTTTTCCTTTTTAGTGTATTGAAATTTTGTTTACTTACAGGCATATGGAGGGGCATATGATGTTATGTCTTCCAAGCATTTACGTGGAGATATGAACTACACTTGGCCAACAGCTGAGGTAAGACATGTTTATAATATACAGTATGTAATGTGCCATACAAGGTACATGTATATTGAGATTTTGTTATGAATGTAAACAGTACAGCATGCCCTTCAAATTCACAGGGGGTTAGGTTCTTAAAATGGCTGCAAATAAATAACATGTGTTTGCCCTTAGGACACTTATTTCTTTTACCTGTATTGTATATGTGTGTGTAGACACACACACACACACACATATGCTTAAGAACAGCCCAATCCCAACCATTATAAAAATTATCAACAATTCGTAATCAACCAGTGTATGTACAGGTACAAATTTACCCCCCGCCAATCTTACCTTTTTGCACTGTCACTATGTTGAAATGCCCAGTAGTATTTCCTTCTCTTTCTTCTTAATGTAATGGATAGTTGATTCGTTGATGCCATACTTCCTGCCAAAGGCGACAAAGCTTTGGCCACTCCTAAGTTTATCCAGCAGTTGTATCTTCTCCTCTTGGGTCATGGCCTTTTCTCTCTTCACTTGTTTGGGCGCCTACCCGCAGCTGGATGAAGGTGGTTGAGGGCGTTTGGGAGCCATCATAAGCACGAGGATCACAGTTGTTAAGAGAGCGGAGTAGCACACGCGTGAGACAGACAAGTGTTTATCCCGGAGTGGAGTGAGTGCGCATGGGCCAGCTTCCCGGGACAACAGAGACACCTTGCGGGATGCCACAAAACTCGCGCGCTCCCCGTGCAGGCCACGAAAATGCCAGCAACTTTAAAACTACCCGCAAACATTCCAGGGTGTTTTCCGCGAATAATAGAGGACTGCGAATTATCCGGGCATATCTTAAGTAGCTATATTTGCATACATTTGTGTCAATGATTACAGTTAGAACCCTATTTATGAAGCATCAGATTAAGTATTTTTTATATTACAAAAAAAAATTATTCCATGCTGTATACAGTGATGTCACATAGGGTGGAGAGGTAGAGTTTTGGAGGGATCTGTTTGAAACTTGAAGGGCATCATCATCTTGGGTTGGTCAGTTTGGCACTGGGTAGTTATTATTATCACAAAAGAAATATGCATGTGCTGTTTTTTGGTTGGCCTTCAGGTCACAGGCCAATCCTGCTAAAAAATATTATTTCAAGGGTCAATTAATATTCGTTATTCCTTGTGTGACTTTATGATCATGGGGAATCAAGACCAGTTGATATACATCTTATACTGTACTCAAAGATGGGTATGCACAACTTTTTTTTTTGCGCCGCAACTGTAACTCTGCTGAAATAGTTACGCCGCAACCATTTTCAAAAAGTTTCGCAGCAACGCGCAACTTTTACAAAATTAAATAAACAAATACTAAAATAAAAAAAATTGCCTAATTACAAGTAAAACTGGCCACAGTCTCAGTGGACTGGCTGTCAAGTCTCAGTCACTTCAATTTCCATGTCCTGGTCGGCAGGATCACTGCTGCCGGCCAGAGACTCCTTCCTCCTCGTCACAAAACAATCCATAATATTAGTAATAACAAGAAACAAAACAACAAGAAACTGACGCCTTAACTGCAGTGCTACTGACTGGTCATGATATGAATCATTCCCCTTCCCTTGCTGTAGTTGCCAAATTTCATCTTTCACATTAACTCTAGTTTCTTTCTAGAGTTTATGTGAAAGATGAAATCTGGCAACTACAGCGAGGGAAGGGGAGTGAGGGCACGACGGAGGGGGCAGGGGTGGCGAGGGTCTCAACTGGTTTACAGTTCAGAAATGTGCTGCCCGACCTGTATCATGTGTATGCTGAATCATTCCGTCAGAAACAGAAATTTTCGTACGCGTGACTCTAGGGATGCCCATTTGTTTATGCGGTCGTATTCCAATTTTCAATTATTGCCAAAAGAAAATTCGCGTTGTGCTTGAAAATGCTTCTAAAAGTTGTGCCGCAAAACTCTGGAAAAATGTGCTGCGCAACTGCACGCGCAACCAAAAAAGTTGTGGCATAAGTTGCACCGCAACTGCCCTCCTTTGACTGTACAAAACAAATATAATGTTTCATTTTATGATTAACTCTCCTGTATCAGATGACTTATACAAAAGTGTCATTTCTTTTGTAGTATAGTATTGCAAAACCTTCACAACACATCTTAGTCATTTAATATCTTAAAACACCTACGTATGCACTTTCTCATTCTTGTTGTATTCACCTCTTGCATTTAAAATTTTATAATCGGTTTTAGTAACACTTTTATCTTCTTTCTTTTCCAAATTCAGTAATTCACTACCTAAATTCAAGCAGCCAGTCCCCATATGAATAAATGCTTCATATTTTAAGGTGTGCCGAGACACCTTCCAATATACGTAGACAAAAGGTAAAGGTGAGTTATAACTTCAATTAGATATCTATGTTCAGTATTGACCAATCTATGAGAGCTAATACTTTGCTGTTACTCAGGTTGCTGTAATGGGAGCCAAAGGTGCAGTATCAATCCTTTATCGAGGGAAAAGTGATGTTGCAGAGATTGAAAAAAAATACATGGAGAAGTTTGGCAACCCATTCCCAGCTGCTGTCAGAGGTGAGTCAAATACTGTATACAGTACTATACTGTACTCTGGAAATGATATATAAATTTTGGAATTTAGATATACTGTACCTTCTGTTGTTTGTACAGTATAGTACATAATGTATTGGTAATGTGCCTACGATATAAATAAATATGAGATGTTCCAATATATGTGGTTGTAATCTTAGTGATGAGAAGAGAGTAATTAAAAATTTGATGAGTGAAAGAAACATGGATGTTGTTTTGTGTAAAACAAAAAATGAGAGGCGAGTTTGACAAGGAAAGAAATGTTGATTACAGTGAGAGCATACTACTATATATGAGGGCAGATGATCAAGAGAATTTCTGGAAAGAACTACACAATATAGTTGAGCTGAAGCTTTAGTGGTGGAGATAGAGTGATAGTGATGGGGGATTTGAACTTGAATGTTGATGATTGGGAAATGGAGAGGATTGGGGGAAGATGTGGAGTGTGATGAATGATTGGAATTGAGAGAAACATTGAAGTTTGCACTGCAGAGAGTTTAAACCCTTATACTGCTACTTATTTTTTCTAGGAATGCCTGTATAATTGATTTATATTTAGTACTTTAACAGATTCTCAAGAAGAAAAATTGGGGTAATTATACCCAAACTTTTGTTTACGATTACAGGCTTTGTGGATGACATCATAGAACCCCGTACCACAAGACGGCGTATCTGTCAAGATCTGGATAAGTTGGCCTCAAAGAAGCTTAGCAACCCATGGAAGAAGCATGCTAATATCCCTTTGTAATGCATGTGCATATATTTAAAAGGAACTGTGAAATAAGTGTTGTATAGTTTCCAATTGAGAGGTACAGTACTGTCTAACTGAGTAGATGATTAATAATGCAAATTAAGCTTGTATGTCAAATTAACTATACAGTATTTAGCTGTATCCTCAACTGTATTATTACAAACTAAAATATTTATTTTGAAAACAGGTGTAGTAAACTTTATTTTGGGTGACAGCATTAAACTTACAGGATGTACAATATTTAGTTTAAGCGTAGGACATCTTTTAGTGGTGTCATTTATTAGATTATTATTATTTTTTTTTTTAAATAAAAGAGATGCTATTTCTGCACTTCAGCCTTTAATTTCCCAGCAGGTGGGGAAATTATACAATGGAAATAGGCATAAATATAAAGGCAAGGTAAAATAACTTTTTACATTATCTCACACAGTCAATGTAAGTTGATGTGTAAGGAATTTTTGCAGCAGCATATATATTTTCTGGAAATTCTCTTATTGTGACTGGACAGTAAATGAATGAATGAGCTATCATGTGCTTGGATTAAGAAATAATGAAAAAATAATGATAATTACTTTATAATGTGTATTCAAGTGTAAATATATAAGGATGGAAACCGATAATATAATGTGTATGCAAGTGTAAATATATATAGATGGAAACCGATAATGATGATGCTTTGACTGTTGGAAGATTAGAGAACTAATATTGAAAAAATACTGTTTAATGAAGTGATGATTGGTTCGTGACAAAGTACTGTACTGCAGTGTTTATATTTTAGGAAAATTTAATTGTTCAGCAGCTAAATGGCAATACATTGATATCTCCATTAGCTGGAACAATTGGTGCAGAGCACCTCAGGGAATGAGAGATTCCGGGTAACGAGACGATTCTCTCAAAGACGGAAAAATTCGCCCATCCCCGGAATTTTCCGGGTTTCTGGAAAATTTTCTCGAAATTTTCCGGAAAATGTGCCCCTCGAAAAATAGTTACCAGTGCTGGAAAATTTTGGCTTTGGGAACGATTTTCTGAGAAAATTTCAATTCCGGTTATCGGAGAGTTCCAGGTTTGAGGGATTCTGGCTAACATATTACTTACAGGTACAATGTACAGTGTTTTTTTAATTATTGGTATTTTTAATTTTTCCCTCACATTTATTGGTACAGGTATATATTATCTTATTTGTCATAGGAGTTGGTAACTGGGGGAAATTCAGTTTTAGAGACGGTAATACTGTACTGTTAAGCGTGAGCTGTAGTGGTGGTGGTCACGGCCAAGACTTGGTGGTGTTGTCTTGCTACACATTATGTCTAGGATTATACCTGGTATTTCTCAAAAGCTAGGGTGCTATTATAGGTTGATTTAACAGTGAGTAAAAGGGAATAGGTTCCAATCCTTCATTACTCTTTACAGAGGGTCCTCGGATTACAAATGGATTCCTTTCCTGAGGACGTTCTCAAGTCGAAAATGTAAATAAGTCGAAACACATGCTATGTGCATACTGTACTTTCAGAACAATGTTTAAAATTCAACTACAGTGAATCCTTGAAAATTCGGACCTGGTAAATCTGGATTTCGAAAGATTTGGACAAAAATTTTGGGGGTTCTGGTCTAAGAAGCATTCCCAAAACAGAGCAAAGAGCATTTTAGGCCCAAGGGCGCTGGTTGACCGGTCGGTCGTGCTGGACACAGGTGCCCGAGGAAGTGGGAAACATAAACAGTTGTCTATTGTTGTTTGTGGGAAAATTATTTCATTCACTCTAGTAATGATACAATGTTTCTTATTATGTTATCATAGGTAAACGCATGGTTTATATAATTTGTTTATCACTGTGCCCGTCACCATTTTCAAATTAGACTAAGAGATATGTATTTCTCCCATTCATATTTTGATCGTATGCAAGTAAGAGGAGTGAGTGATTGCATCGGCTGCTGTTGTAACTCATCGCTCTACCCTGCCATGTTTCACGGGATTTACTGTTATTATGTTTACTGACACATACATAGTGCTTAATAGTGATTAATCATGGCATCTAAAGCAAGTGGTGGTGTGAAGAGAAAATATGTACATTTATCTGTTGTGCAGAAACCTGAGTAATAAAGAAGTTAGAGAGTCTGGTGTTTCAGTGGCTCGCATCTGTGATGAATACAGCGTGAAGAAACAAACTGTGTCAGACATACGTAAGGTCAAGGATAAACTTACCACATTTGCAATGAAGTATGATGTTGATGGTGCCAGTATGGCTAGTGCAAAGGAAGCATATGAAAGTGCCAAAGGATAAAGAGCTGGAAGAAGCAATGTACAAGTGGGACTACATTACTGTACTTTGGGTATTTTTTATATCATTATTAATCGTTTTAATATATTTTGTACATTAACCGGAAAATTCGGACAATCGGCTTTTTCAGACAGGTGGTCCCCCCCTTATATATGAACCTTCGAGGGTTCACTATATCATTGCTTAAGTCCTCATATACATCTAAATAGAATGACAAAATACAGTAAATGAAAGTAAAAAAATAAGTCAAGTAAATAAAATACCGTAAATATAAAGCTCAACCTCGTTCGTATCGGCGAACGTTTGTAAGTCGGGGACCCCCTGCATTGTGATGCTGGCTGGGCTGGTGGTTGCCATGTCGCTCCACAACAATAACAATGACCTGCAAGATGCCGTGATATTTTTTTAATTTTTAATGAATTTTTTTACAAGATTTGTGTCGCTATTCGGACGTGTTGTTACTCTGGTGTGGTACTCGGGGTCAAGCAGTGAGCTGCAAACCAGAGATATGATAATCCTAAGGTCAAAAGTAAAAATTTAATAAATATTTCTTATATGAGTGGTAGTTAGCCCAGGGATTGTGGGAGGAGGGACTGAGGGGTTAGTATTAGAAATCTCAGCAGCTCCAGTCTCCTGCATGTTGTGAAATTATTGCCAACTGGTAATGAAATTTTTTTTATTTATTAGAATAATTTTTATTTATTCCTCACAGTTACTGGTACTACAGTATACACGCGACCCTGATCCCTAGTAGCCTCGAATAATGATGTGTATATACTGTATATATATAAAAATGTAGTGAAAGTTGCTGGCTGGGAACACATCCCCTTATATGTGTGTGAAAATTACAATCCCCCTCACCTAATGCTCCTCGAGTACTTACATGACACATACAGTAAGTCCCCACTTAACGTTGTTTCGGTACTGTGTCGCGAAACTTTAAGAGACCAAAAATTCGTTTAACGTCCCGGTGATCCGATACTATGTCGTTTTGCGTATTCACAAACTACATTTTACAGTGCATCACCCTCTCTCGTCTGGCCGCGCTATGCTTTCTCGGCTTGGCGCAGTCTCAGTGCCTCGCCACCCTCCTCCTCCGCCATCCACCTCCTCTGCTTCACTACCCACCACACACTCGCTCTACCACTTCCGCCCATCAGTAAGTACCAATACAAACTTAGCAGTTGTATATGTATGCATTATTTTCTATAGAAATGGAAATTACTTTCTGTATATGTAATGTATTTCATGGGGCAAGGGAGGCTCAGGAACATAACTCCCGTATTTTATCTATTTCTTATGGGGAAAATTTATCGGCTTAACGTTGTTTCATATAACGTCGCGTTTATAGGAACGTAACCTTGACGTTAAGCGAGGACTTACTGTACTGCCAAGTGTCCAGGGGCTTTTGTCCACAACTGTACATTTAACTGAGTACCGGTAATGCTCTTTGAGGTGCCTTTAACTTTTAATACATTGTATTTTAACCTTTTGTAGTATAACTATGTACAGTACAGTAGGCTCTTCAAATTCGCAGGGGTTGGGTTCTCAAAATGGCCGCAAATCGCCAAATCCGCGAATAACATTTGCTGACTGGGGGGGGGTGGGTTACATTTTTACTTGTGTACAAAGAAATGTATATTCCCTTTATGTATTTGCCCTTAGGACAATTATTTCTTTTACCTGTATTGTATACAGTATGTGTGTGTGTACACATACACACGTGCTATAAGAACAGCCCAGTCCCAAGCATTATAAAAATTATCAACAACATGTAATCAACCAGTGTATGTATTCACTCCCAGCCAATCCTACCTTTTTGCACTGTCACTATGTTGAAATGCACTATAGTACAACCTTCTCCCCACTTAATTATTATTTATCATATTTGTATCACTTATGTTATTTGTCAATCAAGAGACCCATTCCCCAATTATGTAACTGGGTATTTTCAGCCTTCCAGTTGCCATGCCCTTTCAATAAACTATTAATTATTATTATTATGAAAATGCATACAAATAAATAATAATGGGGAAATCCTCTCACAAATACCATAATCAGAAACACAATAACAAAATGTAATGTAGAAAAAATGCGAGTCTTCCCTCAAGTTAACTCTGTGCTATGTTATTAAAGTTGAGTTGGTCAAGTTGCCATACAGTGCCAGCTGGGTTGATACTTAGATCAAACTTACAGAATTTCTTTCGAAGCCATCTAGCCAACCCAACATGAAGGATGTCGGTAATTGTGGTGTAATACTGTATACAGTACAGTACTTTTTCACAATATGTATGTACGATGGTGTATGCATGTAAATGAGTAAAATTAATGAAGAAGGTTACATATATCTCCCCAAAAATATGAGTTGAAAAAACCATAACACCTCAAAGCTTGGCCCAGTAGCCTGGTGGTTACAATGATGAGCTTACCTAGCTACATTGACATGATTAATCACTGTTAAGCACTATTCTATCAGTAAACACTAATAATAACAGTAAATCCAGTGAAATATGGCAGGGAGCGAGGAGATTTAAAACTGCAGACGACACTCTAACTAGCGGTCACTCACTCCCTTTGCCAGATGTAGTCAGGCGTACAGTACAATGGGAGATGCCAGGCATAGCCAGGGCGTACAGTACGTATGGGAGAAAAATATATTTTGTAGTCTACTGTGAAAATGGTACAGCTCATTGATAAACAAATTATGTAAACCGTTCATTTTCCTACGATAACCTAATAAAAAACATTGTATCATTACGAGAGTAAATTAATTAATATTGCCACAAACAAAAAATGACAACTGTTATAAAGAAATAGATTAATACTCACCAGTCCATGCTGGATGTTTGTGTAGATCCCATTTTCCTCTCCCCTACCACTGATGAATATTATGATGGTGGTGGTTGAGGGCATTTGGAAGCCATAACAAGCACGAGGAGCACAGTTGTCACGAGAGGAGAGTAGCTCACGTGCGAGACATACAAATGTTTCGCCCGGACTGAGCCGGAGGGAGTGGGCGGGCGCGGGCCAGCCTCCTGGGACAAGAGAGACACCTTGCAGGATGCCACAAAAATCGCGCACTCCCCATACCGGCGGCATAAATGCCGGCAACTTTTAAGCTACCCGCAGTCATTCTTGGGTACATCCCGGGTGTCATCCGCGAATTATCTGGGGGTACTGTAGTTGTAAACATTCTAAGGTGCCTGAGTGCTGGCACCAGTTTGGTTACCCACCTTTCAATATTCAATTCAGGAATAAAGAAAAATTAAATTTTACTATAAATCCTTTAATGATAAGTGTCAATGTTTACAGTTTTCCCACTACCTTCACTGACCAGCAAGTCTTGGAATAACAGGAAATGTATACAGTAATAACATTTCCTTCCTCAAGTAGTGCAGCTCTTGCATTGATCCAAGGTTGTATTCATTAGTTTATGCAAAACCATAGATATATTAAATATACTATATTTGTATAAATTATTTTTTTACCTACTAAAACTAATAAAATCCCAGAAAATGTATATTACAATATCTTTATATGCTTGTAAAACAGATAATTAAAGTACAAATTACTCTAATTTACCTTGTATATGAAATGGAGAATTATGTGGAAAGTAAGTGAAAAATGCCAAAACAACTGTGAGTAATGTAGAATGACAAAAATGTCAATCACCGTATTGAAGCTGAGAGAGAGTTAATATGGTGAATGTTACACACAGCATATAGTTCTAATATATTTTGGCCAAGAATTCACACAAAAGCAATGAGAGTAAAATTTTACTATGGCTACAAATGAAGTTCAAGACTATGTATCTAATGTCATTTACATTACTGGAAATGATTAAGATAACCCTTTACCATAACAAACTTATGTTGTGGTCTAATATATTCAAATAATAGTTATAAGAAAACATTACGAGCATTTAGCAGAGAGCTTACGTGCATTAATTAGTGATAAAGGAGGTGAAAAATAGCTGGAAAGGACACCTTCTGCTGGTCTGTGTCAAGGGTTAGTTGTTGACAGGTTCAACATGAGCAGATCTTTGTGGTTATTGTAGAGATAAGACAGTACCTTAGCTAGTGAAAACTATACACTTTCAACTCATAAGAAGCGAAAACTTTGATCCCAGAGCTATGCAACACTGTAGGACTGATAATGTCTTTGGTGCTTCCTGAAGCAGTCACTGTCATGCTAAAACCTTGAACTCGCCTAGCCCATCTCACCTGGGAGTTATTACCCTATAAAGCTGTAGGAGACAACCTAAGTGATGTTACCTTTAGCTGACAAATATATAAGCAGAGGTTCCATCCATTATTCTTAAGCTATTATAGCTGAGTGCAACCAACAAGGTCAAGCACCACTCTATTAGCATCCACTCTGAAGATACTGTAAAGGAATTATACACAATAAGTTGAAAAGTTAATAGTGATTGCCCAAAAAAATGAAAGAAGGCACATGACAGCAATGAGCAATTAATGCAGAGTACTATAATTTAAAAAGTTATAATACAGGTGGATATTTAAATTCAATTAAACTTCAAGATTTATATCTTGTTCAGTGCCAAAGTGCATACAGCCCAAACATTAAGCCATAACCAACATTTTTTGTTTGTTTTACTCTTCACTGCTATGTCTTAATTGTTTCATGAAAGAAAGCCTAACTTGCTGTGATACATAACTTGGAGCTATGCTAATCAATCAGAACGAAGTTAAGGATGGCAAGATATATTTCAATACTGGAAGAAGTTATCGGCTCCAACCATCTTGTAAAAAGTCTAAAACTAATATTCCACAAGGTACAAGAATTTGCTTCTTTTTTTACCAATACATACCAATATACTGTATTCAAGAAACCTATAAGCATTCCTTTGCATACGTGGTTATGTTGTTTGCCCCAAGGTAAAAGAACGCTATACTTCTTCCCTACACCATCAGTACAAACCTACAGTATGTGCAACTTTTTGTGTAAACATGAATTATCATATTTCTCACTACCAAGTGACAAATAACATTATGCACATAAATTTGAAATCAATCTAAAATATATTCTCTATATAAAGTTCTATTAGGGTTTGGTATATCTAAAAGCTAAATGTAGTATAAAACTAAATTTAAAGATATACCATTACAATTATATGTTAATACCAGATAAGAGTAACTGAGTAACTAACAACAAATTTTACATCCAAACTCAAAACAGTGGATGAATTAAACAGGTCTATACATATTACTGTAATGTCTACCAGTGTTTTTTAAAGAGCTAAGTTCCATTGACTGTATTAAAGACCGAGTCCAATTTAGATAAATTTGCAATTTTATTAAAATTAAAATCTACTATATGTTCATTTCCACTCATACAGATGCTGATGACAATAAGGTTCACCGATTAAACAAAACCACTAACCTTCACTAAGTCTTTGTTTCAATATACTGAACTGTAATGCATTATTTTTCATTTAAGGATTGTCCTTTGTTTGATCCATGATAGAAAATTAAAATAAGAATAAGCCATCAGAGCAAAGATAACATCCCTTATATGTGAGCCAAGAGAGGCAAAGATTACATCCCTTGTTTCTGAGAAAACAGAGAAATAACAAACCATAATGACATTCTAAATATATTTCACACTATATATATATAACTAAATATTCCAATGTGCTAATATTGAAACATAAACTACATGAACACTAACTAGCTGATAACGATTAATGATGATTCATCAAAGAAAACTACATGATTAGAAAAAGATGAGACCCTAGAGAAAGTATTAACAAGGCTGGCCACACAACAAACTTTCTCAGAAAAAAAGTTTAGTACATGGCCTTTGTGTCAGTCAGAAGAGCACCCCTTACAGTCTCAGTTCCTCAATCCCAGCTTTCCCAGTCTTCACTCTGAAGTATAGTAGAAAAATATATTAAAATAATAATAGTACCCCAAGGAAAGCTGAATGCCTTAGTGATCAGCAATGAATACAAGTTTTTTATACGTACAATATTTTCTAATACTTCCGTGTGTTAACATGATTACACTCTTGGTATAAAGAACTAGGTACATACAGCCAATCCAAAAAGTATCTTGACCTCAGGGTTATAGAAAATACATTATGAGGTTCAAATATGGAATAAAGGTTTCAATCATTGATTCAAAGATGATCTTGTAGGTGCACACAGCCAGTCGTCCACAAGGACCCACACAGGATGGAAGAACTTTTTTCTCAAGTATCTGATGGTGATATGGCTGAGGTACAGTAATTGATAATGTAATATGATAAAATGTGTATAAATGAGGTTGTTTTTTCAGTGATCATAGCGTTTACCTTGTCTTGCTGGCCTTTTTCTTATTGAGTTTGACTTTCATTGCCATCCATAACCAAATGTGTTGATAAACAATATTATATGCACCATAATCCTATTTATGGCCATAAGAGAATATTTTAATTTTTTTAATAAGCATAACCATATTATGCACACGTGTCCATATTCCAAAATTATGTCATCACAACTCCCACATGAAAGTGAGCCAGATAAATACTTATATTGTTCTCAAACACATGACTAATAAGCATTAAATAATTATCAGCCTTTATTATATGCTATTATGTGCTTCTCATTCTTGCTAAATATTGCATGATACAACCAAGTCCCTTGGAGTTCCTGAGTCCAAGCTCCTCAGTGTTTACTCAACATTCATACTTCCCAAGCTTACCTATGCCTCTCCTGCCTGGTCTTCCTCCCTAAATGCCACACAACATAAACACCTAGAAAAAGTGCAAAAGATGGCATGCAAGATTATTCCCTCCTCTTCCTACTCCACATATCAAGAAGCGCTCAACACACTGACCCTCTCGACTCTCTCTGACCATCACCACGACCTCACTGCAAATTTGGCGAGAAGGTACTGCACCATCCTCGACACCGGCTCCTACTTCCACCCGAGATCCCTCATCCGCGAATTGCATCCAGTCCATGCAAGCATGTACTGATCGCTATAAGAACAGCCCAGTCCCAACCATTGTAAATATTATCAACAACTCGTAATCAACCAATGAGCTTAATCCCAGTCAATCTTACCTTTTTGCACTATCACTATGTTAAAATTCCTTTCTCCCCACATAGTTATTATATATCATATTTGTATCACTTATGTTACTTGTATATTATTTGTCAATCAAGTGACCCACTCCCAAATTATGTAAATGTATATTTTCAGTTTTGTGGCTGCCATGCTCTTTCAGTGAACTGGTAATTAATATTATTATTACAATGCAGATACTTCATTACACACATGAAGAACTAGATCCATTCTTTATGATACTTACTATCAATAAGTCAACAGCATAGTGACAACGGTGTAGTCATGTTTACATCACTATTATCAGTACCAATGAAATATGAGGATTAAGCTGAAGTATAAGTAACAGATTGCTGTTATGTGATGATGTGTGTGTGTGTGTGAACTTTACCATATGCACCAGCAAGTCATATATCTTATTAACATATATTACAAACGGGCATGGGAACGAAGCCATTGGAATGTCACGAAGCCAAAGCCAGACAATAAAGTCATGAAGCCAAAGCCAGACAAAAAGTCATGAAGCTGAAGCCGATGCTTTTCAAGGCTTCATGAAATCTTAACATCATTATTTGTATAATATACTGAACTGTATTACCCTATGTTGATGGTAATATGTATGGTATTCTAAGTTGCAGCAAGGCTTTAAGATAAGCTGATTGTTCTTGGGGTAAGTTTTGACTCTCCCTATTGGCTAAAAAAAAAAAGGTTATTTATAGTACAATTTATCTTTCCACATTTATTTTACCCCTAATACATAAACATAGTAACTTACAATCACAAATCCCAGAGGCAGCCATTTGTTATCTTTGATCACTTCCAACGTTTGGGTCAGGTCCTTGTGAGAATAGACCAACAGGGATAATTTGTGATGTCAGTGTGGATCTCAGTTCATAAAAGGTCAGATCAAGGTCACATGGCCAACTCACATATGACTTGACCTCACCCAAAGCTTACCCTCCCTGGCAATACCTGGGGTTGAGATTCTGAACTGATTACCTGTGACAACATATTCTTAGTGTTGGCACTGGTCATCGACATGCCGGCCAGTAATTTCAGCATCAACACAACCACCCATGTCTCTTGTCAAGCCAGGTCAAAACTGTGCTGCCTTGGATCCACCACCAATTTGATATATTTAATATGATCTAAATAGTGTCTGTATAAACATGAAAATCTAAAGCCAGTCTTGTGGCTTCGAAGCTGGTGTTATACCAAGCTTTGATGCCAAAGCCCAGTCCCAAAATCATAGCTTCCAGAGGACGAAGCCGGCTTCAGCCCCATGCCTGATTGCAAATGTATTGAATTATGTACTTTTATGTTAATGAACCATACTGTAGCGTATATATTTTGCATAATAGATATGGAATCACTTGTGTAATGCAATTATGTGAACACAGATGGAGCAGGCCAACCAATACCGTACTGTACATACCGATAACCACAGGTATACACGTCTTGCACCTTTGCCTGTTACTTCATATTTTATTGGACACCTGGGTCTCCATACTTCTTGGATTGGCTGTAAAGCTGTTAATTACCTGTCTGTTGGTCTAAAAACTCTAATGCCATCTTTGAACTTAGGTATGCTGGGAATTATATTTCTCCCCAATAAACTTAAACTTTTGCATAAGTTTTGAGACTTAAAGCTGGCAGAACACTGATTTGTAGGCCATAAACATACTGAATTATGAACATTTTCTTCATACCTATGTTTTTATAAAAGCATTGTGCCAACTTCCAACATTTGACATAATCCCTTAATGATAGCAGTCATTTTCTTCAACATTAAAACTCACCTTCTGCTCATCAGACTTTTCGATCTTGGTGCTCTTACTGGATGAGGAAGAAGCCTGAGAATTTGCAGCATCTGTAGCATCAACCTTTTCCCATTCATCTTCATTGCTCTCTAAAATAGAAATAATATTCATTCTACACTCTTCTACATTTTAACAAAATACCCAAGTACATTAACCATACACGAATCTCTACAACAAAAATGATGATAATCACAGCTTGTTAAAAGGTTTAGAACAATACAATGAGTCATACTAAGTTTTTGTGGAGAGTTGATGAATCACAAAAACAATCATATACTGTACCCCGGTACACACACACAATACACATGCATTTCTAAAGACCAAAGCTCCGGACAACATTTACAAAGACTTAGCAGTCTCATTTGTGTATGTTTCTGACAATATCCCTTTCTGCTGGAAGATCAGTAGTTTGAGACTGGAACAAAACTTAATAATGTTATTAAATTTCTAAACAAGTTCCATTTTACAAATGAAAAAATTATAGTAATTTGTATGGTCAGATATAATAATAATCTTTGGATACCATAACAAATCCAAGCCAGGTTATCCATGCATTGGAGGACAGAAAGAGAACCAGGTACCAGCATGATACTATGGAGAGTTAATCACTGCTCTAACCTACTACCTTACTTGTACTACATGCATATACTGTACTGTATAATACAGTACGTGCCTAATATTTTAGAGAGATTTGAGCAGTAGAATGTTTCAGTACATAAATTTTTCTACAGTATTACCAAAACAGAATTCTGGTTCTAACTCATGCAATCAAACCTTGTATTATGAGGAACTTTCAATTACAGTATGGGGTATTAACTTTTTTAAGTACAGTAGACCCTTGCCATTCACGAGTTTGCAATTCGCAATTTCGACGATTCGTGGCAAACAAATGGTGGCTACGGCGGCTAGCTTGCAAGCCTTTTCCTGCAGCACAACGAGTCACCCCACGCAGCATCTCGTGTTGTACTCTCAAAACTTTTGTGTTTTTGTGTGAAATGGTCCCTAAAAGACTGCCTAGTGTCAGTGCTAGTGGAGTAAAATGTAAAAGGCAGAAGTCAGTGATGACTCTGACAAAGAAAGTTTTATTATGAAAGAAGTTAAAAGAGGAGACGAGTGCTGCCGCGGCTGGTAAGTTGTTTGGTACAGTATAGGTATACAGTAGTGCACTAAGGTAGTATAAGTTGGTATTCGCGGTTTTGCCAACTCGCACCATTTCTTGGAACCCATCCCCCGCAAATGGCAAGGGTCTACTGTACGTATTGAATTTACTTAAATGTTTATTTGTTCAGGATAACAACAACATGAGGAGTCAGTTGTGTGTGTACATTAGTAGATGGTGTAAGACCTGTCCTGATCACAATTGCTTACAAGCACATCATATGCAGGAAAAATTGCAGTTAGTGTATTTGACATTACAACAACAAATGAAAATTCCGTTTATTTAAGGAATTACTATCCATAGGGATGTACAGACTGTACATATCAGAAAGTTAAATTTACTTCTGCCATATCTCTCCAGTTGCTGAATCTCTGTTTAGCCACATCTCTGTAGCCATATTTTATGACCTATTGTATCAGCAACATCTTACATCAGCTGCTATTTTATAATTTTCACCTTATTTCCCTTCCTTTCATTCTCTCTTTTATCTAGGTTAACATACTTTTTAACCCTAATATGAGTTATTTTATTCCTAGTTTCTATATTTTCATCTAACTTCCCTTACTGTACATACTTTTTCCTCGTTTGTTGGACTATGTGATACAACTAATGGCCTGGGAGACCTTTTAATGCTCTTCTTTAACCTTGTTTATCTACAACAGCAGCTGGAAAATTTATCATCCTATTAATATCATATCCTCCACAGTGACAAATATGCAAAAATATTCACTGGGTAACAGAAATCAGTTACCCGTATTAGTAGAATCTCTCAGTAAGTATACAAGGTTCTCATGTTGACCCACTGAGTATACAAGGTTCTCATATTGACCCACAGAGTATACAAGGTTCTCGTGTTGATCCATGGAGTATACAAGGTTCTCGTGTTGATCCATGGAGTATACAAGGTTCTCATGTTGATCCATGGAGTATACAAGGTTCTCATGTTGACCCATGGAGTATACAAGGTTCTCATGTTGATCCATGGAGTATACAAGGTTCTCATGTTGATCCATGGAGTATACAAGGTTCTCATGTTGACCCACAGAGTATACAAGGTTCTCATGTTGACCCACAGAGTATACAAGGTTCTCATGTTGATCCATGGAGTATACAAGGTTCTCATATTGACCCACAGAGTATACAAGGTTCTCGTGTTGATCCATGGAGTATACAAGGTTCTCATGTTGATCCATGGAGTATACAAGGTTCTCATGTTGATCCATGGAGTATACAAGGTTCTCATGTTGATCCATGGAGTATACAAGGTTCTCATATTGACCCACAGAGTATACAAGGTTCTCATGTTGATCCATGGAGTATACAAGGTTCTCATGTTGATCCATGGAGTATACAAGGTTCTCATGTTGACCCACAGAGTATACAAGGTTCTCATGTTGATCCATGGAGTATACAAGGTTCTCATGTTGACCCACAGAGTATACAAGGTTCTCATATTGACCCACAGAGTATACAAGGTTCTCATGTTGATCCATGGAGTATACAAGGTTCTCATGTTGACCCACAGAGTATACAAGGTTCTCATGTTGATCCATGGAGTATACAAGGTTCTCATGTTGACCCACAGAGTATACAAGGTTCTCATATTGACCCACAGATTATACAAGGTTCTCATGTTGATCCATGGAGTATACAAGGTTCTCATGTTGACCCACAGAGTATACAAGGTTCTCATGTTGACCCACAGAGTATACAAGGTTCTCATGTTGACCCACAGAGTATACAAGGTTCTCCTGTTGATCCATGGAGTATACAAGGTTCTCATGTTGACCCACAGAGTATACAAGGTTCTCATGTTGATTCACGGAGTATACAAGGTTCTCATGTTGACCCACAGAATATACAAGGTTCTCATGTCGATTCATGGAGTATACAAGGTTCTCATGTCGATTCATGGAGTATACAAGGTTCTCATGTCGATCCATGGAGTATACAAGGTTCTCATGTTGACCCACAGAATATACAAGGTTCTCATGTCGATTCATGGAGTATACAAGGTTCTCATGTTGATCCACGGAGTATACAAGGTTCTCATGTTGATCCACAGAGTATACAAGGTTCTCATGTTGACCCACAGAATATACAAGGTTCTCATGTCGATTCATGGAGTATACAAGGTTCTCCTGTTGACCCACAGAGTATACAAGGTTCTCATGTTGACCCACAGAGTATACAAGGTTCTCCTGTTGACCCACAGCAATATTACGTGCAAGGTTATGTTATGACAACTCTACAAGCACCAAATATTTACAGGTCAACAACCCCAAACTGCTGATCAGTGGTTCCTTCATATGAAATGTACTGTCTAGCAATATTCTCCTCCCCCTCTCACTTTCCTCCGTTCTTCAAGGTTTCTCTTTCCCTTGACTTTAGCAGGTCTATTACTTTTACTCCTTGAAGAAAGAGAACATAATAGGAAAGAATACTGCAAGACATGAGTAGAAAGTGACAGAAGATGGCTAGAATATGTTTATCTAGAATATGAAAGTAAATTTCATAAATAATCCAAAATGCATAAATTATTTACAACATAATCTCAAGCACTGACGCTGTGTCTTTGATCAACACTTTAGGTACAGGTATGGCCTATATCTTAAAACTTTGTGGAGAATTCATCATTTTCTGTAAATTCCACTTACAGTATAGAGTAAGGGATATTTGTGCAATCTTCACACTGCTGGGCACTCACACACAAAAATATATTAATGAAATGCAAAATCAAATCACCAAAAATCAACCACAAAAAAACAAACAATGGAATATATAATAATGATTAAAAACTACAAGGTTCTCTAAAGCAGGTTCAGACTGTGATCTTCCATAAGCCATCACCAAAGCTTAGTATAGGCATGCACAGCTTAAAAAACACTCTCCAAACTTTATAAATATTTGTATTAAAAAAATTCCTTTCAGCCAAAACTTCATAAGGTTTCAATGGTGAATTATTGTGATTTTTTTTTTACCCGGTTTTGAAATCATTACTGAGGTAATATTTAGTACATTCGAAGCTAAAAAGTATTAAATTTAGAAACTAAAAGTCTAGTAAAAGATAGAACTTGTGAAATAATGAACAATTAATTTCTGTGTCTTAGTAATTATGACATCATCACAATAATTTCTTTTAGAAAATATGAACTGTTGTTTTCAGTAATTACAAAAGCAGAAAACTTTGAAGATAGACTAATTTTTCTGAAGGTCAAGAGTGAGAACATCTTACTAAAGTCAAATGATCTGTTCTTAATATTTAAACCAAACACATTACAGATTTAAATAACAAACAAATCTTTAACAAAATGTGTATCTGAAGGACATAAACAAATATAAATAAGTGATTACCAACTACCAATCTGACACCTTGCATGTGGTCACAAGTAATCTCAGGCAAAAGGTGTTAAAAAATAGCATTTTGTCATGAGCTAAATTCAAGATGGGGAGAGGGTTTATCAGTCAATTATGCGTCACGAGGAGTGGAAACACATCAATTTACCTGTTGATGAGGGTGAGGGCTTACTGGTGGAATCTGAAGTTTTAGTTAAATCCACTTTGAGCTCTTCTAATAAGCCCTTCGTGGAAGTGTCATCAGACTTTGTATCTGAGCTATTTTTGGGAGAAATTACATCTTTCTCTGTTACCACTGAGTCCACAACTTTGTCTGCTGTTTCAAGATTATCAGTTGTGTCCTTTAGTTTCCCTTCACTATCAGAAATTGTCTTCCCCTTTTCTTCACATTCTCGCTGGTAGTCTTCAAGTAGTCGGGCCTGCATCTCCTCGGGTATTTCTACGTCCCCTCCAAAGTCCTCATCTGCCAGGGAGGGGCACCAGCACACCAACTACTGTTACTATGCCAGCTATGTTTACCTTACAAATGCTTTACATTATCACTGCTAATATTCATGAGCACTAATGTAAGGCAAGAAAATTCTTAGGTCATATACTCTTTTATGTTGCTCAAAAAAGGAAAAAGCACAAAAATATTTCCAAAACAGAATACAAAATGGCTACATACACTGCCAACATAAAGAAGACTTATCCGATAAATACATAAAATATCAAAGGTATTAGAACTAATGAGACAAAGAAGTCAAGCTGAAATGTATCTCAGAGAAGAAAGTTTATGTGGCAGGTAAGAAGCTTGTGGCATAAGCAATATGGTGTTTAAATTATGTGTAATTATGATATACCTGTATGTAAATAACAAAATATTCTTGTCATAAAGAGTAGTGCTGTACTGTACATATAGCAAACCATGCATTCTAAGACATGGAATTGTTGGGAGGATGACCAACAACAGTACTGGTATGGAAGGCATAAAAATTATCAGGTTATACCATATTTCTTTTCCACTCCTCCAGTGATAATATTCTTTTTACTTTAAAACATTCATACACAAAGGATCATCACACATTTTTTGAACTCTATAAGTATAAAGCTAAGAGAATGAGTGACATACATACATAAACATTCTAACAATCACATTCTCATTTTTCTACCATGCTCCTCCTACCTCATCGTTAACTTTTGCAAACACAGATCACCATTCATTCAGGGCAACTAAAGTCAACCGTTTCAATCTCCGGAAAAAAAATAACATTCATGCTGTTTCACCGAACATTTACCCGGCATTAATGGCTTTTCAAGAGGTGAATTTAGACACAGCAAATGAAGTGCCTGAAAACACCATGAACATCTGTCTAATTTAAATACATGAAATGACAAACGATACATTAATACTGAAGCAACTTTTCTTAGATATTTCCTTTAGTCAACTACCATTCCTATATGAAGTCTCTTGATTCCTCATTAATGTATACAGAACCTTTCAGAGGACAAAGCAACTAATCCCTAACCACAATACTGTAGTGAATGCTCTCACTAACAGCTGCTTCCCACCATAAAATTATTCTTTTAAATTTATTACTGGCAGAGATTGTGAATGGTTTTTCTCTTCACTTGTCATGAGTCTCAATCCACTTAAAATACATTATTGTAGTTATATTCTTGTTTAAAAGAAACCTAAGCAGACCATAGTACCTATCATGTCTATTTTATATGAAATAACGTGATCATCCTTTATAATTCAATACAAAAAATGAAGCAGAAACTGAAGCAAAATATACTTTTAGAAAATTTCAAAAACATATTTTACAAAGCTTTCAATATGTACAGTACTCCTATTTTCCTACTACAGGTAATACCTTAACTTACCAATAATGGAACACAGTTTTGAGAGGACTTATGGGTGTTATTGTGAGTTCTTCTTCTTAGTCAGATAAAGCTGTTTCAGTATCTAATTGATAATGGAAGAAGGATAATTGTACAAAGAAGACTTGTTCTACAAACATAACTCTTCAGATGCAAGATGCTCATTATACCATGAACATACAGTACTGAGCATTACTGAGGCATGTAAAACATTGAAAACCTAATACAGAATAGTAGTAGTACAGTATATGAAATGGATTGTAACATACCTTATTAATTACCAGTATGAACTGTTTGTTTCAATTACGTACATTGTTTATTCTTCCAAAAATGCAAATACAGTAATATTCCTGTTACACAGAATCTTTGATCCTGGAACTTTCCATTACTCAGAAAATAAAATTATAGAATTCCAAGGAAAATCTCTCCATTCCAGGAATTCAAATGAATTTCCGAGTGATTGGATCATGTGCTGACATGTACTGAGCACACGGGTGGGTAGGCTCAGAGTGCTCATGCACTACAATTGGCTACTAATTTCATATGACTGCATGAGATTCCATTGATTGGCTAATGTATCTAGCAGCCAATCTCCTCAAACTCTAGCATCATGACACTCTTAGTTCATTGTCTGCTCCCATTGTACAAGCTTGTTCGCTCGCTCACTGCTGTTTTCACATACGATCTGTGTTGTGCATTATTGTACATTACTGTACCATACAATCTGCCAAGAATACTGTTAAAGCAGTATTAAAGTGTAAAGTGATGACAGTTACATATACTGTATTTTATATTCAGTAAGTGTGAAAGTATTGTACATACAGTACTTTCCACAGCAGAGTGGACAGTGTATGCCTAATGTAGGCCAGTGTGTAGAGGGTGTATGTTCAGTATACAGTGCATGTACATTCCTCCTTAATTGAGGGGTAGGAGAGTGACAGTTAGTAACACATGCTACAGTAGATGGTACAGGACAAAGGCAGGCCATCCTGTATCATCACATCACCATTTGGCCTGCCTGTATTACAAGTTCAAGATAACAGCATCTGCTGTGAGTACAGCAAAATGTATGCAGTTGCCTATTTTGTTTATTTACAATATACTGCACGTATACAGTAGTGTTTGTATAATAAACACCATTCTGTGTCTTTCCGATTGCAGATAAGCCTCCGTAGCAATGGTGCTTCATGCCATAGGTGTAGTTTAGATGTGGAAGCATTCACCGATGCCCAGAAAAAATCCATAGACGTGCAATTTTTTCCGGGATAAGAGACTTTATCTCAATACCCGGAAATCTCTAAAAACCCCGAAATGTTCTACGTCAATTGTTCCAGCTAATGGAGATGTTACTGTAGTTACAAATATTGTGGTGGTTATGGTGTTAGGGTTAATGGTAACTGACTACTTTAAAGTAATGTATGCTAAAAGGTTGAAGCTTTACAAAAAAACATCAACAATCAAAAGAAAATTGATAAAATATTGTAAACTAATTAAAAGTAATTAGTAAATAATTAACACTACTTCACGGAAAGAAATGTACTTCTGATTACCCCAAAAACTACAAACTGAACTGTACATAGAAGACTATCCCTACTTGTCTACAAGCAAGAGCCATTCTCACACTCATTTCTCATGTTTTAAAAACCAGTAATGTTCTCAAAATTCTGTGTTCTCTCGGCCTATAAGGCGTCGGGGTGCATAAGACGGCCCCCCCAAATTTCCATTTAAAAAGTAGTTTTTGAGCTCTATTCGCTGTATAAGACCAGTACCCCAAATGTGACACTTACCCACTGACTCAGTAGTCCTCTACCAACCATCCTTGGTTTTTTAAAATAAGGCCAATTCACTTCAAGTAATGTCATCAAATGTTACCCGCTGGTGTAGTGTAAACACTAGTGACGTCACTGAAGCGTCTGCTATTTACCGGTAACTGGAACTAATGTCGGTGTCGAGTAAAATTTTTCCATTTACTTGAAATGGATTTACCGATTTATTTGTTTATTTATTTATTTATAATATACTGTAACATATTAAACACACTGCAAGTATTTTCTTTAATTTATATGCTTGCTTCACACGAGACGATCGGTGGTGGGAGTGTTACCTCGTCTCGGTGGTGGGACTGTGTTCCCACTGTTTACCGTACTTTTTTTTTAGTAAGTTCTTTTTTGTTATATTTTTTACTAAAAGTGTTATTTTATGTGGATAAAAATGTTACAATGGACTTAAAACTATAAAAAATCATCTAAGCATGCTTGAAAACATACATATCGACACCAAGATCACCCAGATTGACCAACTACATCAATTTCTATAAGAAAAATCAACTTTTGAAGGTCAATATGGCGGTCACCTTGAAAAATGGTCGCCATCTTGAATTTTTAAATGGCCAATCAGGCAGACTTGACTAGTAACCATTAGAGAATTACCATGCCAAATTTGGTGCTTGTACCACCATTTTCATGATTCTCTTGAAAAATTGCATTTAGCTGCCCCACTAATGTCACCACTCCCATCTCAACATGACACTCATATACTGAAATATTGTATTTCATACTACATATGACTTTACAAAAAGAAATGTCCACGTCTGGTTAAATAACTCTTGTAGATATAATACCAGTTGAATAAACGAAACTAAAAAACTGGAGATTGTAATTACAGTGAAGCCTTGACAACTCCATTATGAAGTTAGGGATTAGATGACGCCAAATACAATCACCTTAATGCACTTTAAGAGAGAGGAGTCACCGTGCCAGGGCTTAATATTATCCTGGACCCTAGAGGTTGATGACGTATTCAGTGTCGGGCAGAAATACATCGATGTACACAGCACATGATCCCAATCAACTCCAGTATAGGTGTTAATAATGTAGAGGTGACCAGGTGTGTTGCACGTTGGTAGTGTTGGATGGTGATGCAGGAAAGAGGTAGTGTGTTGAGGGTGGTGTGTGGTTATGACTCACTCCCACAACCCCCCCCACACCACTCACACATCCTCACAACTGTACCACAAAGCCCCCACACTACTCATACAGCATCCTCACAACACTACCACAACCCCCCCACACCACTCACACATCCTCACAACTGTACCACAAAGCCCCCACACTACTCATACAGCAGCCTCACAACACTACCACAACCCCCCCACACCACTCACACATCCTCACAACTGTACCACAAAGCCCCCACACTACTCATACAGCATCCTCACAACACTACCACAACCCCCCCACACCACTCACACATCCTCACAACACTACCACAACCCCCCCACACCACTCACACATCCTCACAACTGTACCACAAAGCCCCCACACTACTCATACCGCATCCTCCTAACACTACCACTGCACAACCCCACACCACTCACACATCCTCACAACTGAACCACAAAGCCCCCACACTACTCATACTGCATCCTCCTAACACTACCACTGCACAACCCCCACACCACTCACACATCCTCACAACTGAACCACAAAGTCCCCACACTACTCATACCGCATCCTCCTAACACTACCACTGCACAACCCCCACCACACACATCCTCACAACTGAACCACAAAGCCCCCACACTACTCATACCTGCATCCTCCCAACACTACCACTGCACAACCCCCACACCACTTACAAATCCTCACACTACCACAACCCCCCACACCACTCACACATCCTCACAACTGAACCACAAAGCCCCCACACTACTCATACAGCATCCTCATAACACTACCACAACCCCCCCTACACCACTCACACATCCTCACACTACCACAACCTCCCACACCACTTACACATCCTCACAACTGTACCACAAAGCCCCCACACTACTCTTACAGCATCCTCACAACACTACCACAACCCCCCACACCACATACACATCCTCACAACACTACCACAACCCCCCACACCACTCACACATCCTCACAACACTACCATAATAAAATTAATTATTTCTAGTGTGGTCGACTTCCTACACAAAGACAGGCTATAAATAGCTGTCTTATCTCAACCTCCTTCCTTCCCCCTACATCCCTCTGTTCTCAGAGAGGTCTTGGTAAATAACTTTTGTTTGTTTATTTTCATTGTTTGTCTAATTTATCATGTTGTATCAAAGTAATATTACTAAAAGTTTTAGGCAGCTACCAAATGGGGAGATTCTACTGCCTGGGAAGATATTGGAAGCACAATGTACAGTATTGTCTAATGGTAGACCCTACTTCCATATGGCATCACGAAAATTGTGACCAAGTCTTAGGTTGCTGATTTATCTTTCTGTCTCATTTACACACAATTGCAGAGTTTCAATTGTTTCTCTTCCTTTGACAACACAACATACATACAATATAATGTTTCTCACCTTTGATCTTTTTTCCATTTATTTATTGTTGGTTATTTAAAATAATGCCAATTCACTTCAAGTATTGGCATCAAATTATACCGGCTGGTGTACACTAGTGACTCACTTAAGCGGCAGTTATTTAATTGGAACTAATGTTGGTGTGAGTAAAATATTTCCATTTACTTAAAATAGATTTGCCGATTTATTTGTTTATTTATTTATTTATAATATACTGTAATACATTAAACACACTGCAAGTATTTTCTTTAATTTATATACTTGTATCGCGAAAAAGGGAGGCTAGCATTATAACTGGTAGGTGATCATTAAGGACCAAACTCCGAATCCATGACTCCATGAAGTGACTTCTGTTCATCATTTATATCCTAAATTTACCACTGTCGGTAGTTTCAAGAATTAACGCAGTCATTTACTGAATATTCTTTGTAAAAAAATTAATTTTAAATTAATTATTTATAGGAGATAAGTATTATGATCAGTAAATATACAGATATGCATTACTGACCACCTCCGAACACAAGGACGGCTAAAAATAGCTACAGGCGGTCACAGTCAAGGTCACTTTCCCTGGTAGGACTTTGTGAGTGGTTTACCATGTTTCCATCACCACTCTTGACACGCAATATTTAAGAGGTAAGAATTTTATACTTGGTGATTAAGACGACCCCCTAACTTTGGGCAGATTTTTTTAATGTTCAAATTCCGTCTTATAAGCCGAGATATACGGTAGTAGTAAGATCTCCAGTTTACACAGATCAAGTTGTTGCCAAAAGTAAAATACTTCACATCACATTTCACATTTTGAAGTGAAGTTAAAGGCAGTAAAACTTTTCCTTACCTTCATCCCATACCAGTTCTGAGTCATCGGCAGTTTTGTTAGCTCGTTGTTTGAGTTCCTGTCGTCGAGCTTCTGCTGCTTCTAATCGATGGACTTTATAAAAATAGTGATGCCAAAATACCACATGAGACACCTGAAACACATCAATACATTTGTTAAAAACACTTAACACAAATGTACTTTATCTCAGATTAAATTGTACAGTATATGTACTACATCAACATCCCCAAGACACAGTTGTTTTAAGAGTAGATTAAGTATTAATACAACCTTCTTTATCATACACTAATGTAAAATAGAATTACGGATAAACAGAAAAAATAATTATCATGAGACACAAAACACCGAGAACAACTCTTGCTGCTGCCTATCCCCAGGAGCAGAGGATAGTTGCCAGACAATACTAGCAGCCTTGCCTCACCATACCACCCCTTCTACCTCAATGTTAAATTAATACATTACTGTATATAAATGTAAAGTAAGATTAGCTTATGAAGATCAGAAATATTATAGACAATGAGAAGAATTGTTCCCTTCACATTCTTACCAACTCCCAAGAAACTTACCTGGGCTGGAACAAGAGAGGTATAATGATGTCTAAGAGGCTGGTTATTAACAAGGAGGTCAGAGAGCTCTGTCTGTCGGGACTCCAGGTCGAAGGTCGTCAACCAGGCTTCGTACTGTGGTTCTTCTCCCTCAGGGTCTGTCAGAAAGGTGGCTGGATCCTGAGATATTGCATATATGGCTGCCTGTGAACAACAAATAACAGACTATCAAAACATTTACTGCCTTAAGAGTCTTCTACAATGTCATTCAGATGGTAAACCATATCAATGTTCAGTACTAAGAGTTGTTTTTATGATATATGTACAGTGTTTCCCAGCTGTTATGACATAAGAGAACAGAAAAGGAAATTCATCAAGGTTTAAACTTTTTCTCCCCAAATGCTCTTAACTGGGGTCAGCAAATACTACAACCAAAATTACCCTTACTGAATCTTACTCCAATTGAGTTTTATAGAAGTAAAGTTACCAGTAGGTGACCATCAAATTAGTCATTAAATATTGAAATAAAGCTGACAAACATCATTCCAGGATGTTTAATATTGTAGATTACATTCTTTTAATAAACACCATCCACTGAAAGTTGACTGCTCAGTGCCCTCATTTACAATGACACCATGGTGATCAGTTCCAAGGGCATATATCATGGCACATCTTATTGGCATAAATATGTTTTCAGCACAATAAATGGCCATTTCAATTAAAAAATTATTTAAATAATTTTAAATTCATGAGGCAATATTGAAAGAATTTGTATCTAATATAAAATAACAAGTGTCATTTATGAGAATATAATTTTGGTGGGGTACAGTACTGTACTGTGTATTTGTTGTTTCTAAATCATTAACTCATAACATGTCTTCTGTAATGAAGCTCTCCTAATATATTACTTCACCTTAAACAAGTCTTGACTATATCCCAAGTTTTATTAGTTTTATTCCCTTGTATAAACTTGTGTATCTTTTACAATGTAATATAACTATTACAGTATTATAAAAATAAAGGGAGATTTATTATATTTACAATTTGTAGAAATGCCAAATAAAACATCACAAAGAAGAGGTCGGGCAACGGTTGGTCAGTGTCTGATTGACGATACCACCACAGTGGTCAGGTCTTTTGGTATAAATATATCCCAATATTATTACATATTTGTATTGAATAATACAATTAGACAGTTCACATTAAAATCATCCCAAACACCTATGAATTACATGTGACAAACAAGTGGGAAAGAGAAAGAATTTATGCAAAATAATGAACGCTGTAGCATGATTAAACAGGACATTTTGTGAACTCTATTTTAACAACAAACAAATATTAACAGTTCAAAGAATTCCAAAATGCTTGACTCATTCACTTGGTGTGTATATGTGCTCTATGCGCCATTTTCATCACTTTCAAGACTTCTTAATATCTCTAACTTAGTTTTTTTTAGTGTCAACCTCAACTTAACCTTCTTAACAAGATTTTCTTTCTTGTTTAGCAAAACAGGAAGAATGCTTTGGGAAAGATGTAATTAATGGCAAAAAAGATGACATCAATTCCATGAGTACTATAGAACAAAAGCATTCACATAACAAGCTCCTGGTATATTCTGCTGCATGAGATGTTTTTCCCTGATGCATTATGCACAAGAAACATGAAAAGTGTGATATGCATCCACACACATGGGAATCTTTGCCAAGCCAGGTATAAACAAAATTTGGGGAGAAAAAGTAAACCACATATACAGTTGTATGTATAAATGTGATTTTCAATTTTGTGAAATGGGAATAAACAAGTGTGAACTGTTAATCTGTCATCAAAACACCAAAGAAACCTTCCCAATTTGGTAGTTCCTCTTCCAATCAATAAAAGGCTAATGGGCAGGGACTTCCTGACTACTGTACTAAAATTTCATTGAAAAACTTACCTGCAGTCTATTTAATATGACGGGTTGTTGGTTGCGAATCACAATAGCCTCTTGGTCTGCATCATCTGGTGGAGGAGTGAAAACTTCTGCAACGTGATTTAGGAACCCACTCACACTCTTTTTCATGTTGTTTGCTGTGCTGTCGTCTTCATCAAGCTAGAAAAAATTCCAATGCTCTTAAATGACAGCATTCCATTACAAAATGTGTATACAGTACTGTACCTGTACTTCATTTCTAACAATGATTGGTAACAATTTAATAAAAAAGCCGAAAATGTAAATCAGATATGCAAAAAACAATTATTAATGCAAAATGATACTCAAAATCTAACTTTAAACACTTATAAACTTACAAACCACTATGCTAAATTAAGTTTATTAATAAAAAAGAAAAGAAATTTATGAAATGCACAGCATCAACAGATAATACTGTACTGTACTTCAAAACAAGTTTGCTTGAATATTCACCCTGAGCTTCTCCTTGAGTGTGCTGGCTGTTGAGGACACCACTGATGACGCCTCTTCAGACACAACTTTGGTAAACTCATCTATGTCTTTTTTTACAAACTCTAAAACTTCTGATGACTGAGATATCACCTGTAAAAAAGGCATGTTAAGTTTAAATAAAAATTACTTCTGATAATTGTTAAAAAAGCGAATGTAATAATATGTACTACTGTACAGCATACAAAATCCCACTACAGTAGTGGTTTAGTGATAGCATGCATGACTCTCAGTACAGTGTCCCGAGGGTCAGATGTGAGAAGTGTTACCCAAAGTGACACTACCAAACACCCTTCTTCAGGTACTGTACTGTACTCTGGTTTACTCCTGTATTATCAATGGATAAAGAAAGTCATAACAAAGAATAGACCAACCACCTAAAGGGTTAATAGGCTGATAAGTGATAGAAATGATAAACTAAAAAAAGAAAAATAATGAATCAATCAGTCAACATTAATATTAACAAACACCCGTCTTGTATTTCCCTAAATTATCTCTTACGTCAAAGGTACTGTACATCAGTCCTGTGCTCCAACAAAACAAAATCTGTGAACATTATAATATAAATTTGAGTAATACTGGACTGTACATGGCAAAGTTTACCTGATTCGAATACCATGGATCCTAAATACTGTACAGTACAATACAGTATATAGAACACCATATTCTACACACACAGCGGGTAAAAATATCTATGACGTGTATTTTTTTTTTACAGCAAAGGTGATTTAGTAGCTGCAAAAACCTTGATAACAATTATACTTTACATAAAACAACACAAAAAATTATTACAGTATTACCAGTAGTACAAGTTGTTCAAAGAATTGCTTCAAGCAAAATTTATAGAACAGGGTTACAATGGGTGAATTTATGTGGTACAGTACAGTACCTGTATACAGTGATCCTCGGTTAACGAGCGCCTCACTTAACGAAATTTCGGTTAACGAATTACCTTCCATAAGATTCTTCACTTCGGTTAACGAGCAATCCCTCGATTAACGAATTCCTTACGAGCGCCCCTCAACATGTTTTCGCTTGCTCACTAGCTATCGTATTAGTCCGCCAATCCAGTAATCGGTTATGGGGCTTAAATTCCTTACCATTTTAGTAAATACCAAGAAGGCTGTACTAGTCAATCATTTTAAAAGTTTTATATTAAATTTTTTAGTCATTTTAACAATTATTGAACATAATTGAAGTACAGTGCCCCCGTTAACGAACCAATCCGCTCCAGAAGGTCGTTCATATCCTGGAATCTGTTTCCAGTTAATCGAAACTACTGGTTTGTATTGGGTTCCAGCTCACCGAAAATTTCCTAAATTCAACAAAAATGGTAGAAAAGTTCACTTACTTTGAGGTGCGTATGTAGAAGGCTCCTGGATGATGATGATGATGATGGGATTTAGAATGGGGGTGGAGGAGAAGGAAGAAGAGAAGGCATTGGGGTGGAAGAGAAGTCACCCCATGGTGCCATTTCACCCATAAAATTTTAGCTCTCTGGTTTAATTCAAGATTATTTTCTTTAAATCAACGCTGCACTGCATTATATATTGTCAATATATAAAATATATTTCAAAATGACCAATAATTTGCTTGGAAACACAGAAAAAAGCGTTTAGTTGAAGAGAGTCTCAAGCAAGATGTTACCTCCAGTGAAAACAGAGAGAGACTGACGCCTGTTTGCTGTGTAAAGAGGCTGGATGCCGCGCATTAAACTAGTCACTTTACCTTCAATTTTGTTCAATAATTGTTAAAATGACTAAAAAATTGAATATTAAACTTTTAAAATTATTGAATAGCATAAACTTCTTGATATTTACAAAAATAGTAAGGAATTTAAGCCCTAGAACCGATTAATGTATTGGCGGACTGATACTAAAGCTGGTTGCCCTGTCAGTGCAAGCGAAAACATGTTGAGGTCGGTTCGTAAGAAGTTCGTTAAGCGAATTTTTTTTCGTTAACCGAATTGAAGATCCTTATGGAAGGCAGTTCGTTAATCGAAATTACGTTAACCGAGGTGTTCGTTAAACAGGGTCACTGTACAGAAAACTAGTTTTATGCGCACCAAACAGCCACTCAACACACCAAGCTTGGCGTCAGTTTGTTTACCAGTTCAGAGGAAGGAACATCTTGTTTGACTCTTCAACATAAACGCTTTTTTCTGTGTTTTCAGTCAAATTATTGGTCATTTTGAAATATATTATACATATTGATAATATATAGCGCAGTGCAGTGTTGATTTAAAGACAATGTTGAATTACACCAAGTGAACTAAAATTTTATGGGTGAAATGGCGGCATCGGGTGATTTCTCTTCCACCCCAATGTCTTCTCTTCTCCCTTCTCCTCCACCCCCATTCCCCCATTCTAATTCCCATCATCATCATCATCAACCAGGAGCCTTCTACATGCACACCTCAAAGTAAGTGTACTTTACTGCATTTATTTTTCGTTTGTATGTAATTTTCAGTGAGCTGGAACCAATTACCCAAAAACCCATTGAAACAATGGTTTCGGTTAGCGAACAACCTTCTGGAACGAATTGTGCTCGTTAACCGAGGGACCACTGTATAGAACTAAAAATAAAAAGATACGTTAAATTAATCTCTGGGCCAGTTCAAATTGTTACTGCAAAAAAATCACTGAACATTTTTGTACTGTATTCTATTCATTAACCTTTAAACTGTGACGTCCCTTGTATGAGGCCATTCTCTCGGATGCCTTTGTCATCATGGAAGATGCATGCTCTTTGCCATCAATGACAGTCTACCCCCGTCACCCCTAGCTCCTCCCCTAAATCACTCAGTACCTCATTCTCACTAAAACACTCCACCACATATAAAAATATAAATAAATTATTCATTTTTATTATTTTGCATGCACATCTTTAATTTCATAAAGATTAAATTTTGTCATGTGTTTTTGAGTAAGCTGGTTTTCCAATAGCTGTAGTCTAAGGGTTAACCCTTAAATGGCTATCATCACCTTTAGATGATTTCTCACAAAACTACCATTTTCACCTTAAGAAAATTAGAATCTTGTACCATGATTTTAAAGCTGTGTGCCAAAAAATCATGCTCTTGTCTAGAGTGAGGGGCCACCCTCACCCACACCACCACAGCCTGGCTCGCCACCTACGTATGGGCTTACCACCCACTTTGCACCACAAAAAACCACCATTGCACTACCACAACCTCTTTGTTTGTTACCACAACAAACAGTACTCAGCATTGTCACTTACACTCCTCCTCACTTCACATACTGTACTTATAAACAAAGTTTTTATTTACTTTATATGGCTTGTAAATCTTACATCTTCAATTTCAAGAAAAATCTTAAATTTCATATGTCCAGTCTGTACAGTACTGGTGTATATTGTACCCTTGATTTCTGTATAGTACAGTACCATAGTTATTGAGTTAAATGTCTTGGTACATGAACTACAGTAGATCTTCGATAAATTGGACTAATTGGCGCAGACCCCAGTCCGAAAAATGTGAAAGTCTGAAAACCCCTGACTATATATATGGGGGGGGGGAGGGGGGGGGGAGAGTTGGAGATAGCACTGTTTATTTGAACTGTCTAAAGAAAATCAACTGATGTTATGTTATTACTGCACTTCAACAACTAAGGTCTTTAAGTGTATAACAAGGTTATTAAAAGAATATTACATCAACAATAAAAATACAAAATATGAAACAGAACTCTCTGGGTTGAAAATCAGACATATAAGTCTGGTTGTCAACAACTGTTGTCATCGACTGGGTTATTAATTACTGTAAATTGTTATACGTAAGCAACCACAGAATATGTCTTATGAACACAGAGTAAACTGTATACTGGACAGAACTATAAAGATATAAAAAGAACAAATAAGTGTAGGGGCAAGTTGTATGTGAAAGATGAGTGTGTACCTGGGAGCAGAGGGAGGGGAAGGGGGGTTAGCATGAGTGGGTGCTCCCTCCCTATCTCCCCCAAGATTCCTTTAACACTGCTTTATGTAATTTCACCATAATTCTCATATAATTTAGGATCATTTGGTACCTAGTTGATAAAATATTATCCTAAAAGAATCAGCTTTCCTGAAAAAAAAAAATCCCACACTGAAAACCATGAGTCATTTGTTTACAAAAAGCAAACAACTGATTGGCTTACCACAATGTCTGTCTTCACACTTAGTAAATTAGTACAGTACAGTTGGGAATTTATCATCACAAAAAAATACTGTTGTAGTGTATTTACCACCACTTAATAAGTACTATTAATCTTCCCCATTTCTTAAAAATGTGGATTTTTTTTTCAGGTGACCAGAGCAACTCGGAGTCCGAAAAAAGTGAATTCCAATACTCTGTATACTGAAGTCCGATTCATCGATGTTTTACCATATTTAAAAAATAATTTAATTTTAATGATTTCCTCATTATTACATGGCAGGGATTAAGCTGTATAATTATGATCAAATAATAAACTAACAAAAGATATTTTAACACATCCATACACACTATTTGAGTGTTGATCAAATGGGCTCAAACCTCACCTTGAGGAGTGGGGTACCCTGTACCTGGGCCTCAAAACTAAAGGTTAGGTTATGTTAGGTTAGGGCCCATTTGACTAGCCACCAACCACAATACAAAGTTCTGGTTTCTTATAGAGTGACTCGCCAATACATAAATAACTTAAGACTATTTGAAAGCTTAGTCTCACTCACTCACTGTCTATAATTAACTTGTGTACTTTTTAACAATGGAAAGAGCCACTACCATAGCAAGAGAGACTTCCTTTCTCCCCAAAAGAAGGTGGTACAGTAAATCATGAAAATATATGGTAAGTTATACAATGCTAACAAGAGTACCTTTGGGGTTTGTAAGAAATGGAAATCTTTCTTCATAATCACCTGCTGCTGAGCCTTACCTTATCTCTGGTACTCTGGATCCACCCCCACCAGCTCCCTTCACCGCCACTTCTGCACGGGGTGGACACAAGATTAAAACTGCTAGGCCCAGAGAAATATGATTCATAAACAAATTACAGTAATATCTCGTGAAGATTACAAACCCCTGCTGATTTCACAAGATGATTAAACATACTAATACTAAATATGGATGTTAGGTTAAGTTTGGTTAGGTTAGCACAAGCACGTACAATCATCAGGTAAAATAAGCAGGGGCTCCTTCTCTTCATGAGATCCTTTATACCAGTCATACCAACTTAACTCTACAGAATGATGTAGAGTGTGGTACAGTACTGTATCTGGACTGTACAGTAAAGTATATACAAATCACCATAAATTATTTCCTATCTAAAACAAAACAAAACATAGTACTAGATGGGTTACATATATGTATAAATAAAATAAATATAAACCAAACATTAACTGCCACATTTCTGTAATTCAAATAAGAGATACTGATATTCTATACTGTATAAAAAAAAATTATATATATATATATATTTTTTTTTTTATGTAAACTTTAAAGTTACAGTTTAATGATTCTCGAAATCTCTTAATTTTTAGATACAGTATCATACACATGCATAGTTACATGTACTATGCTTACTTTTAAGTGGCTCACTGACTGGACATTGCTAGAAGGTAGTGGAGGAAGCAACCTAAAATAACCTCACACATCTATGCCAATGTTGCACTTTCACTTGATTTTAGCTTCAATAACTTTGAAGTCCTCTACTTGTTTTGGAATATGTTTTTGTTAGTTTATCAAGAGCCTGTCAGTTCTCTTCTGCATTTTACTTAAAATTTATTAAAATTCTCGTTTTTTACACAATTTCCTGGTTTAAGATAAAAACAACACAAATTAACCTGTACCAGCATCACCCTACTAAAGAAATCACATTCCAGCAGTGATGGAGTTAAGTGAACCATGATATAACATTCTAAATTCAACAGAAAAATTAACAACAACTGAACACATATGACATAACTATTCTCAAGTTTCCTTACCCATAAAATAAGGCAATTGATCCATCCTGATAACAGCTGCATGGATGGAGAGAGAATTAATCTATTACTTATATATACAGTTCAACATCTGAAGAATAAATTGAACTCTAAAAAACAATGGTCATTCTTAATTGAATTCAGAAAAAATAACCCACCATGCTGTACAGGTTTTAACATACAAGTTGTTAATTCTGTTATAAGATACTGTTCTATATAGGACAGGTGACATCAGTTAAATCAGTAATAAAACTAATTATGTGTAATAGTTATAGCAGATATCTTGCCACGAACTGGTTAATAAATAGTGACATGCTAATTTGTTGTGAAGTTCTGATATCAACCAACCTAAAGATCTATGTGTTGGAATCACCTACATCCAGAAATAACCTACATAAACCTAATTACTGCATCTATAAACCATGAACATAAGATAATTGCACGATAGAAATCACCATAACCTCCTAATGTCTCATTTCTTTATAATTTAGTAACCTTTTATCTCTTTAACTTCCCAAAGTAGTTCCACCCTTCAGTCCACATTTACTATGAACACGGTGACAACTATTAATGTCACAAACAATGGTGGAAGACTGATTAGGCACATAAAAACATTAGATTGCATAAAACCTAAACAATTGACTGTGCCAAATACAATGATCTACGTACTACAAAACACCTAGCAAATGTGTGTTGTGTAATGATTATAGAAGATATAGTTTTGGTTCTCAGAGGCTGATCAGCTCCACTACATCTACATTCATCAACAACGTATGTAAGTAACCTCCATATAAATCTGGACTATTCTCCTCGATTTCAATTCCTAAAATTGGTAAACTCTATGAGAACAATCCAACGAAGGATGTAGTCTCAATGACATATTATTTTGGTCATTGGTATAAAAAGAAATGGGTATAAAATACTAGTAATAAAGAAGGTGCCATTACCCCTCTGCCATCCTGCCTCCTGCTGTCGTGTAAACATTGATCCACCTGCCATCTGGCGGGTCACTTCCTTCCCCCGCCACCTTTGAAACTTATCCTTTTATTGCAAAATTCAAAGCAAGATTGTATTCATCTCTAGTTTCCACAAAATTTTTCAACTACTAAATAGAACAAGGATTTTGTTTTGTCTCTGTTCTATTTTTATAAGACCTATTTGGCCTATTCTTTATTGCTGCGTAGTAGAACGTTGGGAGAAAGTGATACAGAACCAAAATTAAATTTGCTGTTATATTCATAATAATAAAGAAAAAATAATTATGGATATCGTTATCATAAAAGCTAGCATGATTAGTACACAGATACACATTTTTGTGTGAACTCATTTTGATATAATAACCATGTGCATGGAGTTTTGATGTTTTTTGTGACTTAAAAATGCAGGACAGATGCAAAAGCAGTTAACGCACCGGGCAAACTCTCCATTCCACCTGGCAGTGCTGGCATCCTACCCTATCCTTTTCAATATAAAGGAAAAATTTACCATAAAAACGCTACAGGTAAGTCTAGCCAGGATTAGGCTCCCCAGCTTATTGCAAGATTAGTAATTGTAATCACCTTACCCCTAACACTACCTGGGGTGGGGTTCTTTTACTTTTATCCTCTTACTGGGTTAGGTTAGGGTGGTTAATATTGAGGTGAAATAAGCTCATGCCTAATTTTCGGGCAATCCTTCTGGAGCCGTGTGTCACGAATGAGTAATTGTTCAGCCAACCATTAAGCTGTCAAGGGTTCACTTCCCGTCACCACTCTTAGGGTGATTTTTTTTTTACTCTCTCCCCTCTTTGGTCTGGATATGCACTTAACCTTACAATTTCATAGACTTATCTGTACATTATTGTCACTGTTTATAGCTGGCTGACACAGGAGAACGATGCCCTCAGTGTATGATATTCCACGTCTTATTTATACTGTATATATTAATTTTTTTACCGGAGTAACTGGAATTAAGTCTGTCTGGCAGTGGTGACCATCTACAGTATGTGTGTGTGCGCTCTCCTCCCTGGAAAATTCTTGTATCTGAGCTTGATAAATATTATATTACATTAAATTTGGACCCCCGCCTTCTAAACATTCCGCCACCCATGGAAGGATCGTCTCATCTTCCCTGACAGCTGGAAGTGTAAACACGGGAAAAACAATAAATAAAAAAAACGTTCACATAACGTACTTAAATAACAACAAACCACAGCCACTGGGTGTGTATGCAATTAAAACTGGATCTCTATAAGTTAAATCAAATGAGACATGGAAATAGGCTGGCATGTAAGAGAAACTTCGATACATGACGAGGAACACGAGTAACGGTAGTGTCGTGGCTCGTGACAACATGACATCCCAGCTACTCCCTCACAGGCTCACTCCACCAGCCACCACAGGGTTCCCCATGATCTGTGTTGGTGCTGCACATACACGTACTTCTTATGGTCGTGTCACTCTGTGTGTAAGTTAGTTCACTTACATTTGTCAAGATAGCAAGGTATGAGGGTAAGTGATCATAATAATGAAACAAGTCTTATTAACTCTCCTCCTTTAGTCGACAATCTCTCTTTCCTTTCTCTTCGCCGCAATGTTGCTTCACTCTCTCTCTTTTACAGGTACTTTAACGGGCAATGTTCCGTGGATTTGGCATCCTGTGTACCGCCGGCAAGGCCGTGGGTTCGTAGCACACGTCTTGCCTGCGGTGCCCACCGTTTCTCTGTGGATGTCGGTCACACTAGAATAACCCGTTATAGTACATCCTTCTTTCCTCACACAGCCAAACTGTGGAATGCTCTGCCTTCTTCTTTGTTTCCATGCTCTTACACTCTGTCTCACTTTAAAAAGCTGGTTTTCCGGCATCTTCGTGGAGTAGATTAATACAGTATAACCTTTTTTTTCTATATTTACAATTTCTTTCCGTTCTTTTTTTTTCGCCCCTTAGGTTCCGTTGTGGGTCGTTTGACCTGTGCCCGGGTGGGCTAATTCCCATAAAAAAAGTATAAATGTTTTAATCTTTGAGAGAAAGAGAGGGGGGGGGGTGCTCATGGCGTCAAAAATCCCATGACGGGTTTATGGATGTCATCTCAGACAGTCTTTTATTATAATAAAATAAAATAATAAATATTAATAATATCATTTCATGGATATTTTCGGTTTCATGAACCGCAGTTTTTTAAAATAAACACATTAATCAGATGTACTTCTCCATTTGATTTCGATTTTTTTTAGAAACTAGTACAAAGTATTGAAAATGATAAATTAAATATTTACAGCTCTAAACAAGTAACAGACTAGCCTGTTAAACGTAAACAATCCTGTGAAGAGCTGCAGAAGGACCTCTGTGAGATCCAAGAATGGTCTAAGAAATGGCTGCTGAGATTCAATGTCAAGAAGTGTAAGAGGATGCACCTGGGGCGTACCAATGGTAAGAAGGCGTATCATATGTCCCAACGTGATGAAGAAACTGCACTATTTGAGACTGAATGTGAGAAGGACCTAGGTGTGTATGTTGACAATGAGCTGAAGTTCTCGGGCCATTGCGAGAAGAAGGTAAATCAGGCAAATAAATTATTAGGTCTTATAAGAAAGTCGTTCAGATATCTAGACGGCCCGTCCCTCGTAACGATCTTCAAGAGTGAAGTGCTTCCCCATCTGGAGTACTGTCACCCCATCTGGTCCCCGAGATATGCTAGGGATTGTCAGTTGCTTGAAAATGTTCAAAGGAGGGCCACCAGACTGGTGCCTGCACTTCGGCACCTCAACTACCCTGAGAGACTGGAGCGCCTGAACTTGCCTAGCTTATACTACACACGGGCAAGGGGGGACCTAATTGAGGTGTATAAGCATCTCAAGAGGCACTACTCAGTCGAGTGTCCTTACCTGGAGCTGGCGGACGCTCGCCCCACAAGGGATCACAGCTCAAGATTGAAGAAGCCGCAAGTCCAGAAAACTGTGAGGACAAACTTTTTTGGAGTGAGAGTTGTGAACTCTTGGAACAATCTGCCAGAAAGTGTTGTGACGGCACCGAGTGTGAGCTCTTTCAAGACCAGACTTGACCAACACTGGGGTAGGTTTAGGTACGTACATTCAGGAGCCGGTGCATGCCCAGTACTTGCCAACAGTACGTAACAGAGACGTGACCGATCGCCCAAGCGGCTAACGAGCCGATCAGTGAAGAGGATAAAAGTAAGTAAAAGGATACACATGAGGATTTTGTACCATTAATCACCACACACTGCAGTCTCCGATCCACTCTAGTGCAGTACCCTTCCGGTTTAATTCTCAGCCTTTCATGGAGTACGCTGTCGAAAGCCTTGGCCAAATCTAGGTGTACTGTATATTGTCAATAATTCCACCCTGTTCCAGAAATTGGGTCTAAACTTCCAGAACCTTGAGTAATTGTGTTAAGGAGGAGCTTCCCCTCATAAAACCGTGTTGTCAGTCCTTTACAAGGTTGTTTCGTAGTAGATGTTCCACTATGTCATCTCTTATAATGCTCTCTAGTACTTTATACACTCTGCTCATCAGGCTCATTGGTCTATAATATCCGTGGAGTGACAATCGCCTTCTTCAATATTCTGGAGCCCGTCCATGCCCAGGACTTGCATATAGTGTATAACAGACATGTGACCGACCGCTCAAATGGCTAACAGTGGTGAAGTTGTGTGTCATTTGACCTGTGCCCGGGTGGACTAATTCCCGTAAAAAAAGAAAGAAAAAAAAGTAATTTACTAATAGATCAAATAATAGTGCATAATGATTCCTCAGTTATTTTCTAACATGATTTTACATAATATGTGTTTGTGACACATCACCTTACTAATGATTATGATGAAAATTACTAAATTATCATTAACTACAACCCCAATTCTGTAAAACCAGAAATAAACATAAATTTCATACTGTAATTTGAAATCACTGAGTTTATGTAATATTTATCTGTTTGTCTTATTTCGTATCAGGAATTTTATTGACGAAATATAAATATAATAATAATATATATATATATATATATATATATATATATATATATATATATATATATATATATATATATATATATATATATATATATATATATATATATATATATATATATGTAATAGCTTATGCAAAAGTGGTAAATAAGAGGCCAGTGTTAAAATCTTTTCACGAACAGTACTAACTTCTATAAATATTTTTAAGTAGACGATAAAAGTTTAACATATTCCTATAAAAACTCAGTGGCCTAAACAAAATAAGATTTTATATACAATATGGTTGCTTTTCACCAATTGAAAATAATAATGGTTTGTAAAGAGATTCGTGGTACTTAATTTAACACTGGTCGCCTCACGAGGTGGATGTATACATACATGCAGTATCTTCTGAAATTCGAAAATTGAAAAAATGAAAGAAACCAAATTAGTTTTGTCTCATCTAAATTCATGTTTTCTTGTTTTCTTGTGGTTATCAGCATATGTTCCATGTATATGTATTTCGAATGTAACTGAAAGTTTGATATCAAAGTTTTGTTTTCATTGTGGAAATATAGATAAAAACATGATTTAACACGTGGAGAGTAGTTCATATATATTTTTTTACAGTGAAAATATAAATCATTGAAATAAGGCTTTATATTACATACAAAAAGGAAAAAAAATCCACAGAAGTCTGAATACTTATATCAAGTAAGGTTTTTCTCCTCACAGTTTATTTCGCATTTCAGGAGGGACCATCATGGCCGTTGTGAACATGTCTACGTTAATTGGTCGGGCTCTCTTCAGGCATTCCAGTGTAATTAGAACAGTCAGATCAGTTGGGTACGTGTCTGTGAGTTAATGGTTCTGTGATTTCTCTTATAGTTAGGTCATTGAGATGTAGTGAGCGGTTTTAAGTGACAAAACTGGTCCCTGCAGCTGGTTGTTTACATCATCAGTATGAGCTGTGGCTGCAGACGACGTCATGTCTTATGTATGTTCAGTCGGGGTCAAAGTTCATTCTCTCCCAGACTGAATTAGTATCGACTCCAAATGAAATAAATAGTACATTTGAACCATTTTACAAATAAGATGAGTCAGGGTAATTAAGTTGGGAGACTCATTCCAGTGACTAGGTTTCATCATCGGGAGAACTTTTGACACTAGTAACACTGGTATTCGTACGGGTATTATTGCGTTTTCACACCCTAACCTAACCTAACCTTAGTTGATACGAAAAGCAAGCAACAGAAGTGTTGTTAGAAGACCTCACCAACCTAACCAAACTAGCCTACTTAACCTTACCTAACTTCCTAGCTGTGAGGCTCAACCCTCTGGAGCCCTGATCCGTGTGGCTCATAAACATACTCTGGCATCGACCGGAGATGATTTGCTGTGTACCGCCGCATCACATTGAGAAAGACAAAGTAGTGTGTGCCTAGTAGTCTAATTATCTACCAAACGAAGCAATTTCTGTAAAAATTATTATTATATCAGAACTCGCTGACAAAAATATAGTAAGAATATAAAAATTAAAAATAACTCGTTGGCTCTGAAGTTCTCTGTATTAGCAACCTAACTTAGCATAACTTAACACCTGCTGTGGGCTGACGTACTGTTACCGAGACGGGGGGGGGAAGTGGCTGTGAATTCCTCCATATTAGCTTCCATTTTATCCCAATAGTTATTTTGGATTTGGATAATGAACTGTCTTCTGTTTTCATTGAAAATGGGTTAAAGAATACCCAGTTTTCACTGGTTTTATTATTGGATACTGTATTTATTGGAAAACTAAATAAAAATAGCTGAAATCATGTGCTAACCAAACCAAACCTAACCTAACCTATATTTTAACTTGCCTATATCTAGAAAACTAAGCATTTTCACAAGAAAATGAATAGAACTGAAAGTAATCAGTGTACAAAAGTGTCTAAAAACACCCTCATGATTACCGAACAGCTGACGGCCACGGTACATTGTTTACATCTGGCGTATCAAGGCTGATGAAGTGGCTTTTTATGCTATCTTAACTCGTCTATATCTCGAAAACTAAGTATATTCCCAAGAAAATGAACAGAAGTGAACTTAATTGGCGTACAAAACTGTCTAAAAAAAAGAAAACTCCGCAACTACTGAACTGCTGTTGTTTTTGTTTTTTTTACTTATCTAACACTCTTTAACACTCTTAGACACTATCTTTGTTATGCTTAATAAATTGTAAATATAAAGTGTAGCTTCTAAGTTACGCCACTACTAATTTTGTTAAAAGTTGAGACTACGTATATTGATAATGAGTCTAAAGTTTGGGGCCATTACCTCATGTACTAATACAGTATTTATTTTGAAGGAAGTTTAACTAACATATATAAAGCAGTTATTTTATTGTTAGGTTAATTTATTTATTGAGAAATTTTTATTTGCAGATGGGCATACAGAAGTCATAGGCCACTTAGTGCCACAGTTATAAAGGCAGCAGAAAATGCACCATCAGAGAAGCAGGTTCAAGAAGATGCCTTGGGTGAGAAGGCAGCAGAATGTACACAGGCTGAAAAAGTTCTTCATGAACAAATTGCAAATTTAACAAAGGAAAAAGAATCTTTATTAGAAAAAGTTGCAGATTATCAGGTGTAATATATTGTTCCATGTTTATTATGTTACTGTACTTTAAGAAATATAAATCTTAACCATGAAAATTAGCTTTAAACAACATTACAGTACAGTACAGCACTTTTGTATTTAGTTAATTCATAATAATTTGGTATTCTTAGCCCTGTTCATGGAAAACTTTGTGTACTGACGTTGTATATTGAATTTTCACAGATCATACTGTACTTTGATTACGGTATTTTGTGTGTGGGGGAGGGGGGCTTGAAAAATTGAGGAACCAAAACCTAAAAATATGAAAATGGCATACATGGCACATATACCTCTATATTGTAGTAAAATGAGAGGTTGAACATCAGCTCTAAGTGCAAGTTTACAGTAGTACAAAAGGGAAAAGTACGTACAGGGGGTCCTCGGGTTACAAACAGGTTCCGTTCCTGAGGATGTTCTTAAGTCAGATTTGTACGTAAGTCTGAACACATAGGTATGTGTATACCATACTTACAGAGCAAGGTTTAAAATCCCACTATATCATAGCCTAAGTCCTCATATACATCTAAAATCACTTAATTTAAGACAAAAGAAGAAATAGAATGACAAAATACAGTAAATGAAAGTAAAAAATAAGTTGTCAGGTAAATAAAAATACTGTAAATTCAAGCTTAACCCTGTTCATATCGGTGGGCGTTCGTAAGTCGGGGATCCCCTGTAGAATGAGTAATTAAGATACTGTATCATTGATAATATTTTAAAGTGATTGAAGTGGAATTGTCTATGTACTGTAGTGGTCAGTATGAGGTTGTATGGATTTAATGTGGTTATGGGTTTGGATCAGCATTTATTGGGCAAAGAACTGTAGGTGGCAGAGGGAATTAAGGTAAGGGTAGTGTAGCAGCTTTGTACAGGAAACAAATAATATTTATTTTATTTATTTGAGTGCTACAAAACCTTTTCTATTGGTTTTGTAGGTACTGTATGTTGATGAAGGCAGATATAGAGTGAGAAACCAAGTTGGTTGTACAGTACAGTATGCTGAAATTGGTAATACAGAACTGTACTGGATGACAGTTGCACAACTTTAGAAAATTTTTCAATGCAGTAGAAGATACTATAGCTAGTAACTGTTGTCTTACCTCATGAAAAGACATCAAAAAATGAAAACGTACTCTAAAAATTTCATAATACGTATTATATTTATGTGACTGCTGTGATGCAATAGCTCCAATGTTTTTATCCAGAACAGATTTTGTTTCACCCTGGGAAAAAATTGTAGAAATGAGGTAATGAAAACCTTTTTTCTTTCCCTGTCTTTTGGGTTTTTTATTCAGTAAGACTGACTTTATCTTTTAGAGAAAAAATTTCCTCAAATTGTTGGTTAATGTGCACAACAGTACAGAACAGTACTACTCCCAAATCTGTGGGATGCTTGTGTCAGTTGGAGGCAGCAGACTGTAATGTACTTTGCCCTCCTGCCAAAATAGCATTACTGTATTCTGTAAATTTTTGGCCTTCCAGTACCTAATACCTTATTTTGATTTCTGAACCATCATGTGAGTTTCATGAACTGTTGAACATACCTTGCCCCAAGGGTGTCTGTGAAAATATAATTTGCCATTAGCACTACTGTACTATCCTATTCTGCAAGGACTTGTGGCTAATGAACAGATTCATAAACAACACTGACTTTTAGTACTTAAATGTTTAAATCTCATCTATAGCATCTGGTTTGCTAGATATTTCTACAAGAACCATCTGATGTTTTGTGCTTTATACAATTTTTAAGAACATATGAACTTAAATATTGGAAATGTGTAAATGTGTAGTGAAGGTAGTACAGTAGGGTACATACATTTGGAAGGAATTTTACATGGATGTTTGGGGCTCCTCATTCATAGTGAGAGATATTATAATACCTTGTATTTAATGTTGCTAAGAGTGATGCTGTATAGTTTTTTGCAGTGTACATTATGTTCTTAAATACTATTTCAGGAAAAGTACCAGAGGACCTTAGCTGATCGTGAGAATGTTAGAAATCGTTTGGAAAAACAGATTATGGATGCTAAACAGTTTGGCATTCAAGGGTTCTGCAAAGACCTTCTAGAGGTAAGGCACTGCTGCTGTGTGCTACTGGGGTTGTACTCAACTTGTTTGTAACCTTTTTTCTCGTAACTACATCATACTCTTGGGAAAATATTGTAAACATTTCTAAGACTTCAACTGGGGGTTGAAAGTGAAGTTACATATTTATACAAAAATCTATTTCAAACTGTGACTATAGTACTGCATATAGGTACTGTACTACCCTGTACTGTTATATGAGTACAGTACAGGTATTAAGTCTTTGTTTGACTTTTTATAGTGCAAAAAGCAAGTTCTGGTGTTCATATATGACACAAGGGACTGGCTAGCTATGTACCTCACATTAAAGGTCTCTCATAATTAACCACTGAGTACATTAATGTGGGATCTTAGTGTATTTATAAATTCAGCATTCTACTACTGTATATAACAATTTTAATATTACTTGATTTGTTGTCACTGATGTTATATTAAAGGCTAATATTGTTTAGGGCACATTTTTGGATAAATTAACTCTGTGAGTATCAGAGAATAATAACTTTAATTGCATACCAGTTTCATTTTTATGGGAGTGCAAGTAAATGGGGAGCAGAATTTAGATGTCAAAATTAAGTCCCAGCAACACTGTAGCCAAAATTTGATGTGCATTTTAGAACAGGATCACTGACTTTGTCATTTTTTTACAGGTATCTGATGTGTTCCATAAAGCAATAGAGAGTGTACCAGCAGAGAGAGTAGAGAAAGGCAACCCTGAGCTCCAGAATCTATACAATGGCCTAAAATTGACAGAGAACCAATTACTAACGGTAAGTTTCAAGTTCTCCTTCAACACTTGACTTGTTCTTAAGCACTTGCTCTGAATTTTCACACTCCATTTTATTTTATTAATTCAGGAACATTACTGGTACCATGACACATGTGTAGGTACAGAGATTTAAAAATAACATACCACTGGCCTCTCATGTTCTGCCCCTACAATGATACATTAGGTTCTTGTACCAAGTTTATGAACATAATCTCTCTATTTCACATTATGTAATTTCCATCTCTTCAATAGGGTGGAGCAAAATAACTTGATGATGGTCCGAAGACTGAAAGCAATTATACAAGTGATAATTTGCTAGTTTGCAATATTGTTTGGGTATTACATGTCAGGCAGTTGGTACAGCTCCTCCCCGACTTACGACCTGCCTCAGTCGTACCAAAATTTGGTCAAATTACGTATTTTCGAGTCCCAACTTCAGTACACAGATAAAATTTTTGTCTGTAATTCACTTTAAAATGGCTGGCAAACTTAAAAGTGAGAGTTTTGTGGTGCTGAGAAGAAAAAGAGACACCCATTTCAGATTTTCTATGTACTGTATTATTTAAGCATTTTCGACTTACGACCATTTTGACTTACGACCTGGATTTGGGTCCCTAACCCTGTCATAAGTCGGGGAGGAGCTGTATTTGATTGTAATAATAGTCAAATTTCCCAGTAAGATGACCTTGAAGCAGTATAGGTGTTCTGGGGTTACAAGATATGAATATGAAGTTGAGCTGTCATTCATTTAATTGAACATGACTTGGAGTGAAGTGAATAAGGCGCTATGAAGCAACTGGTGCCACTATGGAGGACCAGATCAGTTCTCTATGGTATTCACGAAATTGACCTATATCTGGAACACTTATAGTTCAACAGCATAGTGACAACAGTGATATATTTTGTCCACTGATATTGGTACGGTGTATTGTATCAATGAAATACTATGATTATGCTGAATTATAATGAAAAATTTTGTTTTTAGAACTTTACCATATGCACCAGCTAGTCATTTATCCTTATAATGCATTAAAGAACCATTTATATTTTAAACACAACCAAGATAATGTTCTATACATAATACATAGGGGGAAATAGATCTGGAATTATTGTGAAATGTGATTATGTACAGTATAGTGTCACTGCCTTACAGGAGGTACAGGCCTACCAACACATGACAATAACTACAGGAATACATCATAAGTCTTCATGCAATATTTGGAATTGTTACACACAGCAAGGGGAGAGTTTTTTCTGGCATTACAACTGAAAGTAATGAAGAAAAAATACACACAAGGGAAAAAATAGAGGTACATGTGAAAAAAAAAGGAGAATAGAAAGAATGAATGAAACACTATGTATATTGTGGGAGATGGATCAGGGAAGAACCATCAATGGGAGGAAGGTCACATCCCTGATTTAGGCCCAGTGGTTTCCCTTAGGTGTAAGACAAAACTAATCATGAGAATGGTCATGTGTGAATGCCACCAGTGTTGACGTTGAAGGCAGCATCCCTCCTGTTGTAGAGGAGGATGGTGATAAGTGCTTATTCCTGACATTTGGAGTGAATGTTAGGTTATCAAAGGTGGAGTTTTTCATATTACCGTAACAATACCATGGTTATCACAAAGGATGCATTCTTAAAATAGAGTAATTGTGAATATCAGGGCAATTTCCCCCATAAGAATCAATGTAGTTAGCGGAGATGCTTTTGGCTTTATGATAATATTTTCTTTTATTTGTATTATTATTATTTTTATTTTATTATTATTATTTTTTATTTTGCACATTTTGTATGAACGATTGTGTGTGCATGTAACAGAGAAAAAAAAGAATAAAATTATGCTTATCTTAGGAGTTAAAAAATAACAATAATGCTGCTCACAGCTTAGTCTAATATCCGTGACACCACACCCCATCCCACGATCCATGCACTAACTCACATGGACATAAGAAATGTTTATTCTATTTATATTTTTGACCTTATGAGAATCATTTCTTTTATTTTTATTTTTGCACATTCTGTATGATCAATTGTGTGTGCATGTAACAAAAAAATAAAATAAAATAAAATAAACAAATAAATAAAACTATGTATCTACTCAAAATTAGAGTTGAAAAATAACAATAACAGTTTGGCTTGGCAGAGGGATGTACTTACAGGGACAGTCTAACTTGGGGACATGCCAAGTCCACACATGCATTCACTTCACGCACATAGACACTTATGCTCTTCGTTTTTCTTATTTTACAGCAGCAGCATGCCATCTCCACGGATATAATTTTTTTCTAATTCTCTTTGCGAATATAAAATATGGGTAATAAAAATATCAGTTGCAATTAAGCAGAGTTATGAATAGCGAAGTATTCCTGTACAGTACTTACGTTAAGTTTTAAACTTACACTCTCACCCCAATTAGCACTAGCGTTGGATAACAAGAGCAAACTAACATACAATTTTGTTATAACAGGTCTTAATTAACCAACCACCTAGTTTCTGACTACAATAGATTGTTTTGATGATTGTACAGCACAGTATACTGTTTTTCATTCAAATTTTTTCCCTGCTGTAATACATGGTAGCTGGAACTTAGAACAAACACACATGCACTCAGACTCTTCTACAACACACATTCACTCAGACTCTTCTACCATTTACTGTCATTCACTCCTGCTGGTATAAAAAATTTCATCTGTGCGGTGTACTTTTCCAGATTTTTCGGCGACATGGTTTGGTACAAGTTACACCAGAAATTGGAGAAAAATTTGACCCATCGTTACAAGAAGCCATGTTTGAGCTATCTCTGCCCGACAAGGAACCTGGTACTGTCGCACACATTATTCGCAATGGATGGACTCTTCATTCCCGATGTATTCGTTCAGCTCAAGTTGGTGTTGTTAAAGAATAGTTTCATATAAAAATGAATTGTAACTTTGTTTTTATATAGGCTTATAAATGCATGAGAGAATTAATAATATGAAAAAGAATCTTGCAAGTAATTGTAAAAAATAGAAACTGTATTGTATTAGAAAAATAATATTTACTTATCCAGGTATAACATATATATATATATATATATATATATATATATATATATATATATATATATATATATATATATATATATATATATATATATATATATATATATTTATATATATATATATATATTTTGTAAGTGCTTCAATGTATGTATTGTATTTGTTAATATGGCGATGTCTTTTACTTGCAACCCAAACATTGGTCACATATGTGCATGCATTATTACTGTTATCTGATGTAAAAACCCTCTAATGAATTTGACCAATATTCAAGAATTTTTTGAATTTGTTACAGTTCTTCCTCAGAGTTTTGTCAAAAAAGCAAATGAGACCGATGCAAGGACCTGTCATCTTTACACAATTTATCAAGACAGTAATTAATACCTGTATAGTGGAATACTGTAATAAAATATTTATGATAAACACTTTAGTTTGACTGCAGTTCACAAAATATATATTTGGGGTGGATGTGCTGCTGATGGGTGATGCTTGGTTGTATACTGCACAATGAGTGATAAACCTGGTGGATATCTTGGGGCTTTGTTGTGGAAGGGGAACACCACAGATCTGTGAAGGCAGTTAGAATGAATGACAGGTTACTCTTGAGACTGGCTTCTCTGTATTATGGTGGAAAAGACTTTTGTATAAGTGAATGTAATATTGTACACTTAAGAAAATCTTGAAGAAAAAATTATCAGAGAATATAAAATGAATACTGTAGTACAATATAGTACTTGTACTGTGATATTTTTTAAGTGAGTATATCAAGAATTTTTTTTTTATCTAATGCAACTGGTCTATAACAAATGGTAACACAGTTGTGTAATGTGTATTGTTAATGAGAGCGTCCAAGAATTTATACCTATATGTAGTATGTTTTACAGGTTAATTACATTTGCTGTTGTTTCTGGCATCCTGCTTTGGAGAGGAGGGAAGAAAAAATTATCAAGTCTAACTTTTTTTTTTTTTTTTTTTTCAATATACTCTAAGTATTCACTAATTCCTGCATTGATAGAAAGTTATCAAGTGTAGGAATAACAAAAATCCTTGTATTTTCACAAAAGTTGTTCTTGGATGACATTATAAAAGTTTTCAACTTAAATATTGTAAAATTTCTTTGTGTTTTGTCAGTACTGTACATGTACTGCAATTAGTGAGAGCATGTGATGTTGTGTAAGGAAAATATACCAAGTATTCTTACAGTACCTCTCCAGGTAACAGTATTTGACACCAACGAACTTAAGCTAACGATCCTGGGGTAGGTTTGGTTAGGTAAATGCACACACAGAGGTATTGTTTGGTTAGGTAAATGCACACACAGAGAGGTATTGTTCAGTTTTTTGAAGTATGAGTATGAGAATTTGGAAAACCCTATTCATTGATGGTCATACTATGAGAAGTTTATGCTTACTCTCATTAACAGGTTGATCAGTAGTCCTCGGCTCACACAGGTCCCTCTCATATTATGGTTAAGTGCAAGTTAACACTTAGCAAGGCACCATACAGATGTAATTTATTCTTACTCAACTTAACACCCATGAAGGTTACTACATTGGTACATATAAAAAAATTTTTTTGAAGTAATTGTGTTTGGAGACCTCTGCACCTTACTAAAACATGCTAGCAATTGCAGGGGCAGCCCTCACAACACATTAGACCCTCACCCTCCCCTCTCCCTGGGATGTAGCAGTTGGAAAAGTTTTTTTTAATAATCATCTGTAATTATAACATTTATGGATGTCTAAAAAGTTTCAGTTAGAATATTAATTTTAATGAGCATTATGAACATGACAGTCGAAGTATTACGAGTTTATGACTGATTATTTGATCATTCTCTTGTGATATTATTTTACTCATAACATGGTCCAGCAAGTTGATGATTTATATGCTTCTTTGTTTACTTACGCTTTTATTGATTGATATGATATGGGAGTATAGCAGTCCCCGAGTTATGAATGGGTTACATTCCTGGGCCCTGTTCATAAGTTGATCTGTTTGTAAGTGAGGACAGCGTTAATTCCAAATGTTAGGTTAGCTTAAAACACAATCCTGTCCCCATATGACTGACTTGAGTGGTGTGACTGAGGCGTGGGTTGTGTGACTGAGCCATGGGTTGGATGACTGAAGCATGGGTGATGTGACTGAGATAGGTGATGTGACTGAGATACAGGGGATGTGATACAAAGGACTGAGAAGGACACAAAGAAAAGAGAGGGGTGCCCCAGATCTCCTGCTGCCCCTTGGGGTGCCCTAAACTGCAAACTGCCCCCTTGAAGAGTCTCAGACTGCCATTCACCCTGGGGGCGCCGCAGACCTTGGACCGCTTCTAGGGGCACCTCAGACCACTAGCGGCCCCTGAGGACGCCCAAGATCGCAGCTGCCCTTGGATGCATCCTTTTGCTGTTCTTGACGTTGAATCACAACAGCCATTCCACTGACCACTCCTAAAGCTGAAATACATCTTTCTGTTGCTCTTCACTGTCACTATGCACTGTACCCTGTTAATGTAAAGTACAAATGTACTAAGCACTGTACCATTACACATAAAGTATTGTTAATACTGTACAGCATTTTTTGGGCAGAATAGACAGTTTTTCAGTTGGTGATGTATGAAGGCCAAGAAGTAGCATTTTCCAATCTGAATTGACAGTTGTAAAACATTAACTGACAAATATAGCAATACATGACGTAGGAGACATACTTTGAGTTGGAGCATTCACTGGGACACTCAACACAGTAAATGTTCTAATAGGTTTCCTCCTGTACTAACGCTGGATAATAAAGTTCTCAACAAAGTGACGAAAGAAGGGACCAATCGCCTCAACGGCTAGTAAGGTAATAAATGGTGAATTAAATGCTAATCAATCAATCAATCAAAGTACCAGCCTTATATCTGAGGGTTGACGACCACAGTCCTCCACTCTTAAACGTTTTTGGCCTGTTTTAACTAATCCTACAAGATTCTGCATGTCTTTGGAGGACCCAGTTTTTAATTTCATTCGTCCTTCCCAGTCTCTTCTGTCCCCTGGCCCTCCTACTCTCAACTTTGCCCATTAATATTTACGTTATTATACCTTCATCCCTAATTATATGACCAAAGTATCCTTTTTTGTGCGTGTGTAAATTTCAAGTATTTCTCCTGAAGTTTGTGCTAACCTTAGTACTTCTTCATATGCTTTCTAGCCTGTGTAACTTATTTTTAACATTCACCAATAACACACTTCAAAGGCCCCCCCCATCCTCTTTATGCTACACAGTAAATGTAATAAACTTGATTATGCAGTTTGTCTGCATGATATTGTGTGGACCAAAACTTTTAGTAGCACATAGGGAGACTTGTTTAATAATTAGGTGAAAAATCCCAGGAAAACAGCCTTTCCAGTCTTACGTGGCTGGATGAGCTCTTGCTGCTCTTCCCAAGAGGGTTTCAATAGGCCATTGACTCAGTCTTTTTCATTCACTGATGAAGACAAGTACCTGCCGGATTTTCTTTTTCATGACCTCTCACGTTCCTTCTACATGGTCAATGAAGGGTGCTTCGAGTACAAGAATGGGGAGGCCAGGGAAGCTCCCCAACTGCTGTGTTTCACACAACCGCAAACTTCTTCAACCTCTGCTGTTACAAATGACGTCAGTACTGCTGGGCAAGTGTGCCTCCCTCATTGTCTTTTAATCACTCTGTACACACACACAGAGTACAGTAGATTACATGGCTGCTGAGAGTGAATATTATAAGGGATCAAGTCATTGTAGTGAAGGGGTTAAATCTTCGTTCTTAAGGGACAAGGTGTCTTACTTTATGGGTAATTTCAAGGGACTTTGGGGATGGCAAGTCCTCAGCTCACTATAAGAAAGAGAAAGAGTGACACACAAAAAGAAAGATAAATAATTACCTATCACTGGAAAAGCGATCATATGGCCCTCGTCACAGAGTCTCTGTGTTTTAAGATCTGCATAATACTGTAGATGTTCTGAGTGTCACAGCAAATGTATAAACAGAAATGTATGATGCGATGTAGGTTTAAATGGACAAACTAGAAACTTTTGGTGTGAAAACAGTGGCTGAGTCATCATCAGCTGTCCAGAAATGGCATGTGTAGATATGCTGTTTGGGGTTATGTATGTTGCATATCCTGGTAACTGAAGCACTCAGATAAAAGAGATGGCAGATTGTGACATGTTGCTTTTGTTTATATTATAATTTCTGTTCCGGTATCTAAGGTCTTTGAAGGCGTCAACTCATTATGTTTATACTATTGCAAATCAAGAGATGTATATCTGTTTTGAGTGTAGCTGTTCTTGTTTTTTAGTAATGGTGTAATTATATGACTAAAGTCTTTAAGCTCGTATGCTAAGTCAGGCTAAATACGAAACATCTATTGGGGATTAATAAACATTGTATGGCCGAGGTCCTACCAGTTATAAACCTAAGAATTAAGCACCCGACTTAGGTATTTTGTGTTGCGTAAAACTCACTTGTTAGACAAGGTTTATAAGTTACAACACAGCTGTAATATCGTCTTAATGGCGTTTATTCATCAACATCTATACTGAGCTAAATAATTTCCCTGGTGTAAACAATAATTTGGGATATTTTCATTAATGAGTTCTTTTAGTATACTTACTGTATTTGGTTGTAAAACCTATATATATATATATATATATATATATATATATATATATATATATATATATATATATATATATATATATTATATTAACTTCTAGTCTTGTATGTATTTAACTTAGTTATCCTTGATTTTTATTGGGTACACTGACATCTAACATCTTTTATACTTACCATACGCTAAAATATATTTGGTAGAAATAAAAAAAATAAAGAAAATAAAAACTCTACCAACAATAACTTATTCGACTGTCAACAATAATATTTAATTTGGGCAACATTAACATAACTGCCAACAATAGCATTCAACTCTGCTAACACTAACATATTACAGTATAACTCTACCAACAATAATATTATAACTGTCAAAAATAACATTATAACTGTCAACAATATCTCATCGGACGAACAATAATAACATAAAGTATAATTGCCCCGTGCTGGTCTTCACTAACTAGGCTGTAGTCATGTCATCATCGCCCACTCTCATATAATAGGCAGATGACGGCGCTCATCATGTTATTTATAATTACTAAATCAAAAACAATCAAATTTGCATCTCGTATTTGCTGGCGTTATTTAACTGAACTGATAAAACTCTCATTAAATATGCATTAATGGTCGATGTGTTGGGTCATCAAAATGTGATATTCTCATGATTGACAATTATCAAAAAATATATTAGTTTGTCGTGTCAATAATTATGTGTGTGTGTGTGTGTGTGTGTGTGTGTGTGTGTGTGTGTGTTTGTGTGTGTGTGTGTGTGTATTCCTTATGCGTTTCCACATCAACAACT